GAATCACATCGCAACGATAGGCATCTGAAGCTTCCAAAATATAGTCTAAGTTTTTGGTCTAACTAACCAGTAAACATATGTAGAATATAATATGCCTTATAAGGTTTAATTTACATCGGAGCACATATTTTAGGTGATTTTACCTGACACGCCACTCGCTTCCTTCATTATCAATCGTTTGCAATTGTTTATCGAGGTCAACAACCGTTCCTTTTAATTCTCCTACAGACTGATCCAGCATTTCACTGTGTAAAAGAAAGTAGGAAATTCAAATTCCAGGACGGGTTTTCACCAAACGCTCAAAACCAAATAGCACAGCCAAGTGCGTAGTGATCCTAGGCCAAGACATATACATAAAAGTGATTCCAAATGTGCTATTTCAATACGGGCACTCCAAACATATTACTGAAATCAGAGTACAAATATACCATTTGTTTACTCCTGGTGTTATGTTTACTCGTATATTTCCTACTTCTGTCGTATATATATTGCTAGCAAAATTTATTCACCTAAACTTATTGTATGTAAAGCCTTGTTGTACAAAAGCCTTGTTTTATGTACTTTGATAAATTGGTAGGAAGGTTATACATATTAGTTTTAGCGCAAATTGTTTATTACGTTTGATAAATTCGCATTTGTGTGACTGTTAAACACACGGGCCTGGTATATTTATATCGAGTTGGTATACTTTGTTAGCTTTTACCTGTTACCCAGACGCTTATTATGTTTAATATTAAATCCAGTAGTGATTAGCTTTGTTTGCTCGTCAAATAGTATATCGAGTCCGATAAAGCTATTATTCAATAAACGTTCTCAGAAGAATATTTGCTACCATGACAACTGCATGTTTAAAAATGATATTTTAAACTTCTGTAGCGATTATTGCGAAAATAATCGCAATAACAGAACAGTCAGAATCCCTAAACTGAGTGAATGCGTATATAAAGTTGATTAATGTCCATAAATCAACCTTTGTATATATATTTCCCACATTAATACAAAAACTTTCTACTTCTCTTTCAATTTACAACAATTTTATGATTCTGTGTATTCATGTTTATTAAAGATATATCAAACAAGTAAACTTACGTCATTTCGCGTTCTCTTGCTATTTCTGCCATCAGCCAGTCAACATCATAATTATCTAAATTCACTCCATTACTAGCCGCCTCATCATCATTCGCGCTTGCTGCATTTTCTCCCGAATCGCCCATTTAAGCAAATTATTGAAACAGCCAGATTGGTGATGAAGTTTGTGCCTTCTCAAACTAAATGAGCCAACCTGTCATAGACAGTCACACAATACAAATTTTCCGTGTATTTTGCCTTGCCAAACAAAGATAACTCCTTTTCAAAGAATTTTTAGACCGTCAGCGATACAATACCTTAGCAATACCGTTATATTATCACTCCAATCAACATCATAATACAGTATTCCACGCTTTCTGCCTCGTGCACACACCAGACAATGTTGATTTAGCCTAATAGAACAAAGCTGATGTTGTGTAAACACCCGATGTTCGCATCTCTGATTGCCCTTCTCTTAAATGAAGGAGTTCGAGCGTGAACATGTTACAAATTCGGAAGCGCGCCGGGGTTACGACACTCTACGATCGTCAAAGTGTTCAAAACGTCCTGTACCAAATTTCCCTTGATAATTTCCTATGGCTACTACCGAAGTGGCGACGGATGGTCTGTGCCCTACGTTGGGTCAGTGGTCATCCGTTATGGAATTTTGTGCCGTATCATTTGATACACTTCAGAAGTATCGATCTGCATGTTAACTGATTTTTGAGCGTTTTAAAATCTAATATAAGTTGGGCAGTCGATTTTTGATAAGCAATGTTAGATTAAAAGCAACTGAACCTGATAATCAATTTTATTTTTATATTTCATCATATTTTTTGTTGATCGATTTTCACAAATTAATATTATTTCAATATAAACTGCTATAAATTTTACTGCTATAAATTTAAAATTTAGTATTTTTGGGCTGTAGTTTTTCGTTTTGTAAAATTGAAAATGACACCACTCACACACTAGAGAGATTCTAATGTTATTTTGAATTTGTTCTTATGTTCAGAAATTTAAGGACTTCAAATAATGAAAAAAAATTTAGACGATGAATATCGCTAAAAAAAGATGAATTTTGTATGGTTTTTCGATATTTTTCGTTCATTTTTTTCCATCAAATTGAATTTAACATGCATATAATTTTAGGTATAATTATGTTTCAATAAATGCTTTTCTATATTTAAATTCTAATCTCTAATTACTTTGTATACTCTGTAATACGGAATAAATTGCAAATTAACCGTACACAAATTGGGCCAAAATTTTATCGGGATATTTTGCAACATGTCAGTTCATATATAACATCGACTATTTGCTATTAATTTCTCTATTTTAGCGCGCTTTAGCGACACCTGGCAAGAACAAAAATAGAGTTGCAAGAGTAAGTTGATACATTGAGTTGAAAACGAAGTTCCTCAACGAGAGAACCAACCATCTTTGAGTAGTAAACTATCTCTACATTATTAGAGATAGCGGATGATGTATAACAATGACCTCAAACAACGGTACGAGCAGTGTTGGTATTTAGCGGGTTCGCGCGTTCTTAAAATCTTGCCGTGACATCAGCGAACCCGTTCTTGTTTTTTGTCTTAGATGTTTGAAGACCGCAGCAAATGGGTAACGTACAGCATAGCTGACCACTAGCGTTATATTTTACGTTTCGATAGTTAGATTTACGTAATTCACGTCATTTTTATTACGTTTTGGCGTACATACATTATCTGAAATGAGGTTGTTTGTGAGTTTGATATAAAGAGAAACGGCTACTAGAATTTTCAATTGCACCACTAGGTACGCGGTCAGAAAATTCAATAATTGTTAATAAATGCATAGATAGTTTCCAATCCTTCGTTGCTATAGGTAACCCAATAACAAGAAAGTTCCATATTTTTTTTCAAAAGTATTTTAATATAAATATTACTAAAATTTTATCTAGAAACAAAAAAGTGCAAACAAGCATAAAATGGAAAAAGGCAAACAAAAATAATAAGTGCACTAGAATAAAAAACGATAAGAAAATAGAATTTAAGATTTCAAACAACCATTATTTAAATATCTTCTGTTAAATAATTCCCATTGTAACTGCTTTTGCATTTTATAAATACGAGCAAGTTTAACATCAACATGCATACGTTGGTCTAATTCCAACGCTTCATACCTGGAATTTATATTTTCAACTATTGGACAACATGGACGAAACCCACGTGATCGAGAAAGTATCGGCTCCGGCGTATTATTAACGATATATCGTCGAAAACGCGAAATGGGAATATCTATGACGTCACTAGGATGACGTCCGATACGGCAGTCGTAACACCAAGCTTCGCCATCACGGCGAGGTTGTTTTTCACCACAAAATTGACTGCGCAAAGCCATTGCTTTTTCAGTACATTTGATGATAGCATCCTTATATTCTTTAAGTAAATTCAATTTTGTATTATATTCGCGACGCCATCTTTGACGTTCAGCTTCTCTCGCTTCCAATAGTTTTGTATTGAAATGAATTTCTCGTATCTTTGACTCTTCGGTCGCTTTTTCGACTTGAACTATTGTATTCTGGAGTTCATTAAGAGTGCGCCGTTGATTCTGAAGTTTTTCATAAACTTCTTTGACGGAATCTTCCCTATTTTCCGAGATTTTATCCAATCTCGGCATGTTCATGTTTGAGAGGTCCTTGTAAACCTGAAAACATATACACAATATATTTAATGTTAAAAGCATATAGAAAATGATCAGGTATATTTGCGCAACGTTTTGACTAAGTAAGCGCATCTATATATATGCGTTTTTTTTTCAATTTGATTAGTTGATTTTTTTCCGATTACAAACTGCTGGACTTTAGTAAAGATTCCTCTTTTTGCGTTCGTCATCGAGTAACCCGTCGTGATAAAAAATAATTTTTTTAAATTCTAATCAATTATGAGAAAAACTCACCACTTTCTTTGTTCTTTTAACTTCTTTTTGGAGTTTTTCAGAACCAACTTCGTTCATTTTATTCAACTTCTGGTAGAGTTGGTCAGCGGTGACGACCTTTTTCAGTTTCTCTGGAAAGATTTTCTTGGAAAATTTCTTTTTAATAGTTGAATCATTGACTTGAACTTCTTGATTGCTGCTCAATTTGCCATCGTCGTCCGAGGAAATGGTTATAATGGACGACGAAGAACTGTCCTCGAATCCAACTTTTTTAGGACCGGTTCTAGGACTAATGGTTTTGGAACAACTTGGTTTCGCCGATGGCATTACAGCAACTGGCTTACTGAAGGGTTTCACCGTAGCGTCACTGCCGCTATCAGTACGTGATAGCTCAGAAGACGACATATTGTTATCCTGATTTGTATCTTGTTCTACTACATGGTGTGACAGTTTCAACTTGGTTGCCTTTTTTGAACGAATTCTCTTCGGAGTACTTGTTTTGGGATGCCAATTCAAATCTTTACTCGAAGTGAGTCTGTTCATATCCTCTGATATATCGGTGTCGGTTGAAGATTCCGAAGATTGGAAATTAGATACATCTGCTTCGACTGAAGCATCATGTTTTTCAGTTATGATAGCACTACCAGACGAGGTAGTCATTTTATCTTTTATTTTTGGGCTGCCTGTGACATAGCCAGAGGAGCTAAAATCAACGTTGTTTGTATTCACTACTTTGTCAATGTCGCCACTGTTTATCAGTTCGAGTAACTCTTTTTTTCTGAGAACAACCCCGTGGTGGTTACTTCTTCGAAATTTAAACCTCCCTCTGCACAACTTCTTTGTGCATTTTTCTTTGTATGAACTATTGAAGATCAATATAAATTTTTTCAAACTGCATACTCCATAGAACCCCCAAACAAAGAGGAATCCATAAACCACGGTATGTAGGTATTCATCTTTCGCTTCACAGAAGGTTTTGAATGATTTTGTTTCTTGACCGACCAAACGAACACGAAATCTTATTCGGGTCATTCGGACATTGTTGGTTGGTACAACTTCAAAGGTTCTATCAGTACCACACAAACCTCGATTCAAGTTCACATCGTCTTGAACAGACCCATCTGCATTGCATATTGGTATCATAGATATCGCTAACGTAAAAATTAGCAGACATATCCATCCTGTAGTAAGTATTCGTAAAAGCCGACGGCAGCCAGCCATTGCGTCGAATATTCTACTGGAAATAGTTTTCGGGCTCAATTTTCGTGATAGTAGCAACCGTGCCCCAGGCAACCTGTTGCCATGTAGTATGGCAATTGTTCCGTCACCATGATAACTTTGTTCCTAAAACATTCCCGGGGATGAAATAAGCAATCATAGAATTACGTTAGATGACTGATTGAGCAAGGTACTTTTTGATTTAATTATGGGTGTCCAAACTATACAGATATACTGTTGATATCACATTAATTTGCGATAATTTTTTTGACCAAAAGAGGGAGCCACACAAGAAAATAATTTATTTTGTGACGTCACTATGTTAAGTTCGTTTTCCTAAACTCCCGGATATATTTATGGAATGGAGTTGCCAGATAAGTCTATCAGTTTATCACGTTACCTTTACCTAATTTTTTAAGCTTCCAATTTGGCCACAATCGATTAGTAGTGACCACTGTAGTACAAACGCTTGTTTAGCAAAAATTTAGTTTTTCTGTTCAGTTCTTTTATTTGTACATTGAATTATATATTAAACACGTGAAAAGAGGGAAGATAGCTTATATTAATATTACCATAACCATGTAATCGCAGATCACACTTTTTCCGGTCTGTTTCATGGTTGCACTTTGGGTCCATTTTGACATTTATGATGGAAACAGTGGAATTTAAAAAACATATTTGGTGTATTTCCGCAAGATACTTAACTAAAAACGGCTGAAAGAACTATGAAACTGACTAACCACAGAAGACGTACCCTGACTGACGTGGTTTTACTGCAAGTTGATTAGAATACATGCTTAGCTTGAGCCTTGAATATATATTTATTAAAAGCAACGCCCGGAATTACATTTTCATGTTTTTTACGTTATATGATAAAAGTGAACATATTTGCTTGAAAGTACAAATATTAGTAATATGCCAAATACCTTGAAGAACATTGGAATTTTATAGAAGGCAATTCACAGGCCGTTTGGTTTTGTTCTGCATAGTGCCCGTTTTGAACGAGATGTAATTTTGTATAAATGATATATAGATATATTCTTATTTATACACAATGGCTATTTGAGTACTGCTGCCTCATTGATGTAATGTTGCTATCACGAGTATAGTAGACGCTCATCATAATATCAAGTTGACCTTGACACCACCCACATTTGATCATACATTCATTGTACAAAATGTTATTGTAAAAAATAATGTATTTGAATTTAATATTTTCAAGGCATCATGATCGTTATAATGAAGAAAAAACTCCAATTCCTATCTGAAACATTGCATATAATATCACCGATTCACTAGGAAACATGTTCGACGTCTACAATACATGTTTCCCATTGTTGGGAAATCATAAAAATATATTTACTCTTACAGTGATTCAAAATTGATAACTGCTGGTGATTTAACTGTTGATTAAGTCACACTCATGAATAATTTTATCAGATACATCACAAAATCTATTTGAATTTACCACAACCGATTTTCTCGTCAAGCCAATATGTAAAACGTTCAGCAAATTTACTGGCGTGCGCGAGACTTATTGTCTGGTTCCTATATGCTATATGAAATCTTTAAAAGCATAGCTTTCTGTAAATTGAAAATGAACTTATCACTACCAGAGAAATATTCACATTTGTAAAAAAATGCTGAGTTTCATTTTACATTGTGGCTATCGTTAGTCATAAAAAACTGCTTATTTTGTATAAAATAGCTATGAGAAAATACTTTTACCTTGGTTCAGCAATCAAAAATGTAACAATACCAATATAAAATCATATGTACCACTACATATATATACCAAAAAAGATTTTCTTTGATTATCATACGCCTGGTAATAGTGATGAGAAATGTACCAATAACAATTGGAAGATATTAATATGGCTAAACGATTAGAAAATTTGTGAAAGATTGCTGATAAAAGGAGTAAGCACAACAAATACATCATACACCTTTGAAATCTGATAATGTAATTTATGTGTGAACTAAAAGATATCACAAATATTCAACAGTGACTGCTGGTAAACTTGTCCAAAGGACTTGTAATAACGTCGAGCATGACTAGCAGTTGCTTTTGGCGAGTTAATTCGTGCGAGTTAATTCGTTTATTGAAGTATACAAACGTTCCATACGAATTATGAAGCTGTCTTTTTTTAAAAAGAAAGAATTAATCAAAAATAGAAAACTAAACGCCAAATCAAGTGATGTTAGCAGAAATTGAATGGAACAAATATATTCGGCAAGCATTCAACTCTCGGTAAATTTTTGAGGTTACAGTGTTGAAGTATCATAAAAACGCACCCTTGAAGATAGTGCCTAAATTAACAGCATATATAAATAAACATTGTATCTCTTTCTAAGCTCGTTAACAAGTCGGGAGTTTTCATTACAACCAATATGAACCAACTTGATTCCCAGGCGGTTGACAGTCTAGGCGTTTGCGATGCATTGAAAATCTTTGCTTACGAACATTGCCAACCAGCCTGACATGTACATGTCCTTGAGCATGATAATGTGGTTACAGCTTCCTCTTTTCCATCTCTCTAGCAGTACAATGTTGCACACCCGTTTTTCAAAAATCATTTCTTGTTCATATTAAGCCTGGAAAGTCGAAGTCTTGCTGTTCGGTTCAATGTTACATCTGCACTCGAGTTACTTACGGTAGAAGATATAGAACTAGTTGATCTTGCTGATATTGAATCCTTCAGGGGTCTGTAGGATGATGGAGGAAACTTTTTCTTGGGTGGACTTTCCCGTAAAGATAGATTTGAAGATGAGACAGATCGAAGACCAGAATCCTTCAACGACGCTCTGATTGGCTTGTATGACGGATTTTTTGTAGAGGTTGCAACGACTTTTGTAGATGGACTTGATCTTGAGGTCATATCACGTGTTTTGTTGTTACCAGGACTACTAACGTTCTTTGATGATTTTTGTTCAATTTCCACCATATTTGTAGATTTGGTATCTCTGGTTGTTTTCTTATCTCTTGATTTTATATCCGCTACTCTACTCACAGATGACTTTTTTGTTACAGCCACAGTCGATTTGGTTTCATCAGATTTATTAGCTGGCGTGATTTCACCATTTGTCAATTTTTGATTTGTGGTTTTTGGAGTTGTTTTTCTCCTCATGAGCGAATCAATAATATTTTTACTTCCAGAAATTTCTTTACCGTCTGATTTCATTGGTTTACTTTCATTTTGGACTCGACTTAATTTGTTATTGTCGCACTGGTGAGCTTCTGCCTTATAGGTTGTTTCGAAGTCGGTTTAGGACTATGTGTCGAAGGTTTCTTTGTTGTGGATTTACTACTGTGAGCGTTTATCTTGTTACAACTTCATGTTGTCCACTTGGTTTTTGCTTAGGTTTAACTTCCTTCGACGTTGCAGAAGAGTTGGGTTTAGTTGTCTTCTCTTCTGCAGCAGTTACGGACTTACTTGGCTGTTTTGTATTGGATAAATATTCTATCTTTACTGAAGAAGGTTTGCTCAATTGCGTGTTTTTCTGTTGTTGAGAATTATACTTGGCATTGTGATTTTCAATACCGTTGCTGCGAGACGACTTGCTTACAGATGCAGACCTAAGATCACTCGCTGAAGCAATGCTTCGCGGTCTAGCTAGTCTTGCGACTGTAGCTGCGATGTTTCTGGCGGCGGTCGGTGTTTTTGAAGCTCTTGGAAGAGTGCTGGAATCGCCGACACTCGTCTCAATTTTATCGATTGATTGCGTGCTTCCTCTCATTGGAGAATTCCGTTTTTGTAAAGTTGTAGCGCTTGTTACAACTCGTGCTTTTGACGCAATTTGCTTCTGGGAAGTGTGTTGGACTCCACGGGCGATGCGGATTTAACACCCAACCTGTTTATGATATCTGAGCTGCCTCTCATTGTAGAATTGCGAGTTTGTGATATGGAAGTCGAGCTAGGAGCAGTTTTTGTTTTAGCGCCAGTTTTCGTCCTCGGAAGGGTATTTGACTCAACAGTAACTGTAGCCTTGATTCCCACTTTATCAATAGATTCTGTGCTACGCCTCAAGCGGGATCCTGTATTGCCTTTTGTTGTAGCCCCACTTTTGGCCCTTGGGAGAGTGGAAGAGTCTACTACACTTGAGGTCCTGTTCCAATTCTATTTATAGAGTTTGTGCTATTTCTCATGGAGAATTTCGGCCTCGCAAGCCCATAAATGAATTTGGACCCTGTTTTGGAGTACGTCTGGAGTTCACATCATGACCTGTTGCTTCACCGGATCGGGGTGTTACTGTGCGTGCTGACGATGCTTTGAAGATGTGGGCTTCTTTTCTATCGTCTTCGTTATCGATGGTGATGTTGTGGTCTTGCTTGTTGAATTGGACATTGCAGTGGTCGGACAACAGACGAAGTAACGCCACCGTTACCCCTCTTAACCGAGACCTCACTTTTAGCTGCCTCCCCGACCTTCGATATTTGATGATCTTTCTTGTTAGCTATACTGTTAGCTGATTTCGGAACACTCTTTGCGGGTGGAACTGTCGTTTGAAGGATTTTGGGCTGACACTTTTCCCTCGTGATCTTGTTTTTCTGAGAACTTCTGCAGACACAGGCTGTAAACCTATTTTTTCTTTTGACGGTGTTGTCTTGAAGTTGGAAAATGTCTTCGGCCGTGAAGAAGTTGTGCTTTGGCTTGTTTTAACTTGTGCAGCCGGAGAGTTCGGCTTTCGAGAGGCTGCCCGTGCTTGCAGGAGTTAATGGAGTTGCACTGACTCTTTTAGATTTCAATTTATCTTTCCTGTTTTTAAGTTCATTTCCTAAGCTTTTCAGACTTGTTACTGTATTGTTGTTGTCATCGTCGGTGTTCATGTGCAGTCGTGGAGATGCTTTCTGTGCAGTTTCAGGTTCAGCATCTTCCAATTCTTTCTCAGCAAGCACAGAAAATGCATCCACAACGGTTATATTTTCTTCAATAATACCAGATGTATCTTCAATATAATGATGTTTGTTAGAAAGGTCGGACTGTTCCATGACTTCACTCACCCCGCTTTTTAATTGTAAGTCATCGTTGGATATTTTCTTTTCAGCTACATCAATTACTGCCAACTTATCAGCAATTGATTCGGTATAAGATGACTTTTGTTGAGCTTTTGATTTTGAAATTTCCGCTTCTTCCACACAATCCATATGTACAATAATTCTGTGCCGATCAAAACTGCTTGTATCACGACGGTCATTCTCCGAAATATGCATAGTCGTATCATTAGGTATCTTTTCGTCATCTGATATTTCGCAGGGCAATGAATCCCTGGGATTAACATCGTCGCTCCCTATTTCCTCTTTTCTATCAATTTGATCTTCAGCGGAGAAAACTGAAGTAGTTTCTGATTCGTCGTTGTTTTCATCGATTAAATAATGGAAACGTTTGTTTCAGCGTCCGTCTTCTTACTGACGGTTTTTCGAGATTCGCTGTCTGTTTTTATATTCCTGGAAGATTCTAAATCAGTTTTGGTTTATTAAGGTAGTCCCATCATTAGATCTGCGCAATGGATATTCACTGGTCTCTTCAGACACTGTAAAATAAAAAATCGAAATATGTATGTAACAAAAACTGCAAATAAAACGGTCCAAAAGTCTCTGCATTGAATGTACTGGATTCTTTGATTTAGAATTATAAATAAAAAATAAATATTTACCTTGTCTGTACATTGTCTCGTTTTCTTTTTCTTTTTCTCTTTATATCGTCTTATTCTCTCACTTGCGTGTAAATCCTCAGGATAGTCGCATCATTGGATACTTGAGGGTCGATTTCAAATTTAAATATTGGTTTTTGTGGTGCGGGTGAATGTTCCATTTCAACTGATTCGTTTATTTTCAGAGGTGTCACTAGTGTCGAAGTCTCCAGGACTTGTGAAACATCTTCAAGTTTTAAATCGGATTTGCAGAAACGATTTCATCACTTCTTTGATCAAACCCTTCCCCGCGTAAGATACTGATCTTTTCTCAAATATTCGTGAGAGTCGATTGATAGAACTACCATCACTTGCTGGTCTGGATCTGCGCAACGAATAATCACTGGTTTCTTCAGAGGCTGTAAAACAACAAATGATATATAAATCAAAACGTAAAAGAAACTGCCAAATAGAGACTTGAAGAAATCTGTATGTAATGTATTGTCCTCTTGATTTAAAATTCGAAAGAAAAAAAATTTGTACCTTGCCGAAACATTGTTTTTTCTTTTTCATTCTTTTCTTTGTATCTTCTTATTCTCTCCCTTATGTCATCATGCCGACTCTTCTTTTTACCCGCATCTTCGTCCTCTTGCGTAGAATAACGAGAAGAAAATTCTTCATGAGATCTAGGACGATCAGATGCAGATTTACCTGGATTAATAGGTAAATTTCGCCTGTTCTGGTAACATAAGTATCTTCAGCTAGTTTCAAATCAGTTCTAACTCTTCTACTCGAATGACGCAGTCTTATTTTTTCTCGAGGACTCAGGAAATCTTTTTCACTGTTTTTATCAGCATTTGGCGATAAAGTTATTTGATTCTCGGCGGTTTCTGCAGTGTGTTAAGTGAATTGGTGGATCCAAAATACTCTCGTTTATCACGCAAATCCGCCCCACCGTCTTCGGAGTCCCAAAGACCAGATCGTAAAGATCTGTAACGCCGGCGTGTTGGTCTACCATTTTCAACATTAGAAGATTCAACTGCCTCACTAACATCTTCTGCGTTAGAGTTTCTTTTAGTGATACTGGGGTCTATTTGGCGCGTCGTGCCTATTGATTCTGGCACATAAGCCGTACCCCAAGAAGTATCTCTTTCTCTTGATAACAGCACGTCAGCAACGGACTCCGATGACTGCCGTTGTATAGGCTCGAGCTTCGTCATAGTCACTCGTTCCACTTTGAAATCTAGTCGCGAATCCAAAGTATTCTGCAAACTAGCTTCACTGCTTTTCGTGAATTCCACTTCTTGAGCACTTCCTGGTTTTGCAGGGGTCACTTACAGGTCTATTGGGCATTGGTGATCTTTGCCTTCGTCTCGCAATATCAACTGTGTTTCGACGTCTGAAACGGCCCCCGTATTCAACATCATCAAGAGAACGTTTCGCTTCGTCCACGCTGAGACGACTTGCAGCTGATATATCGGAAAACGAGTGTGAAGAAATGTTTCGATTTCTTTCTCTCCTGAACATAAAAACACAAAGATTACAGAACTCTTGAATGAATTATTGACACATTTGTGATATCCTAGAACTCAGTCTAATAGTATTTAATTTCCGTGATTGATTGCATATAAAACAAAAATTCAGATACCCCACATACTTCGCTTTCAATTTTTCCTTTCTGGAGTTTTCTTTTGCAGCCTGGATAAATTTATTACGAAATTCTTCCACAATGCTGAAACATTCCTCCAAAGAAAATTGAGAAGGTTGCTCACATAGGTACAGAGCGAGGTCGTTACAATCTTTTGCGAATTTATCTTCTTTTATTGAAAGTGCTTTGAAATCACTTTCGGCATCCTGCAAATAAACCAACCAGATTAGACAGCAAAAAATAATAATGTTCGCTAACGTGATTATTAAAGTAGTCAACTTATATACTACCGTATGATCAATTCCTTGGCTTGACCGTGAGATTTTCATGTGAAACTCCCCATGGGATAGGATGGGACACCACACATTTTATTTCCCCCGGCAATTTGATTACGGCTATATATAGTTATAATCTTCATCTTCTAAACGTCTTTATGGATATTATTTATTTTGCGGAGAGACATTGGATAAATACATATATATGACTATTTATTATTATTTTAGATCAATTTTTAGTATTGGCCATGGAATCGTCATTACCTCGGGAATTCCACTAGAATGTCCCATCGGATGAAACGAAAAAATAAGTCCCATAAACTATAGCCTGAAATTCACCCAAATCATAGATTTAACATAACTGTGCCAAGAGCCTCAACTAACCTTCATAAATCCGCGAACTTTCTCTTTCAAATCATCATTCTTATCTCGTTCAACACAGTCTTTTATAGTTTGTACTTTCTTTCTTAAAATAGCAAGATCGTTTCTAGTTTCAGTCGCTGAAATCCGATAAGCCTTCGACAGAGAAGGAAGCTGTTCTGGCCAGCGCATCATCAAATGGTCTTGCTTTTCTAATTCCATTGCTACATAATGCATCATAGTTATGCCAGGTTGGTTAGCTTTAGTTTCAGATAATTTCTTCAACGAGTGAAGGCGAAAACCTGATGCATTCCCGTAGCTAACTCCCTGATTGAGAACGTTACCAGCTTGCAATACAAGGTGAAGAAGTGCAGGAAAAGCGAGGCAGTTACGAATTTCTGAAATCAATTTAATAAGCGGGATATTAGTGTATGACTGATCCTTGCACAGCTGATTTCATAGTTTTTATAAGCTTCAAGGTAAGTGCGAAATCCGAAATCGCAATCGTGTCTAAATATCAAGGGTGTTAACCGTCGCCTACAGCAGTTCACTGTTGATCGCCAACAAGACCGTTCTCATCTGTTCGCTGGTGTTATATCACTCATAAATCAGTTGTGAGCAATTTTACTTCATACTGTGCGCTTGTGACTAAAAACCTTCTTTCCTTATTTTTTTTATCAACGACGTTAGGAATCATAAATTAACTTCTTGGCCCAATTTGATCCCAAATCAGTCGTATTTTATTTTAAGAACGACCATGAAATATCTATCCATACATCCACCTACCAAACATAGCTTTTTGGAGAATATCTAAAGACTCTTCTATATCTCGGATTGCTGGCGTGTATTCATCCCGCAAGATGGCGCATTCGATTCTTAATTTGTACGATGGAATTTTTAGTATTCCCAGCACAAATTTATCGGCTTTATCCAAGCAATCTTCGTCGCCCTTGAATTCTAGAAAACGATGAAGTTTATTAATGCAATGAATAAAACGTTTTCGTTATAAATGAACGTATACCATAGTCTTTCAATTACCTTCCAACTTTTTGAGCTCATCCTTTTCTGGAATTAGCTTACAGAGGGTTCGCAGTTTTTCAGCAGACAACAGAGATGTGTCGCATTCCTGAATTGCCGTTACGACGTCTTTGATCGATCTAGAAATACAAATAAAAACGAATAATATATGAAACGTTATAGTATGAAAGTATATTCAGGCATATTATTATTTTTTCCCATGTTAACTATTTATGCCTTTAACGTGCAAGTGCTTTTAAACATTTTTTTTTATATTTAAATTGCGCGTATAAGCTACCAAGTTATGCTAATGCACCTAATATGGTAACGACATGAAAAACCGTGCTTTAGTACATTTTGGTTTAAGAAATTGGATATACCGTAAATAAAAAGACTAACTTCGATCAAAAATTTTGGCAATCGTCCTGACAAATCTAATTTTCCTTAATTACACACTCTTACATCACCAGTTTATGCATATTAATCATATTTTCTGTTTAACAGTAACATTATTAACTGACAATTATATGATCAATAGTTTTAATAAGATAATAACATCACATATATTTAGAAATGACAAGAAAAACAAAAACATTGTTTATGACGTCATCAGTGGACTTTTCAATTGATAAAACAACAAAATTATCAGATGTGTAGGAACATAAAGCTACAAAGAATGCTCTCGATAAAATTGTCCATGTCTCTATAACAACTGTGATGATTTTACAAAGAGCTGAATAACCACAATTATGATTATCAGTGTATACATTGTACAGAATATTTCGACGGTGTAAAAAATATTGAGAATGCTGTAAAATAAAGTGACTTGAAATGTATAGAAAAAAGCCACTTTTTACAATATGTAAAGCTTGGTACGAACTTTGTGTATACTTTTTTTTAATTAAGTCTAGTAGTAGCCGGCATCGTATTGTTCTTTCTCGACTGTGCACTTTCTGTAATCTTAGTTAGTATAATTTTGACTTGAAAATTGGGAGTAAATTCACCTTCTTTTTACAACAGTTTATGTTGTACTAAGGGATTAGCGGTCGCCTTGTACTAACCATATTGAGTGATGTTACAATCATCTGGAGAACTCTAAATTCGAATTTCAATTATTTTGGACTCATATTCACTCGTGTTCTTCAGATACAAGTTATACTTATATATGGTCCACACATGTGATTATAAAGTATCACATTTTGGTGGTAAAAGCTTATTTTGCGGCAGGTGGCTTTGAAAAGTAAAGATTTAGGTGCGGGCACTTCAAACTTGTTATTTTTGGAAATTGTAATGTAAACCTGAAAATCTCACACTTACTACTTGCCTCACATGATATATGTTTGTGCATTTCGAAGTGTGACGTATATTGTAAATTTTATCAAATTCACCCAATTGAAGGGTTTGAAAATTGGCTCTATTTTAGTTTGAAAATTGCAAATGTCCTGTATATTGTAAATTTTAATATTTTCACACATTCAAGTTTGAAAATAATTTTTCTTTGTAAGCTACCGAAGATATGATTAAATGGTAGAGATTTCATTGCGATTCAATTAGAGGTGAGTACTCGCGACTTTCATGAAATAATTTAATTTGGGGTTAGAGACAGGACAAATATTTTTTTTGACACATTGTAAACTATATAACCTGGACATTCAAATACAATTCCTTCGAGCAGTATCTATTCCTAAACTTAAATTTGAATGAATATACAATATAAATAATTTCGCTGAGTCATCATTCATGTCATTCATCATATTATTTCACAAAAGTAAAAATGTGCTGGAACATGACTTGAGAATAATATTATAAACGAACATCAAATATAAAAAATCAAATCTTTTTTCCTCGGCGATAATTCATTCACACCCATATATCACGAGAATATATATACTCGTCTGTTGGCGCCTATTCTATGATTGACGGAAGCGCCATAGAACATTCTTTCTAGGCAACCAAGTATTTTGTTTTCATTTAAACGTACACGGTGGAATCGAGGTGCACATATAGGAACGGTAATGTTATTTTTGTTCAGCGTAGTGTTTGTATACCCACGCGGGCCAGGGAAGCGACGAACAAAAGTCCTTTTCGATGCCTATTGTTACTTTAGACCACAATAAAAGCGGAATTGTGAAATTTTTCAACGAGCTGTAACGAGCAGATAAATGGCAAGTAGATGTGTGGTCATGGACGAGACAATGACATTGATTGTCAGTTGAGAATCTCTGTTACTACCGCAAATTTAATTCACTTACTGATGCCTCCGCGCTGTTAGTTGGCGGGCGTTATAGGCTTGTCATTTTTTATACAACGAAATTATAGCGACAGGCGTATCCAATAAATATATATAGGACTGAAGTAAACATTAGATTTTTTTTTTTGCTTAAATCATCACCTATTTGACCCTATAGCAAATTTATCGCCTAAAAGATAAAAGATATTTATTTCAATGCATATGATCCAGCGAAGAAAAATGCCGGTCGATTCAATGGCTCTCTGGAGATATATGTCAACTGTTCCAGAGCTTTGTTTAGAGATAATAGACAGGAAAAATCTCAAGAAAACGGGACAAACTCAATTCTACTATTACGGATATATTTTGATGTAATATATATTTGTTTTTGCGTTGTCAAGATTATTTATATCAAAATTTGCTCAGACTTAATCTAGTCCACAGATTTTGAAATAGTCACGTCCTAATAAATAAGGAGGAAACCACCAACCAACCAATAATATATAATAATATTGACTAAACATACCACTGGATTTAGTACTAACGAATCACATCATGTAATAAAATCCGAATGTGCTAAACCACACAAAACGAAAATTGGTTCAAATGGAGATTTTTTTACTTAATACTCGTGGCTTATACATTCACGACTCAAAAATGAAACGTCACCATAAAGCATTGCTTTTTAACAGATTGAATGTTAAATAACATTGAACGAAAGTTTAATTATTAACGATATATCGTAATGAATCTCTACAGCATTAATATATTGCGATAAACCTAAAGTAGGGCCTGCCCTCTTACACTTTGCCTTGTTCAGAGTGAAGAGTCACGTATATGAGGACAGTGGGAATGCAGATTGATACTTCCATTCAAAAGCATCCTACAATTTTGTTTCAGAGAGTGAAAATAATATATTTTAGTAGTCATTCTGGTAAACATTAATCGTTAGATGTTTCTGTTTTATTTTAGATTTGATTTCCTCATTTCATTCATTTTCAGTTGTGAAGTGAAACAATTTCATTGCCAAAGATGGGCAATGTATTTAAACCAAAATTATTTGCCTATTCGAAGAATGTAGGTCTACTCGACATCATTATTCAAACACTATTCTGAAATAGTCTTGCCGTTCGTGCATCTAACTTGGGATCGAACCCTTCATCATATATTTTTAAACACTTTAACGTTACCGCTAATATGATTGTCGACTACGTACTTGAGCGATAAATTTAGTGAAATTCCAGCAAGTAGGTAAAGATTAGTGTATGGTCGGCACAAGTAACTTCAAATAAAGGCAAATTTCAATTTTTCATTTCAACAATGTGAAGTCAAGGAATCGCGCACTAACTTACAGCAGAATAAACGAGAATACAGCAGTTCTAAATGCAATCACCCTCGCCCTGGAGACGGTTTTGGATAAGTCGCCACAAATACGCAGGAGAGCGAGTTTGGCCATAGCCTATTTAATCTGATAAATACCGAACGTATGGAATAAAAGTGTAGTTTAAGTTTGGTTTTGACATTCTACATAAGCGCTTGTGCGGTCACTCTAACGTATGTCAGAAGGTCAGGTAAATATAATAAAATCACAAACCCTCTCCAACCAATATCAGCGAATTTATATTTGGACAAACACTGTCGGTACCGCGCACGTCATTTACCAACTGGGCGGTACTCCATCATTTTGTAATGAGTTTCGTTGGAATTTTTCCTCGATATTGCACCGGACATTGATCAAATTAGCATTGTTAAAACGCTGCCTTAAAATGGACTGAACCAGGCTTCCTATGGCTATGTTATACACACAGGGGTAATTCTTACCTTTCCACCACGGGCTACTTTTATTCTTTGATATTTTGCTTATCTAAGCTAGAGCTTAGAGCATGACAAGTTGTAAATGATCGGTTGTGGACTCAGCTACAAGCGAGTAGGCGACATAAAGAAAACGCGTTTGGGCTGAAATCTTTGTCTGTTTGAATTGAAAATTACATAGGATGGCATGGACAATTGGCCATACTGAGTGGATGATAACAACAAATTTTTCAGATCACAAATATAATAACTGGTTCAATTTGAGTGATTGTACTAAACTGGATGACAATTGCAGTAAAAATAAAACCCTATCCTATAACATGAATGCAATGATTTTTGGTCGTGCCTAAAATAAAAGCCTTTAATATTTTTAGGTGCTGTCCCGGTGTTTCCCCACAACCAATTCTCTGTTTTTTTTATGTAGTTTATAGGAAATATAGGATATTGCCACACACTTCTCTGTTTATCTTAGAGAAAAGTAGAGTAATGACATAACTTGTTATATCCAAATACATAAATGCAAAATAGGGAAGCTTAAAACAAAATCCAACATTTAAAATGCGGTCATGTACGACTTAAACAATTTGTACCTTTAACCTTCAGGTCATGTAAACCAGTTCTTCTAACATTAAACTTTATACCTGAAATTCCAGACATGATTGGCAGTAACTCTTGCTTACGACAGACAACGTAATTTAAGTTTAATATACCGGTACTCAGCCATTAAATTCAGTTTACTACATTGTCAACAGCACTTTTATCGCAAAAAAAACGTGATACCATACCAAGTATGGGCTACAGTCAAATTAGCAACAATCGAGCATGAGCTCACAATCAAAGATCAAATTATTTAGGATTCTGAGGAATGTCTATTCATTATTTCATTGAAGAATATCTACAAGGACTGTTATTCATTTTCTTGTTAGCGTTGCTACATAATGGCGTTATGTCGGTAACCAAAATAAATAGCTAATGGTTACAATGTTTCTTTCTTGTTGAATATAGTTTATTGGGTAAGATTTCTACAATGAAACTTGATTTAAAGTTTCGTTTTCCAATGAAATAACTACTTAACCAGCCGTTTGTACTCATATTTAATTTCATTCTATAATATCTGAATTGCCTGTTTCGCGAATCTGAAATTGGAAATCTAGATGAAATTTAAGTTTTTTCACACAGCGAATAATGGATCATAGAATATGCTTACAAGGCATTATGTAGTTGGTTCAAAGCAGGGATGTGCAACAGGCGGCATGCGGGCCACAACCCGGCCCGCCAAGTCATTAAGTGTGGCCCGATTCAACACTCAGATTTTTCCTCGTCAAACCTAAAATCATAATCCGACAGTTTTTGTTTAAATTGGCTCTCGCATAGGTAGAAATACATAACGCTTTTTTGTGATAATTTTTTGGGGTACCAATTTTTCAATTCGTTGTGAACAGGGAAAACTATAATATTTGTGTGGCACAGCTAAATGTCTGAGGTTGGTTATATGGCCCATCAACAAAAATTGTTACACACCCCTGGTATAAAGCTTGCATCATTTTACGAGATACCACGCTTTGAATACTTTAGATAAGCTAACTCTAAAGTAACATTTTATCACAAATTGCTATATTATCTAGTACTGAAATATTTTTGACTTCTTGTAAATTCATTCATTTAAATATTGCAATAAGATTATTAATCTACGCCAGAGCCTACGTTTATCTATTGGAAAACGAGAATAGTAGTATTCTTAACATATAAGTGTCTAGTAAGTTGGGTTTTTGAGTTTATCCAAACAATTTCATTCAAATATCGATAGCGGTATTCTACTTATATTCACAAGATGTCCTCACATCCCCGGCTTTGAAATTCCCATGCATGAGCTATGAGACTGCGGGAAAATAAATATTCGGTAAAAATCGAATGCAAAGCAATCAAATGAACTTTTCCCCTAAATTTGAAGTAAATTTTATATATAAAATCGAACCGCATTTGATCAGACACGATTTGTGTTTTACAAATAAAATACAATTGCTTGATATGTATTTTGGAACTCTTAAAAAGCAAATAAAATTGTCCTTTCATGTGAGACGTATTAAAAACTTACATAGCGAGACCGTGAATTGTCGATGATATGTTTCGTACTATTTGTTTGCGTTGTTCCACAATAAAACTATCAGGATTGAATCGAACGTCAAACCAATGAAACAATCCATCATAGTTAAATATCGTCGTATAATTTCTTTAACAAAATCGTTTGTGTGAATGACTACATCTAGCATGAATGCGAAATATGTGAATGGCAGTAATGTGTTTGTATAATGGCACTTGTATTTAGGGCCTGTGCATGAGCCAAATAAGGATTATGAAATTCAAATCTAATAAGGATATATAAAGTATCACAAAATATTTTGACTATGTTACTATTACGAAGTGCATTCAGACTTTTTTAAAGTTAATAATATTATAAAATGGAATGAAATTCGTAGTTAAAACATGGAATGGAACATGGAAGTAAAAAAAACAGTTATTTGTTTTACCATGTCAAAATCACAAAGTATAGTTTCATAAAAACCATTAAACAGTTGGTCAAATACATTAAAACCGAAGTGAAAAATATATATTAGCCTGGGAGTTCACCTAAACTTGATGGCACCATTGCAACTTCTAGTAAACACTCAAATTTCAAGGGGCCTAATGACGTCATGATGGTTACCTGTAGAACCCGAATGTTAAATCTAGTATTGTCATTCGGACGAAAATATTTCTTTTTCAGGGAAAGAAAGACTGCCGAGGCTCGAGTAGGCCAAGACGAGCGTTTTTGTTCTCAAGTGGCCGGGCTTACATCGTTTGAACGAGCGAAGTGCGCCGACTCGAGTGGCGCATGGGAACCGCAGTGTAAAAACACAATCAGAAACCTATTTGAACAAAAGCCGGATCCCGCTGAGAAAATGTTGATTATTTGCTCGTTGGCTCTGCTGGACATCGAAGGAAAAGTGAAACCTCAGCGCTACTTCTGAAACAAATGAGCACCAATAAAACACTCGGTGACCTCAAGTTTTCCATAATCGTTTAACTGGTATTTAATAAGACGATGAGTACTACTTTGTGTGAATTTACCCTTCCCACGAATCCTGTAAATGCCGTAAAATTGTCTCCGGTTGTTACCAGGCTTGGCCTTTGTAACGCACAACCACCTGGTATAAAACCTACCTAAGGCCCATGTTCAATCGACTTTTATGTTTTGTTGAGGAAATCTTACTTCCACTTCAATTGACAATGTCACTTACATGGCCTTACAATTGTATTTTAAGAAACACTTGCCGATTTTAATTACGATTTTTGTGTTTGTGCGTGAATAGGGAGATTTACGGAAGTTTACATTGAATCCTAAGACGAAGTTGTATATAATCTATGGATTACATAGATTAGAATCGTATATCCTGGGACAAACATTTCAAAGAGTGCATTATTGTCACCTTATTAATATTTTCTCTAATTATTATCTCCTTACACTAGAAACTGATTAAACATATTTTAACAAAAAGTTTATTTGCTCATTCACAAATTGAGCCCTAAAAATCCATTCCGAAAGGCAGCTAAAATTACAACTCAGTTATTGATCATGTACGAGGTGACCCGTCTTGAATGTCAGTGTACCGCCTGAACACGATCCTAATATCGATGTCGGGTGAAAATTGAGTAGGTAAAGATAGGATGAAATGAGTGTTTTATTATCGTTTCTCATTTGGGGGCAATTTTTTCGCCTTAAAAAAATCTGGATGCTGCATGGCCGTCGAATTCCACAGTCAATATATATTGTGTATTGGTATACGATGTAGTATGTTTCGAACATGTTGCTTCTCACAAAATAGTCGACTTGAATTTGAAAACAAACTGTACTCACCGTTTGAATTGCCGTAGAAAGATGTTGATGTTCATGCTTTGTTTTGTATCGAGAAAAGTAATCTAAAATAGAGATATTTTCGTATATTAGTATGTCCAAAGACTGTGAAATGAGAAAATGCCAGTTGGGCTTTTCTGAGTGTCATGTCCATCTTTCAACGCAAATATTACATATTGCGATTTGGCTCAGCCCAAAAATGAGCCTGTATTTCTACACGACCTGGACACATAAGTTTTGTCCATGGCCCGTAGTTAAAAGTAGTAATCCAAAGCGTTCAAACGCAGCAGAGTGAGTGCTGGTTGCAAACACAAAGTTGCTGAACGTTCATAGGTGTCGGTATCTATTGAACCAACAGTTTTATTAGTGTAATTAGGCGGGTGAATAGTTGTGGCGCCATCACTTGCGAGGCAATTTCGTTTCATGGAAAGGCAATGAAGTGTATTGTAACTCAAATTAACACAAAGTACATAAAATCATGATACAAGACACTGATCTAATATTTGGATTTGTGTAATTCGACCCCAGTGCTGTAATAATTAGAACAACATTCTGCTATCTGCTCAAACGCGTGGCACGAGTGATACCACAGAAGATGCGCCGGTGTGTGATCAGGTTTCGTCAGAATGAATTAGCTACAGCAACGCTGAGCTATGGGTCACTGGACTCAAATTAATCAAGGCGATGAGAAAATCACACTTCTGCATATGATATATATTGTTCGACAATTATCTAATATACAATAAACAAGATTCATATCCGAGACAAGTCTGAATATAGCGATGCATCTGTTACAAAAACGATTGTTGGTCAGAAGATTACGTCATAATGCATAACCAACTGACCATATAGGAGTAAAGTTATTGATAGTTATGTGGACAAATTAAGATAAGTAGATCTGTTTACAGCCAAAACTGCAGAAATAAGGAAAAACACACCCTAAAACATTGCAGCGTATTTTGTATCGATGACGAAAAAGGATGGATTTGACAAACAAAATTGATACAAATTTATGGTTCCATTACATTTGAACCCACGTACATTTGAACCCATGACAATTGCACCTGTATGCTATTGCACCTATGGAATTTGTTTTGTTTCACGGATAGTTAAACCCATACTAACCCTAACCCATGGGTTTTAGCACCCGCATATAGATTGAACCCGTGGATATACGCATGGGTTCAAATGTACATGGGTTCAAATGTACGGTCACCCAAATTTATATATTCACCAAATTGTTGTTACGATGGGACAGAACGTTTTTTCTAGTTAAAATCAATACATACGATTCTATTCTCCCTCTCTTAGCAGCATCTATCGCATATCAAGAATAGTATTCCAGTAAATAATGGAATCGGATATGCCGACAATGTACTCACATGGTGTGTAGCTAAGACTAAAAATAAGTCTCATCCTGGTAAATATTCCAGTTTATATTTCATATTCTACAGCGCTGGCGTTTTGGAAACAATTATCGACAAAGAAACCTCATTTCCAGCGACCAATCGCGTACGCATTACTCGAATGTTGTGGATAGCCTGTACCCTTTCTTTCTGTGGTAACATGGGAAAATCGCAGTGGTTAAAAAAACAAAATATCCAAATCAAAACGCTGATTTACGGTACCGATACAGTACGCACATAACGGGGTTTTAATAGCACAAGCGTGGTCAAGCCAAATTGCGCCAATGATACAAACATTATAAAGGCATACTGTTTTCGTTTACAATTTGGTTAGATTGGGTTTGGTTGCTATAAAGTAAACATCAGTCTAATGTAACAATTGAATTGAAAGTACAACACAACAAAGCACAGAAGCCTTACAAGATTGACAGAGTGAATAGTAATTGTGAGCATAAGGGGTTTGACTTGAAATATCGTGCGAACTTTAAGAGTTTGAGCACGCGAGAGAATGAGAAAGGTATGCAGAGAAAACTGAGTAAGCGAAACATTAAATCAATCATAAAGACGTGACGCCTCTAGAATATTTTCATTTAATGTTATTCTAATGCCCATCGAAGTAACCAAATGCAAATTCAGTTGACTATACCGGAGGGGCAAACCCAGTACTACTAATCTACTCGAAGTAGGATAAATTGTCTATATTGTGTTGAACGTCCCTTAAAATTCCCATACCTGAGTTGGCTGAGTAGCCGCCTTAGCCCTTACCTAAGTAACACCTCAAAGAACACTTGTTCGAATCGATGATGTTTGAGCAAATCAATACAAAAGTCTGCCAGAAATAGATAATTCTGTTCCCTTTCCACACACAGCAAAATGATTTAGTACTCACCGGGCCTTTATTTTCATTCTGAGGGCCTAACCCGGCTCTCGATCCTCTGGGAGATGGAGATCGGATCTTGCTTTTTACGTCTTTCACGGCAAATAATTCTTGTATTGTATTTATGTCCACCGATAGTCGGGGCGTGTTTTTTGAATTTTCCTTAGGACTCCAAATAGTCTCAGCGTCAGTGATTTGTACGTCTGGAATCTTTTTCCAGGCAAATCTAAATTGTGATAAAAGCAATCAGGAATAAGATTTCCCCAAATGTGTATTATGCTCATTTTGGAAATGAGAATAAATAAAAACATTTATATATCTATATATATATATATACTGTAGATATTTCAGAAACCGTTTATTGGAACTTTGGATATATGCTTGTTGAAGTGAAACGCTATCATATTTTTACTCGATTTTTCAATATTAGGGGCATCTAATCTTTTACTTTCAATAAGACTCAAACAATCAGAATTGACTATTTAAAACGACGGCATTAGTCTGTACATATTTTATCAGTTGCCTATACTGTATTCCCCTAAAATGAACGAGTAATTATTATCTGACTAAGTACACAGTACCTAGGATATTCGATCATGTATGACCTGACTATAACATGAATGTATATTTGTAGCCTAATGATATATATTGACTACTGATTGCTAATCATGTTTCAATCCACATATAAGAGGGATGTTTTTATGACCATATCAATAAAATACTTCTTGCATCGAGCGTTATTTGCTACCGTTGGCGACGTTATTATGATCTTAGTTAGCAAAATCGCATACAAAGCCTTTTACTTATACATGACCAGCCTTGAAGCACCTATTTATCCGTATTTCTACATTTCATCTAACACAAAATGAATGACTTTATTATTAAATTCTGGTTACACACATGAGCGAAAGCTCTGTCCACAGAAAAATTGTATTTCATGTATCATCTAAGATTCTAAGGCGACTCAAATACAGCAGAATACAAACAGAAGTTTAATTATTGAAGTATTCAATACATTTTCTTCATTTTTCTTAAGAGTAATTAGGAAATTTGTGGGTTCCGTTTTTTATGGGTCACAACTCACTGTTGCTGCGTCAAACGTACGCTTCAGACTATATTTCAAGCGACTTTGAAGTACTCCAAAATTCTGTTCAATTTTTTTTGATCCTATAAAAGACTTTCTGAATTCCATTCAAGTAAGAAGGCAACACACTGCTATGATTTTATTAACTCAATAACTTCTGATATTAACGTATCCTATAATAAACCACGTTTACTCGTTAATGTTAACTTATAAAATCTAAATACACAAACTGATTGTACAGTACACGATGGTACGAAACAGAAGTTTGAGTACTGGTAAAACAAGCATTTCCGATTACATTAACTTGAAGTTTATTTTACTCTTCGAGTGCCTACGCTCAGAAATTTAATCTCTTGAAGCACCTTCTAACAAGTAAGGCAAACATATAGATTGAACTTTTTATCTAAGGACCGTAATTAATAGTTTATTTCTGATTTATATTACATTTCCGGCGACAGATGGCATCGTTATGACGGAGGTAGTATACAAACAACATCACCAAGCTGTCGTATACTGGAGAAATAAATATTTTACGAAATGGCTTGCTACTTTGAATTTAAGGAACTTCAATATCACACAAGGACACACGGAGATGTAAACATCAGAAACATTTCGGACAATTCAATACGAACAGCGTATGACTTCCAACGGGAATGTCGCAGTGGTACCATACTGGTCGCTGAAACTATTTTAATGCAGCAAGTTGGCAATATGTTATCAAATCCAATTGATTGAAAATAAACATTTATTTTTGTGTTGTTACATGATAATTTAGTGATATTATGTCACAAATAAAATTTTCCAAGCTAGCTTATAATCCATATACTTAACTGCGCATAAATTGACAACGATTTCTGTAATCATTTCAAGGACAGCGATAAATTAATTTATTAGGTGTAATCCCTAGAACCAAAGGGTAATTTATTGAGCGCAATGACGTTGCAAAATGTTACGGAAATTTATGACTTGCGTGCGTAAAAGACCGAACAGTGCTTTTGCGTAAACCACATTCCGATGGTCTGTGCAAACCCGATGTAGTAAAAATTCAGCAAACAATATGGTAACTTATTTTCTATTGTCTTGTACCGAATGCACGCACTGACGCAAGTAATATTAGGTTTATAAACTAGCATGAGTTGTTACATTAAGTTTAAATTCAAAGCGATGACGTCTCCATTTGGTACATTATGTATAGAAACTCGTTTTCAAGGATAAATACCCCTATATCTAATAAGGTATTGACAGTTCCATATCGTGAGCATACAAAGATACAACAAAAACATTTTCCGGACTGGGAATGGAAAAATTTAGACAGGGCGCCCATTACGGCCTAAAACAGTTTGCCTGTTTACAAATCTGTTTTAGGTTAAATTCCTTATAAGTTTCCATAAATGTAGTGAATTCATCGATGTTCTTCGCATGTCTTGTAACATACGTAACACGTAGAGTGCCGATACCAAATTATACATCGAATATACTGCATAATCCGTGACCAATTGCATGCATGAATATTTATTATTAATTAATAATTAATTGATTAAGTTCAATGCATACCATTGCTGAAATTTGGCTGGTAATTATATAAAAACCAATCAAAGTCATTTTCATAGTATAGCTTGACTGTTAGAAAATAGACTAACATTTCCCGGTAAATGATGGTGTTGATTTACTGTATGTATCATCTATGACATTATTTAAATTACTGTCAAATCAGGATCATTTGCTTCAAATTTTCGACAATGAAGGTAAAGTAGTGCTCTGCATTTGATTGATAAACAATCACAACCCATTCCTCTTTAAGTGTATATTTGCAATTCTATGAGTTTCTGGATGATTAATCACGAAGTTCGATTTACTTAATGATTAACACAACAATGAACGAGTGTGTACACTTGAAATCTCCCCGTCTCCCTAAAATAAGCTTTGAGAACCAACTGTAAAATTTGACAATTTGTTGATTCGAATGTAGAACGGTTTAGATAAATGAGAACATATTTTTCAGAATTGTCACTTTTTTAAGTAGTTTTCATCGAAGTATTTGGATTCATGAATTATATTTGATGTACTGTACCTATGAATAAATACTATCAGATCAAATTGAAACACTATATTACTAGTTCGTTTTGAATGTTATTTTTCAGATCCTAAAAACGACCCAATGTCTAAAGTTTTGTCCGGTATTCAATAAATTAGGTAGGCTCCATGACATATCGGAAAGATTCCGGTTTTATCAAAAATCATACCACAGTAATTCACGACATATTGGGTTGACTGCCTATAATTATTATTTTTTGTGCAAAAATGCAATATCTGATAAAAAAAAATGAAACTTAACAACTAATATCTCTGAAATGATCTATTCGAAAACATAAAAAATAGACAAACCTTCTAAATTTAGTCGTTGACTCGTCGTTTTTCTTTGATTTTCCAATTATACCCGGGGCTGGTGGCGGTGGCGGTGGAGGTGGGGCTATAGGAGCTGGAGGGGGTGGTGGCGGTGGCGGTATGTCATGGTTCATAATTGGAAAATAGACACTTTGAACAAAAAATTCTCACGGATGCTTGTGACAATAACAATTTCCGGATACTCCGAAGCCTCGTCCAGTTTCAGCACATTGCTAGCATCCTGTGGTCTCATAAACTTACTTGAACTATGTTACAATATATAACATCTAAATGAATATAAACGAAACGATGTAAAAATCAAGATCTAATTGTCAAAATGGAGAACGGATATTCTCTCAAACTATCAACGAGACAAAGCCATTTTATTTTTATTTGCAAGTAAGCCTAAATGTACCTTTTGCAGTATAGTAATGACGATATAGCTAAAAAACTGCCTTTAATACCGAAAGTTGTTAGTAACAACCCGAGCGGCATCATTTATCATTTAGCGTTCAGCAGTCGCCGAGCAAAATCATGACGTCAGATGTTCAATTAATTAAAAAAACACAACCCAATCAAACATGCTCTGAGATGTTGCAATCGTCATGGTTTGATCAAACTTGATCGAGCAAAAATTACGTTGCTTACATTACGAGTTATTTTTAATTTCCTCGTTTATGCTTATGTTTGAAAATGACGCCATCGAACTAACCCATGCGGATAAAATAGGACTTTAACCACACAACAAAATTAGAATACATAAATGAGATAAAATTAGACCATGATCTCCTCTGATTCGCTGCCGTAAATAAGGGTAATGATTCAAATTATGATCGATTATAACAGTGAATAGCGCACTACAATACCAACATACAGTGCTAGGTTTTGTTAGGTCAAGCATAGGTCTTTCTTAATGATTTTATCGAAGTAAGGAAATATATGACAAAATAATAGCTTTTCATATTTTTTTGTACTATCTACAAATTAGGATTTGTTTTGTAATAACACCAATCATTTCGTTCGCTATTTACGATAAAATTGTCGTAATATTGATAAATGATGGGATACAATATAAAAATGTTTCGATTCATCGTTACTATTTGAGAAATGTTACTTGAAACTCAAAAATGGTGAACCCGCCAATTTTCTCTTGACAGGTTTCATCTGAGACTACCACCTATTACGACACTAATATAACAGTGTGTAATGTTCTCATACCTATCATGAGACTCTGATGCTTGTTAGCTTTAGCCCTAACGTAATGAGTGTTCGAATTTTCTCAATTTCTTTAAATGTATGCATAATTTAATAACGACATACAGAGGATATGTTTTTGTTGGCAGTAAACAACATGACTTAAAGAAAATACTATTGCGTAGTCTGGAGTAAAAAACCTTTCTACTCAGCGTAGACATAGTGGTGTGGATCACACAAAAGACGAGTTGTGTCAAGTATCACCCGCCACCAATTTTCCCCCACTCAGATTACGCCGAGGAAAATGGCAATAGGGTATAGTGCACGCCCACCTTCGAAGCAATGTTTCAATTTCTGTTATTGCTTTGAGAAGAATATTGTATTGTTTTGTTCACCTTCGCTTGTGTTCAGCCTATGCTACTACTACTTATGTACAGAAGTCAAATATGAAACTAGGATCTTGAATTGAGTCAGCATGCTCTGAATTTGCGATTTAGGAGGTGTTTTTTTATGGATCATAAAAGCCAAATTCTTCTGTCCAATGATCTTTCATAAAAAAATTCCCGAATCAACTTCACTTACTCTTTGAAACCACTCGATAACCACAACACAACTTGCGATATAACGTAAGGTCCGGCGAACATTTAACTTGAGAATATTACGTATAAATATTATGAGATATTAAATCAAACGTTGCGCCCTCGGCGACGTCTACTTGAGAAAGGCGGGCACCTCTTCATTTATAGTTGAACGCTCTGGGAGTTGTAGGCCACATCATTTTCCAAGGCTGTACAGCGCAATTTATTAGTAATATATTTTCATTGACTGATTGAGCAATGTAACAGAAAATACGACATTGTGCCCTACGAAGGGAGGTTATTAGAAGTTTTTCCGTAATGTAAAAAAAATGAATACGACTGAACTCTGCGTATAGCTCATAAACGTTAAACAAGCATTGTTTGTACCAGATCATCATGTTAATACATGACAGTACTCTTAGTCGGTGAGACTTGTTAAACCTTAAATATCCTTTTGTAATCCAAATTAAATTCACAAAAATTAGGAAGACAATCACATTGAGTACATATACAAAACATATTAAATAAAACTGTGTGACCTGCATTTGATTAGTGAATAATTAACAATTGTTATTACTTTACATATGTTAATTGAGCTGCTCAAGTTTTTATAACCTTAAACCGCAAGGTAAAATAAGTGCATCTCATTTCACTTGTGATTTAACTTTACTTTACTTGGCATATTCTTGACTAGCTTCTCTGTTTATTCATATGTTAACGTGGGAATCTAGCTCACTTCTGTACTGTAGTGCTAAGGGAACGTCCGCATCGGGAGGTATGATAATTTGGTACAAAACTCTTAATTAGGTATCATATATCTTGATAAAGCAAACCACACAGAGTGAATGAACTTATAATACCTGACAATCTACCAGGCCGTCTCGGTTACCAATACATAGAAAGGATATTATGCAACATTCGATCGGAAGATTTTTTGTAAACATGTTAAAGACATAACTAATAAGTTCTGAACCTGTCAGTCTATATTCTATTATTATTCTCATCTATTTTTCATTCTAGAATTTTAAATTGAAAAGCGCCACTAGCCTGATACAATGGTAACAATCTGGCAGCGGTTATCAACTATACGTTTATATCTCGTCGACAAGTGTCGCGACAATCGGCGACAAGACTCAAAATTTTATCCCTAAAATCATTTTTAGAAACACAATTTTGATTCATTGTGACTAATGTCAATAAACATAGTTTTTCTTGTCGCAACATGCCCTTTACAACTTTAATCCCCGGGAAGTAACGATGACGTAACCTCCTACATCAATTAAGCAAATATTAGGTAATACAACGGACATAGGACCCATCCTTGCTCGAAATATCGAAGGTAGTGTCAGATCAAAAACCTTCCTTCCCCGGTCAACCATAGCTTATATGTACACAGTAGATGATTTTCAGCAAAGGTATAAATAAGGTATGACATCATTGAATGTGGCCGCAAAATTATGGAGATGCATCCGACTCGGGGACACCTGGGCCTATTCTGTTAGCTAAAGTGTTGACCTAACCCATTGTCATTTTTAACAGTTCAAAGTCTCCACAAGTTGCTTGGTCCACCAGTCATGAATTAGAGCAGTGGTTTTCCACCAGCGCCAATCCTCGTCCAATCTTTTTGCCGGTCAGCCTAATATGTTCCAACATTGTATCTTAATTGCAAAATGCAAGGCATTGATCGCCTAGCCCTAGTCCCTGGCCGACTGGGTGACATTGTCACAGTTTTGGATATCTATTGAAAAAGAATATCCTGAGCTCAGTGACAAAGCCATCGGATTACTGCTGATTTTTACGTACAACTTACTTATATGAGAAAAGCGGTTCCATTACATTTGAACCCACGCACATTTAAACCCATGACAATTGCACCTGCATACTATTGCACCTATGGAAATTTTTTTTGTTTCACGAATATTTGAACCCATACCAACCCTACCCATGGGTTTTAGCACCTGCATATAGATTGAACCCGCGGATATACGCACGGGTTCAAATGTACGGTCATCGAAAAAAACTTTTCATCGTTATTTCTCATTTAAACCAAACAGAGCACTCGCCTTACAGAACCATTAACACATATATGATAGCAAAAAGACATCAGCCAAGTTCTTATTGAATTGAATGGTGAGCTTTTGAATTACGACTTTTGTTGTAATCACGGATAACTATGTTTTGTGTTTTTTGACATTTTGGGTTGATTTTGAAAGTTCACCGGTATGCAAAATTAATTTTGACATTTTACCGCCCCGCAAATTAAAAAAGGTGCAGAACCACTGAATTAGAGTACAATAAATGTCGTACAGGGAAAATATTGGATATGGCCCAAAGTGTGAATTTGGCTATGTCCAACTAAATTGCTGCTGTATGTTTTATCGGGCGAATCTACGAAGTGAAATAAAAAGTTGTAAGTCTGACTAAAATTAGTCGTGAACGATAATTAATTATAAAATAAATATACATAACCCTTGTACTTAATTTTAAGATATATATATACTTTTCGCGAGCAGCTTATGTAACAATCAACAGTATTCGCACGAATTAGACAATAATAATTTGTGTTCGGATTCTATGCCCCCTTATTACCTGTCCCTCGGTCTCGCTTTACCATTGGACGGTCTCGGGTCCGTTTTATGCCATTGCTTTTTAAATTGAAATAAGAGTAAAAACAGCCTGCATTTTCAACATTTTTATCAACAGCGTAAATATGCAAGGCAGTTCACTTAATCTGCAGCAAAGTATATACTCGAAGGCAAAGGTTCTTACAATATTTGACAACTCGAATTTGTCAAGTACACAAAACATTCTTCCGAAACAATGATAGCAGTCATGGCGAGCACATGACTAAAACTATTTAAAAATAGTCGTAATTTAAAAAGAAATTTTGAAGTAGCCCATGTGTCAGTCAAATATTGATTTCGATGTCTCCCATCTACTCCGATTACTTCATCTAAATTAAAGATTTTTGAAATAGATATTACCTGATCTAGACACTAAAATTCAAAAAACAGTTTACAATTTCCATGTTATATATAAGCGTGTGTTTAAAAATCCTTATTAGCTCTCTGGAAGAAAATCAAATTTTGCCCGAGCATGAAGTTAAATTTTATCCACTTTTATCAATTTCAAAATATTTAAAATAAATTCAATGAAAATACCGATATGAATTTTGAAATTGCCCTGAAGCTTGACCTACATTGTGACTAATCGCTCACCAATTCAAGAGTTCGATGAGTTCTACCATTTTAAATTCGAATTGATTCGACTCAAGCTAAATAATTGTTTACTACTATACTGTCTCGCAACGCCTGTACCCCATATACATACACTCAGTATTCGGATACGCATTTCCATGATACTAATTTCTTTTCTCTTATTATCGTGCCCACTAATAAAATATATTACTAGATTGGAATCTCATTACATTTCGTAATACCGGTGAGTCAACCTCAGTCTACGCAACTCAACTAACAAATGCAAACTAAAGAGCGCTGTGTTATGACAATCAGACTACAGCGCAGCGTAAGATCGCGCACGCCGAATATCAAAGCAAGCAAGAGAGTTTATAACAAAAACGTGCTGTGTTTGGAAAAAGCGTATTCTCCGAAGTTATATTGACATAAAAAATTCCTTGTTTGTTTACTTTATAAAGCCTCAAATAATGGCACGCTTTAGGAGTCCGGTACTACCTTTTCAATACACTTCTGAATCTTATGCGTGCGAATTCTGAATGAAATTTCGGTTTCTCAAAATAAGCGATTTAATAATCGCTTTCAACTTTGTTGTGAAGCGAGCCTTCTATGCGGTCATAGAATAATAGAACACTTCAAACGATTTATTGTTATACAACCGAGAAAAAAGTATAATCTAGTGAAATATACGAGTACATCATAACTAATTGACGCCACCTAACGATTCGAAGACACGTCTGCATGGGCCACGTAATATGTGGAACTGAAGACTACGCCCGAGAAAAGCTACTTCCTCTCGTCCGCCTTCGTTATCAGTTTGTTACCTATTGTACTAACATGATAATATACAGTTCCAATATATTTAAAGTGTGAGATTTAAAATATGTGTACTTCTAGTATTCATGTTCAATTTGAATTCATTTATTCGACGCAGAGTTGTGTGAAATTGATGAAAAGATCCCTAATACAAGCTTATAAAGGGTCAGACATGTTATAAAACATTATTTTGGAACAACTAAATCCCTTGACTACAATTTCAAGTTATGCATTTTGCCCATGACTCACTGGGTTACGAGCACCGCCGATCGTCTATTTACTTGGTCATTCAGGTTTTTAGGGAGATTGTGTCATTAGAAACCTACGAAAGACGCAGATTGAAAATAAATGGTTTAAATCAGGGGTTTGCAACCTCGATTACAGGAGGGCCAGAAACAAGTAACTGGGTGAAGCCGCATCTAGAAACTCTACCTATCCAACTTAAGAAGATTCTTCTTGTAAAAATATTGCCTCGGCTAACCGTTAACGTAAGATTTTCCACATGTACGAAAGACCGAAAATTGAAAGCGACGGTTTTGTTGTATTCTATTGGTTAGTAACAAGCCTTGCAACACGGATCATAATTTTCAACACCATCGATGGTATCCCTCCAGACCAGACCTACCATAATCGAAGCTAATAAATACTTTAAACACGAAAGAAACGATGTATTTGGATATTATAGACAAAAGAACAGAAGTTTTCAAAAACGAACAAAAGAACTCAACGAAATCACTCAAAAAAAAAGAATCAAAAACAATATCAAAATCGGACGATTTCTTACCGAGAAAATACGAAATATTTTCTCTTACATGGGTATGAATATGCGTTCAGTAAACGGGTCTCTTTTAAACAAAAATTAAATTGGATCGGAAACTGTTTCGATGCTTTTTCAAATAATCCTTGACGAACTCATGATATAAACTTCTAAAGCCTCAAATGCCGCATAATAGCATTCAGGAATCCGATATCAGCATGGACTTTTTTAAAGCGGATTTCTGGTGGAATCACAGAATGATAAGTTTCGGAACACGACCAAGTAATTCTCTACTCGGGGTTGAATAATGGCAGCACTTGCCAACAGATGTAAAGGCAAAAAATAAAAAAAAACGGTAAAATGACCGCCTAAAACATTTTTCATGAATCTAAATTTTTCAAAATCCAAGAATAATAACGATCTAAAACACTAAAATCTGATAAATTATTCAATGTTTAAAAGTATATCTGATTGATCATCTGAAAACGTTAACTTTATATAGAACCGAACTAAATAACATGGTAACTCCAACATTGTAAACTTTAAAATTACTTTTAGTATCTCCCAGTTGGGATCTGGAGTAAGAGGCAAAAAATGTTCACATAATTTTTTCGATTTTTCAGGAAAAGTTAGATATTTAAATTCTTAACACAGCACTGCAGTTGTTGTGTATACCTGAAAAAGTTGAAATATTAAAACCTACTGGAGAAAAAGCAAAAAATCATCATGGTTTGAGAAAGAATATAATTTTAGGAAAGACTAAATTCTGAGGGCAATTCATCAGAGATCGATTTATACCTGATATGAAACTATTATTTTTAATGTTGAGTAATCATCACATTTTCATTTAGATATTTCATTAAATGATTCGTTATTCATTCTCGTCTGATTAGTAATTCAATCAATATAATGATGAAACATCATTAATACAACAAAACAGATAATGTAACAAGATGTAATGATTTGATAAGATTAAAATTTGATGTAAAACTGGTTTGCTAGATTAAAATGAATCTGGTTTTGGACAAGGGCAGTTGAGAGTCAAAAATGAACATCTTTGATTAAAAAAAGACACACATGACAGATGACCAATAAATTTTGATTTCGTGATAAATCGAAGCAAAATAGTTATTTTTGACTTCAGCTGTAAGATTTGTAAACAGACTTGAGATTATGTGATAATTTTTCGGCTGAAACAAAGGAACAGGTAGGTACTAAACAATCTGAGAATAATTTCAACTCTCATAATTTAGCTTTAATAAAAGAATAATTCTAATCAAACGATGTGAACATCATGAAAAAGGAAACAGTGAAAACGATAATGTTCCCCACCATAACACAAACAAATACTACCATTCTCTTAAGCTGTGAAAACAAATTGTTAATAAAACTCAAGATTATGATTTATGACTGAGGTAAACTTTTGGTAGTGGGAATTTCCATTTACTGCTGCATCGATAACCCACTCGTCGTAGAGCTGGTGCTCTGTGCAGCCATTGTGTTGAGATATTGAAGATAATCTGGGTAATTTTGCCCTGTCGTATTTGAACCAAAAGATGAAAAAGCACCCACATTATCAAGAAGACTAGAGGCATCAACAGTATCTGCAGCCATCTGAACAAAAAACTTTCTCGTTACGAACTGTTACTTGTAGTGTATGAGTAGTGGATAAACCTCATCTCTCACTCACATTCATAGGCAAAAGAGAAAAATATCATGGTTGTGGGCCTCAGGTTTTCAGCTGAATAAAAGACTGGGCAGTATGGAGGGCGACTTTCACCACAAATATTGATAGCTTGATTGCCTGACAAACCAAACTTTCACCTAACGGTAGTTAACAGTCCAGTATGGGAATAGTTATTTGATTCGGACACATGGACTTGATGATGGGGTTACGTAAATCATCCTGTGGCAACGGGGAGCCCAGCAATCCTTCTGTACATAATTATCCCCCCAAGATTTGAACATACAAAACTCCTAAGTCCCAACACTAAGCATGATACACAGCTGCAAAGTTACCGTAGTTAGCTAAACATGAACAGGCATTCGAGTATGCAGAGAAAAATTGTGAAAATCTAAAAGTAATAAATCCAACAATTTGAATGGGTATAACTTCAATAATATTACTGACCTTTGGTTTCATATCAAGGTTTGAATTAGCGTTCATAGCCGGACTGAAAAGTGGTGAAAGGCAGAAGTTACTGCTGGTAGTACTGGGTTTTGAAAATGATGAAAATCCTTGTCCGTTATTAGCCATCTGTTGCTGAGTTTGTATATTGATAGAGTTGGTCGGTTTGTTTACCATCAAATCAAGCTTCAATTTCAACCATGGAGCTGGAAATATCAATAGAAAATATGTTCATTTGAGATAATATGGTATTTGATTTTCTCATATGCCCAAAGTGAAGCATGAAAAACTTTTTTGAAAGTAATTTGGAACTACATGCAAGATTATTGATATAGATCAAAAACATAGTTGGTCTCAAACAAGAACCCTGAAGCACTCCTTGATGTGTATGTACCCATTTGAACATATTCTTTGCCAAATAACTAGTAAGGAGATTATTTGCTATCCCCCTTGTAACATAATGCCACAACTTAGGCGCTCCCGAAGTTTTCGTACCAAGATGGCGCACAACCTGAACCCTAACCGAGTACACGTTCTATGTTCAGGTTGTGCGCTCATAGTCCGGGAGTATCACACCTTATATAGTGAGATTTTGACCTTTTTTCAAGGTCTAGAAATGGTGCACTGAGATATTTTTTCGACTTTAATTAATATATATATATATGAGATATCGTATCTAACATCACGTGTGATTTGGAATGGTTGCTTTGAAACCCGAAATGTGGTTTATTTATTACATCATGCTTTGTAAAAAAGTTGATCAGCCTTCTATGAATTAGATGTTCATATACTTTGTCAAGATCGATATAGGGGTATAATTTGATATCGGTTTTGTATTGGCAGATTTTAGGATTGGTATTACTCTGGCGAATTTCACTGAAGATGGAAATATTCCCAATCAATGTGAACTCTGTCAGACATGGTGTTATGGTATCTGCTGCATACTTGGAGAAACGAATGGAAATGTTGTCAGTCCCATTTGCTTTACATTCGTTTTTGCTTACTATTTATTTTCATGTTCAATTCATTCACTGTTGCAGGATTTGGAAATATGGATTGATTTACTCGTTTGCAAAGCAATAATGTGAAACCATTCATATTGTTGTATAATTTAGTAAAAACGCTGGATAGTGGAAAATTACTGTATTGAATTCTTGTTTAATCAAGTGATTATTTTTAATCATAATTTCATTGACACTTTTACTTTTTCCTCTTAGTAGATGCAGTTTGACTAATAATTCGCCATGCGCACTTGTGGTTGGCATAGTTTTGAGCAATCAGATTTTGGTAATATATTTGTTTTGCATCATCAACGACATGTGCTAGTGGGTTGCATCTTATGTCTTAGGGATGTTATCAAACTTATCTTTTCGTAAGAACGATGTTTTAACAAGATATGTAAAATTGAAAACACACATTCGAAATATACAGCATTTCAAGCAAACAATATTGTACCATACCTATTTGGTCAATAACATATTGAGCTGCAGTTCGCTTGGCTTCTTCAATTGTATCTGAAGAGCTGGGAGGAGTGTACAAGTTTCCTGCGTATCTGACCTGATAGACGTATTTGCATTCAGTTTGCCCCAGAGGAGAGCTCTGCTCTTCGAATAACAGAGTGTAAAATGGACAGGCTGATCCAAGATCAAGTCGGACACACAATTCACTAAGAAGTGTCTGCATATGAAAAATAAGTATAATAATTTTAAATAATGTTCAGTTCATGGAAATTTATATGCGTAACCCAAAACAACCATGGTGGAAGATTTTCTCTTGGGTTTTATCGACACCTGGTTTGGAAACGCTGACCTGGACCAAACTATAATTTGATTGATAAAAAGTTAAGCTACATTAAGACGAAATATATCGAGAAATCAAAGCAGTACATCTTCATGATTCTCACTTTAATTCAATGTGGTTGATATCAAGTACACTATATACAAGAGCCTGGTATCTGGAGTTAAAATTTAGCATGCTTTTATTGATATTGGAGTCAATTTCCGTAACGTCTTCCATTAAAAATTATTTGTTTCAAAAGAGTTTTAGTTTCAAATAACACTTACAACAGGGCATTGAATTTTGGCAATATGATCCATTGTCAACACAGGACGAAGATTACGTTCAGATTGTTGAGGTGGACCTTGTCGCCAATATGGGTTGCTCGTTGGTGAGATCACACGAGGTGTGGGAGTCATAGTACGATTCATCATTGATGACTGAGAATAATCTTTCAGACCCAAAGTAGGAGTTATACTTTTTGGTCGATTAGGAAAGCTACGAACAGTGCACATTGGTCCAATTTCCTGTTGAGTTATATGAAGAACGATATTGAAATGCAATGCATAATCCAAAGACATAATTCGTTACTACATACACAATTATAAACGGTTGCAAATTTGAGTACAGAATTTCTTCTAGATGTCTCCCCCATAAATTCATATTATTTCATTCGTGACATATCAGTGGTCATCCGTGACTTTGGTTAGAGATGAGTCCCCTTTACTTACGCATGACGTTGCTTTGAACAAATGAGCTTCAAACCAGAGATGACATTTTTAAGGTTTCGCAAATCGAATAATTCTGGTCTTGTTTAACTATGATATCTTTCCAGAACAGAGGTGTGCAACAGGATCTATCCAGAACAGGAGGTGTGCAACAGGCGGCCCACCAAGCCATTTAGTATGGCCTTTACCAGCACTCAGGTTTATCTCTATCAAGCAAAATCCTAATCCAACAGTTTAGGTTAAAAAAAGGCATTCACATGGGTAAAAAATACATGATTTTTTCTCTTGTTGCTGCATTAAATCTCTCGCTGTTTTGCCCAGTGCACCTTAATTACTGGAAGGTTACGCGATAGCCGCATTCTCTTCTTTTTTCCGTGGCTCTCCGGTCGCTAATTTTTTAATTCATGGAGTACATGGAAAACCTCATTTCTTTGGTGTGGCCCAGCTAGATGCCTGAATGTGGTTAAATGGCCCAACGACAAGAAATGTTGCACACCCAGCTAAGAGCCTTTTTCGCCCTAGAAAATATCTTATAAATCCAAGTAAAAAAACTCACATTAGAATTCATTGATAAATTTGACATATTTGATCCAAACATATTAAATGGTTGATTAGTTTGCTGATTACGGATTGTTGTCGAAGATTGACGATTCATCATTGCATTTGAATTGAACATTTCTGGAAGAAGAATGAAATTCAAAGACTATTTAATATATTGATGAAAAGACTTCAAAGTCGAAGATCAGAATCAAGGTAATCTAGATACGATTGAGTGAAACTTCACACCAGACTCCAAATACCATATCAAAAATTTTGGCAAAGGCTCAAGTTGAAAGAAATTTAGACTCAGCACAGCCTCCAGCTCCCAATAATGAGAAAACAAAATCTTTGGTGTACGCAATTCCTCATTTGAATAGACTATCGACAATGCTTCTTTAATATGATTTCAACTATCATTATTAGAAATCTGAGTTTGAATTACAGAAAAGTTTACTTCAGCAGTGACCCTTCCAGTAAGCGCCTTACTTTTCCAGGTTGGGACACATATTCCAAAGAATGCAGTTAGCTATTCAAATCAAAAAATTTTGGTAAATAAGGGATATCTGATAAAAACAGTCTATATGCTTCCCACATTATATAGAAATGACTCCCATTACCTTCTGTTTTTGCATAATTCAAATGAACATGAGATATAGCAGCGTTTGCTTAACCATTCTGAAGACATATCAGTACAACAAAAAACAAATACACAGCTTTAACTAAAAGCCACTTAAATTTCCTTGTTACCATTTCCAGTAAAAGTATTCATTCCAATGTTATTTCCTAAAATTTTATTTCCCATAGGTGGTTTTGTTAATGTGTTTAGTTTTGCAAGAGAAACATGAACTTCTTGACCATCTATGAGTTGACCATTCATCATCTAAAATAAATATAAAACAGATGGGTTTCGCTGATGGTATAGTGGTTAAGAAGGGAGGTTTTCACCCACTGGAAGTAAGAAGGTGAAAATGTGGTATTTGTCCGTACAAAAGTGGGTTAGAAGTAGAATCCCACTCTATATATTTTGAGAAAATAAGATTGGTAACAAAGGTCTACCAAGAAATTGATTGAGCAAGAGTGTAGTTGTCTGAGACAACTAATTATTATATGTTAACTACCGTAGATACTAAAGATGAGAAACGCGAAAATTTTGCAATAACGAGTCTTCGCCATGAGGTGTTCATCACAGTATTCATATTCTGAATTTGGTGAGTGAAATCACTCAGTTTCATGTCTACCTCATTGCGAGTTCTTTGAGAGCAAGCACAAGTATTATCAAACGAGAGAGAAAACACTCGTCTTTGATTAATTACAAACTTGAGATACAAAAATTAACAGACAGAAACCGAATCCACTTATCGGATTCCGTACTCTAAATTGCCCATTCCAAGTTGTCTCGAACCATCGATGAGTGGTATTGAATGTAACTTAATATATATTATATGTATACAATACAACGTATGAATTCAACATGTCGTTTCAGTAGTAATAATGTATAAATCATGTTAGGAGATTGGATGACTATGTATATATCTCACAGTAACTGCATATAAAGCATCTTCTCTTCTGTGGAAATGAACAAAAGCAAAATCCCGATCCTCAATTTTCTTTACTCTCTCAATGGATCCCGGTCTAATATTATTGAATGCCGCCCATACTGTAAATTCTGAAGTAGTCGGTTTCAAGTTTCGAACATAAACATTTTTCACTCGATTTGCGATGTCATCGGTTACCTGTTTGAATGACAATGGCAAAATGACAACCTCACCACATTGATGGATATGCAAAAGTGCAAAAAATAAGAAGCTTCAAAATCGAATCTATAATTTTGAATTCGAAGCCCCTTCTATTTGCAATACATTAGGCAAACAATTTTTTTCACAGACATGAAGATTTTGAATGTCTATCATGACTAAGCAAAAATGCTGAAGAGTATACACAAAGTAAAAATAAATATTCCAACATACATCTGATTCTGGATCAGCCCAGTCGACAGCAACTTCATATCCAAACAATGTTATTCTGCCTGGAATTAATTTTCTACGAGCCATTGCAGCAGCACGATGGCTTGCATATTCAACAAAGGCAAATCCTCGATTGAGCTCCCCTGGAATAGATATATAATATTAAATTTAAGGCATTTCTAGAAATACATGGGGCGGATTTATACAAATCAAAAAAGAACTTCGTTCAGATTATATAAAAAATAACTCATGTTAATACAGTGAAGTCGATCCGATAAAGCCAGTTGTATTCGCAGTAGTCTAATACATTGACCAGGATAGGATTTACATATTTATCCTGGAGAGAGGAAAGCCTATAAGACGGCGAACCACAGCCTCTTGTCCAGTTACCAGTCCAGGTCAGGTATGGGATTAGTTAGCCAGGTATTTTTTTCGAAGCATGGTCTTGATCGTGGAGGAAGCTGTAACCAAAAACCGGTTACGTGAACCACCCTAAGGCGGCGAGGAGTCCAGCAATCCTCTCGCACATAATCATCCCTGCATGAGATTCGAACCTGCGAACCCACGCAGGGTAATCAGTGATACGGTGGTGAGCTGATTCCCATACGCTTAGTATGATGCACCACATCGCTGAGCCGACTACTTGTTTAAGCGTATTTTCCATTTGATGTATTTTATATAAAATGAGAATCTCCAACGGGATAGGGATTTGGGTCACCGTATAGTTCGTTTGTCCAATATCCATGAATTATTGCTACAATTCAAGTCTATCTCACTCAACCTCAAACTATGCAAAACAACTTCAAACTTATTTCACTCAGTAGGCTGTTTGCATGCTTCGATTAGTCAATGCAAGTTCTTTGGACATATGAAGTACCGGTACATATTCGTTTGCCATTTTGGCATTATAAAATGATTTGATTGAAATTTTCCCCAAACAAGTTGCACACAAGCAAAGGATATTAACAGTGTATAAAATATCCATTCTTATGCACTATGTGTGAAGGGGAAAGTTTGGGTATAACAATAGCATAGTTGTCCACAACTCACCGACAAAGATGATCACAAAACAAATTACAAATTCATCGATACCAACAACATCCAAGATAAATATTTATCGTTACTTAGAATTCCATATTTATTCTGTATTACCTGGATTTGTACCAGGGTAGACAATAACATCAGTGACATCTTCTGTAATCTCACACATCGCTTGTCTAATCTCATCTTGACTTTTATCTTTAGGAATACTTCCCACAAACAATCTAACAAAACATCCGAAGACAAATCCAACCACAATAAAATGACGACAAATAAAGCTGTACTGATACGGCAAAATCCTATATTCTATCATCTAACAAAGACTTCTCTGATCTAAAACTTAATAATAACATTCTAATATTTTATGGTTTTGATTTCAGTAATGCAAACATGAGCTGTATCATTTCTGAATGCAAACAGTACTTTTGTGTACCAATGAAATGAAGTTGATATTCTAATAATCTTGCAAAATGATAAATTAATAATATAACACTTTATAACAGGGCTGCATCGCCAGAGTTGAATCCACAACATTTGGTTGGAGCTGGATCAAAGCTTACAACATTAGATGGACTTGGTGGCGAAGCCACCAGGAATTTTACTGGCTCCAGCTGCTAACCATTCAATTGTTTTCCACATTCATAATTTTCTTACAAAAAATAAAATCTAGTTTTCTACGTTAAAAACTGTTTAAATTTCATTTCTAATATCGATTTGAAAGTTTTAACTTAAATTTGTACATTTAAAACTGTTAAATCGTAGTTTTGAGTCCCACTTCCGCAAAACTGCATACCAAAAAACCCATTGGCTATGGAGTCAGAGCTACAGATTGAATACACACTGGCTCTGAAACCATTGCTCTGGCATTGTGATTTCAAACTAGTTCCCCTGCCCACGAACTTATAAAAAAAATATAGTTCCAGCCAGTGATTCTCAGGTAGCCAATAACAAACAGATAATCTTGTCAAAATTTCGGGCAATTGAACTATTCAAGTTTCGCTGTGGTTCATTGTGAAGAATCTGTCATCTAAATTTCACTTGTAGTTGATATTAAACTGACCGTTACAAAATGTTTTATTATCCATGCTTTAAATTCAAAATTACCAGCAGTTGAAGCTATCTGTTAGTTCTGGTCACTTACTTGCAATTGTCCACACTTCTACAGACTCCAATTTTCATTCCTGGACGAATTTCAATATTATTCAGTAATTCTATCGCACGGATGGCATCTTCCTTTGTAGTGTATGTAACAAATGCATAACCACGATTATAACCACTGAAATCCATCATTAAACGTAATTCGTATATATGTCCAACCTAAAATGATGAGTACGGTATGTATTAATTTTAGGGCGCTCCAGAAGTGTATGTACCAATATGGAGGTAAATAATTTTATTCCCCTACTTTACATCAACTTGTATGATATGACTGAAACCTATAAGGGCAAGGGGTATATTCACTTGGCTAACACAGACAGTCCCCAAACTTGCAATATAACTAAAATAAGGAATATCGGAATAAAATAATGGCCTAACCCCAACCTGGTACATACACTACAGAGGTACCAATTTTGAAGTCATTTTGCATGATTTTTCATGAAAATGTCCCCACATACTACTCATTCTTACTACATTACCTTTTCAAATACAGGAACAATTTCATCTTCAAATAAATCTCTGGGAATCTTTCCCACAAAAACTTCGGTTCCACGAGCAGGTGGAGGTCCACTCCAATTCGGATTCCAATATCTTCTTTGGCCATTGCATTGTTGCATACCTATGATAAAAATGACGCAATGGGATAGGATTTGTTATATTTATTCCGAAGGAAACTTACATAGCACAGTATATACACAGCAATCATTTTTAATCTGTAACCAAAATAGTAATAAATCTCAGAAACACTTTTTACAACAAATTTATATATAATAGCATACCGTGAAATAAGTAGCCTATATAAAATGTTTCATCGATCTAAACTGGTATCCAAACCTGATGATCTTATAAGACGAATCTTTCAAACTGTGTTAATCTTCCATTGGAGAAATGTATACATTGCCAATGTTCAAGTGATTTCCGTCACAATCTATCTTTTTAGGCTTTTTATTAATTTAATTCCCATCATTAATTTTAAAGCTCAATTAATTTAAAAGTATAATATTGAAATTCCACACCCAGGAGCTGATGTATCATGCTTGCGATCAATCAATAAACAACAAAAGTAATGGAGCAGAAGCCTAGCTTCGAGGTAAAAAATAAATCTTTGCCAGAGCCACAGATAGAATAAATAAAGGGTTTCATAACTAGGGTCATTCATTGTAATTTCAAACCAGCTCAACAGCCCTGGTTTCAAATTATGTTATCTCCATTAAAATTACCAACAAAACTTACGATATCCTGTTCGGTTTTCCAATTCCAAAAGACGAGCCATCACAGCCTCGTTGGCAGGAGAATCAAGAGATTGGCTACTTTCATTCGACATTTTCGATGATCTAATAAAACAACTTATGCAATGATGAAACACTGATAATAAACTTTTAGAGTAAGGTCTGTAAATGAAGAGTACAGAGTAATATCCAAAAGGGGTTCATGTGTCCTTGCATTTGTGTTACATGCTGGTTGGCAGACAGTAATCAATGAAAAATGAAACAGGTCAAGTTATTCAAAAATGACATCAATTTCACAAAATTTGTTAGATACAAGACCGTTTGACTGAGCAGGTTTATCTTATTGACTTCGCTACATGAAAAAATTATTTGGGCCTAAAGTCAATACCGCCCCAATTACTGTAACCATAAAGTATACCTGCCTAAAAAATACTATGACATCAGAGTCATGAATCTTAAAAAATCTGAATTATTAAAAAATAAATTACCAGGGCAGATAAAAAATTTAAAAACAGCTTTAAGTAAAGATTAACGATGTAAAAAGCTGGTAGTATAAACAGAACTGAAAATCTTTATTATGTAATGTCAGAGAGTAAAATACGTTTTAGATAGACTACAAGTGTATTCATAACTTCTTTTTGGATTCGAATTTCAGTCTTAAATTGAAGTTTGATATGATCGAAAGAATCTTTGAGAATTGTAACTTCACATTGAAGTAAGGTTGACGCAACTCCATTTGGTAATGTGCAATCAGAATCATTTTTTGTTAAAGGTGACTCCTCGATTAGATTTTTGACAGAACCTCCATTACAAAGGCCATCAAGTTTTCTTTTTCGTGATCGTCGGCGGATATGAACCCAATTACATTTTTCACATTGCAATTTTAAAATAACAAGATTTTTGTTATTTTCTATTTCCATGAATGAAATACCTAAAATGCTGAGTTCTCTTTTAAGTGAGTCATACACATAATTTAATTCTAAAGTTTTACGTAAAGAAAACATAATTGGCTCAACAACTTCCGGGTTTTTAGTCGCATTTTGTAGAGAAGAACGTGGCAATTTTGATTCTGTAATCATATCAGAACAAAAACTCCACCCAATGCCCCATCTGATAGTTCTTCCTTGACAAAATTCATATGTTGTAACTAGAATTTCACTGTATTTAGAAATTTGCTTCTTGAATGTAACAAAGCTGCTTTTCTTTCCCATCAGTATTGTATACCAAGTAACTTTTTGCCTTAATTCTAAACTTTCTTCAAAAAGTTTGTGAGCAAAAGCAAGATCACCACCATCTGTTATTGATTCAACATCATTTGCGTGACATGATGAGTTTGCAATGGGACCGATTTTAGTTTCTATTTCGCTTGAGTCATTGAAAAAGGGTGGATTGCACATACATAAATCAAATCCATCATTTGCATCTTGGAATAAATGTAATAGCAAAGAAGTTGTAGCACTTTTGTCAACTTTGAGAACTTTTATCGATGACTTTAGTGAATTTTTTTCTATGTTATTAACAGCATTTTTGAAGTTTAAACTATCAATCTCAGTCGCAGTGAATTTCCAGTCTGGGTTATTTCTCATGCCCAGTAACGGATATATACAGGCTGACCCTGTGCCGATATCCACAATATGCCTTTGCTTGGTAAATTCCTGTGAAGTAGCATTCAATAAATCTTCTATCCATAAAATATAATTCAAACGAGATGGAACTGTAGGAGAAAGCCTATCTGAAGGAAGATCTACATCAAGTTCGAAGTCCTTATGTAATAAACATTTTGTTAATATTCTTACAACGGACGGAATTCGGAAATTTACAAATGCCTTTCCATTTGGATTGTATTTGACATATGGTTTAAATTCAGGATACTGTTTCGATAGTTCAATAAAATCTGGAGGATTATCTTTGTACCCATTCCTTGGGTGCATGTGTTTGTTCAAAGCCATAGCATAGTAAAGTGCATGAAATCTGCAAGAAAATATGAAAACTTGATGATTATGTAAATGCAAGAAATATTATCAATGTCGTGAAAGTAAAAAGATGTAGACAATCCATTACAGACATGATTTAGTCAGTTTCAACAAGATGAAGCTGATTTTTATGCAAAACATGGCATCTTGATGATAAAATCAAGATATAAGTTCAATTTCGCAACACAAAAGATTCACATTTCCTTTTGATAACCAATATACAAAATGAGATACTGTAAAGAACAGAATTATGCATTAAAAAAAACGATGGAGCCATTCCTACTTCTAGAAGCGAAAATTACTTTCCAATATACGACTATAAAATAAACTCACAATACAACAGGAACATTTAGCACAAAATTTCATTTCAAATGTCTCAGAAATCGAGACTCCATTCTATAAAATTTTCACATATAGAAATATTATGAAAAAGTTACACAATCACACTATTTTAAGGACTCAGCGAAGATGGAATATCATAAATACCCAAGATATAAGATTGTATCACTGCCTTCTGAAAACAAGTAAATCAGAACGCAAGAAAGACGATATTATGGGTCTGACAAAATGATATTACCACCAAAACTGTTCGGCGTATTTAAGCATTTACATCTTTCGCCGCCTTATTACTTTGTTATCAACCATCAATTGTCCTCGAAATTGTAATTAAAACAATATAGTGCACAGATATGACATTTTTTGATGATGGTCACAATTTTGGACGTGTTCAGGAACGACGTGACCTATTTAATACTCATATCCAGCTTGGTCCGGACAGACAGCAGAGGGACTAACCCTAGTCTTCTGCATCCCTTTCATTATCTTCATTATAATCTTCTACACGAACAGGTTGGTCTTCACTAAACTGCATAGCTGTATCAATATGCTGAAGTATTATATTAATGGATTCTTCATCAGATCTATCAAGTGGAAGAAATCTGACCATACTGTAATCGTCAATAATTTGACAAAGAGATTCTGTAAGTTTTTGATATTTTTTATCATGATATGTATCACACATGTCTGCTAAAAGTAGATTTTGCATTTCAGGATCTAAAAATTTTTGAAGATCTCGCTTTGAATGTTTTGAAAGAAGATCAACTTTGGTCATTACACTTAGATGTGTTATTTCAAGATTTATCATACAGGATAGCGAAGACAATGTACCTGATATGAATTTGCTTGGCTCTCCAAGAAATTGCGAATCAACGAGAAATACACCACAAGTTCGAAAGTCCCAATTTTGTAAATTTTCTACCAAAGTTTTCATAACAGGTAAGTGCGTGTATAGTTCAATTTGACCAGGGCAGTCAAATAGAAAATAGCTATCCTCTTCCATGTCTGTTATGAATTCTTTAATCCAGTCCATATTTTTAGCAAAATACTCCATGCAAAATACTAAGCCCCCATTAGGCCCAAATCGTAACTCTTCATCTTCCATCACATCATCCAAATGAATAAGTTCCCTGATATCCAGTTCGACAGGGTAATCAAAATATTCTGCAGCAGGATCTAAGTTTACAACATAACATTTCCGTTTTAGCACCGAAAAATGCTCCACCATCATTGAACAGTATGTACTTTTTCCACTTCCAGCAGGTCCCATCACCAATTGAGCATAACGTGGCATAGTGTCAATTTTAACTATATTCAATATCTGTATTCTAATATCTGAATTAAATGTGACATTATGTTTCAAACCCGGCTGGGGATCCAGGGAGATGTGACATTTTGGTGGAGCTGGAGTCAAACTTAAAATGTTCGATGGAGCTACCAAAAATTTCAGTGGCCACAGCTCCGAACCATCTGATTGTCTTCTATTATTTATAATTTTCCAATACATCACACAAATGAGAAAATCTATCCTTTTCAGCTCATAAATTTTCGTACAGAACTTCATCTCATAATCTTAATTTAAAATCCTGGCCGAATGCAAGTATTTGGGCTGGACTCGTGTCCGGGTCGTGGTCTGGTCTGAGCGGCAGGTTTAAAACAGGTCCTCCTTTTTTTTTGTTTTTTGTGCCGAATAAATTCCAATGCCAAACGGAATTTTTGTATCGAATCATTTTATTTTGAATGCATAGTTTTTTTGTTTCCATGTTTTGTTTTTTTTGTTTTTTAATTTAAATCCCAATCCCCCAAACGCCCAATATATATGAATAGTAGGGTAAAAATCCAAATAAATACAAAATTTATACCATTACCATGATGTGATTAATTTAATATAATCTAGCCTAATAGATGTCCAAAGAAGTTGAGTTAATCCACATGTAATCCACTCAGCAGTTGTATATAATTTTAATTTACAGGTAATCAGTTTATTTTAGTTAGCATGAAAAATGCAACAAGAATACAAAAATTAGATAGGAAATATAGAAAAATCCAGGCTTTTGTATTGGGTTTTACCTATTCGCCACGTATGTTCCATAGTTTATACATCATCCTCTTAAAAAAATGATGTACAAATATTACACTTTCAATAATTTTCATAGTATGGTGTTGCATATAAAATTACATCATGATTGACCTATGTACAGATGTATAAGTATAAGATCATCCATGTGCTCATATACCAATAAATCATTTCTTTCGCTTGTTTTTAGTAAATTCAAAATCCCTACTAGTTTACACTTGAAAATTGAACGTATAGGCCCAGTACTTTTTATTTTATCTATTTCGTCATATTTTACTGAACTTCGATTTTTGACACTTTTTTATCTGACACTTCATCAGGCATTTTGGGTCTGGTATAGTTTAGTACCACACGTACTCCTAGTTGACCTGGCTCAACAATTTTTGCATATGTCAATCCTAACACCCACCTAACTACGTCACCGAAAAATTACGTCATTTCGACGTCACAGTGGCGTAGTAAGGCCCACCAAAGTATGCGGATGGTCGTCCAAAACGCGCAGACGATCACCCAAAATCGAGCAAGCTATTTCTCTTGTAGCTCGCCACAACGATCACGATAGGAGAGAGATCGCCGGCGTTAGCGAGTTCGTTATCGTCGGCGCGGAAATGGCGATTTCGGGTTCTCGTCTGCGCGTCTTGGATGACAGTTCGCATAGTTTGAAGGGCTCTATTACGTCACTGTGACGTAATTTCGTGAGACGCTAGCCCACACACGTTTTTGACAGACCATACTAGGGGTAACTGGTCCGTGCTTGGTATTGCATTTGCGCTGTGTATATCCAATATGGTCTCTATATTGTCATAGCCACCAAGTTTTTATGTATTAACGTTTATAAAGTGGTAAAATAGTTGGTTAACCCCTTGACGTCAGGCTGAGTGTGGGCTGAGCGAGTGTGGGCTGGGGTAACTTTGGTGCCATAGTTTATTATTCAGTATGTACCGTACTCTTTATGGTCTTTTGACCAATTTGGTTATATAATAAATCTTTAACCTGTTCTCCTTCAAGCCACCGGCTGTTGTGGCGCGGCGGTGTGGCTCAACGGGCTAAGCGTTAGGAATACGCTCGCCACCGCACCTCTAACTACTCTGCGTGGGTTAGCAGGTTCGAATCCCATGCAGGGATGGTTATGTGCGAGAGGATTGCTGGACTCCTCGCCGTCGTTGGGTGGTTCACGTAACCGCTGGTCGGTTACGGCTTCCTCCACCACCAAGTCCATGCTTCCGAAAACAAACAATACAGTAAATCTAATCCCATACCCGACTTGGAATGATAACCGGACGAGAGGCCGTGGTTCGCCATATGAATAAGCCGTCTTATCGGCTTTCCTCTCCCCCGGGATAAATATGTAAATCCTATCCTATCCTAATTTCATATTTACCGTGTGCTTTAGTTCCGCATAATCATCGTCGTCGTCTTCTTCGTCACCCATTATTGTACACCACTAACTACAGAACTATATTACGTACTACCGTCTATAGAGGACTTGCACGGGTCACGTGACCTTGTTTACTGGACGGCAATAAAACAAAAACGTCCATTTGGCTCCTGTCACTTGCAAGTCGGATTATACGTTTCCGTTTTGTTTGGCTGTTGAAAATGGTTATTTCGTATGTGGATATCATCTATTGGCAGGACTGCTTGGTGTCAAGTCCAGAAGCCATCTTACTTGTGTTTCACTGTTTGCGGACAGCACTTGATGGTGAGTCATAATGTGCCGTTATCAATTTTTTTAAATATTCATAAGCTCCCTCATTTCAATGGAAAGCAGATGACAAACTACTGTTATTGGTAGGCTTAGGCGTAGGCCTACTTGCGGACTTGACTCGTGTAAGGTATCAATAATTGCCATAAGGTATTGTTTCCCTAGTTAGCAGGTAATCTATTAGTAAGTGTGAAAAGTTGAATAGATAACTAAAGTTTAACGCCAGTGCTAATGCAAAAAATAACCAGAATTCAATTGAATTCCTCATCTAAGAATACGCTCGCCACCGCATCTCTGATCCCCCTGGGAGTTTCACAGGTTCCAATCCCATGCGGGGATAGTTATGTGCGAGGGGATTGCAACTCTCCTCCCACTAAGGGTGGTTCACACGACCGCTGGTCGATTACGACATCCCCCACCATCAAGTCCATGCTTCTAAAACAAATAACTGGCTAACTAATCCCGACATAGAATGGTAATCGTACGATGTTGCACCTTGCAATCTGTTCCCAACCACAGATAAATTCTATCCTAAAAACTACCCACATTGGTAAGCATAGTTGCGTTCTAAATTGAAAGAAATCTTCATTAATGGTCAAAGGGTGTTGTCTAATGGTTTTGTTAGTTAGCAGGTAATTTATTACTGATCTGATACACAAACTTGGCACTGTCAATTGATGATTAGTGTTTAACTTATTTTCAGGAAAAAGGGAAGATAACCCATTATCAGCTGCTTATATGTTCCATCGATATTTGAATTTTTGCCATCCCCAGAGAGGAAGAGAATGGTTAGAAAATGGGGGATTTTGAAGAAAGGCAAAAGGCAGGACCATTTCAACAAATTCTGTTAACTTGTATGCGTTGCAATATTAATTTGTAGCTGTTAGCATAAACATTTAATGTGTCTTTCGACTAGACCTACCACACTAGAACCATAATACTGTAAAATGTTTGATAGAAATTACCCCCGAGGCATCATATCTTCCATTTGAAAGGGCTGTGGAGGCAGATACATTTTTTACTCTAAATTATGGAATGTTACTTCCAGGTTATCTTATCCTTGCTTATAGATATCTTGAGGTTAGTGACTCCAACTGACCCATGCATGCCACACTGAAAATTATTTTGTCTACCCATAAAATAAGGCTATTGGAGACTTCAGACCTTGAAAACAGTCGAATCTGAGCACGATGAATTCAATGTGAAACACGTAATATGCATTTAGAGGCAAAAATATACCATCCTGAGCAGCACCGATCCACAACCTCCTGCCTATGGGATCAAAACATTAGACAAATTGGTGTACTGTGCGCATTCACAAATCTTTGCGAATCAAGTGTGCCTTTTGACTAAAGAAAATTTAGCATTGAAATGGTCAATCTCAATATCAACCTAGTATCTGCAGATAAAACCAATTGTTTTTTAAAAATACATTTTTGGTGTGCTTTATTTTTCAAATATAATTTATAATTACTGTAAAGTGTGTGATACATTTGGTACCATGAATACCATTTGCAAATTAACTTGGGTTACACCCCTCTCAAATAAAAGTTTAGACTCTTAAGTCATATCTCATAATATTCTTTAAACAAAAAGTTGCGGCTAGCCGGCTACCCATCAGAATTTCCTTTCAGATCACAAAGTCGCAATATTACGCCTCGCTAAGTTTCATTGGCAACTGTATCTGGTTGTAGTATCGGTGTCCAACGTTAGACTGAAACCTTCACGACCAGACCCACCAAAACAATTTTTTTTCTTGATAGAGTCGTCTTGAAGTTGATTTTGTTAAAGCCCAATGGACACTTTATCTCCACCAATCCACAGTAATCAAAAGTTACTTTGATACAGCTACTTTGACAAGTTATTATGATAAGCATCAATAAATGGATACTGAGGATGTATTATCAAGTCACGCGAGCTGAGGTCGTGTGCCACTATGGTCTTGTTGCAACTTATACTTTGCCATCCATCTATTCCATGGTCGCACCCATATCTGTAAGATAATGGATACAGATAGAGTTTTTATAAAATCTGACAATCAAGGAGTGTGAAATTTATGTCCATATCCCACATTAGCCACTAGTCGTAAATGAATTTGATTCCGGGTAGCATATCTTTTTTACTAATGAAAATTAGGATAGGATTTATCTGGGGGGAGCCAGTTATTTGTTTTCAGAAGCATGGACTTGGATGGTAGGGAATGGTCGTAACCGATCAGCGGTCATGTGAACCACCCTCGATGGGAGTAGAGCTGCAATCCTCTCGCACTTAACTATCCCCGCATGGGATTGAAACCCGTGAAACTACCAGGGTGATCAGAGATGCGGTGGCAAGCGTATTCCTAGATGGCGAATTAAATTCTGGTTATTTTTTGCATGACCACTGGTGTTAAACTTTAGTTATCTATTCAACCTTTCACACTTAGTAATAGATTACCTGCTAATTAGGGAAACAATACCTTATAGCAATTAATTATTAATTCCTTACTGTCTTACACAAGTCAAGTCTGCAACTGCAAGTAGGCCCACGCCTAGGCCTACTAATAACAGTAGTTTGTCATCTGCTTTCCAATGAAATGAGGGAGCTTGTGAATATTTAAAAAAATTGATAACGGCACACTATCACCACATTATCACTCACCATCAACGAAGTGCTGTCCGCAAACAGTGAAACACAAGTAAGATGGCTTCTGGACTTGACACCAAGCAGTTCTGCCAATAGGCAATAGATGATATCCACATTGCGCGACGTTCCGGATCTTTTGAAATCAGTGGAATATAACTGAAGATCCATTTCGTTGTCTATACTATACGTACAGCCAACGGAAGAATACGAAATAACCATTTTCAACAGCCAAACAAAACGGAAACGTATAATCCGACTTACAACTGACAGGAGCCAAATGGACGTTTTTGTTTTATTGCCGTCCAATAACAAAGTCACGTGACCCGTGCAAGTCCTCTATATTGGATGATTGCGCGCGGCGCATTTGGCAACTCGCGACGGCGCACTAGGGACAACACGTTTTGATCTATCGCCGCGTCGACTGCTGCAAGACCGCCGTCGTTAACCGCCGCGCTTGAGGGCTGTCGCGACACTGTTTTATATTATTATTATTTTCGAATACGTAGTACTGTAGGCCTATATGAATATCGAATACATTCGAAAATAATTCAAGTAAAGGAGCCTCTTTTAGTGCATGAAGAAATATGCATACAATAAACGATGGAATAACTATTGTGTACATGGTGGTTATTCGACGATTGCTCACGCTGCAAGTTTTTAAATTACTCAAATATAACAATTCGTAATTGTCACAAGAAAAGTGGCCTACGGAAAACACGGCGGAAACGTATTTCCTTGCCCATCACACAGTGTCTGGTTTGATTTCAAGTAATATCTGTCACGAAAGAATATAATTCAAAGCGATATCAAATGCGTGATGCGGAAAAGACAACGGTAATTTTAGGGAATTAATTTTTAAATAACTGAAGGCTTTGAATATCTTCTTTAAAAGAACGCCACCCATGCAACGTAATAATGGTCTGATTAGAACGGTAAACTCTCGTTGTTTATTAAATTAAAAGTAAGTAAACTCGCGATATTTCGATCACTTTTAGGTTTTCTCCGACCTGCGGCCCGCGAGACCTTCTCAAAAGCAAAAAACCTAGCAACCTTGAACCACCCCGAGGTAGACTACTAGGTACCGGTAGAATTGCAAACTACAGTTGTGACTTGTATCCTTTGGTATTTCGATTCACGTTGAGACCGAAGGCATGAATCTTTATTGTCACACTCCTTCAGGGTTAGAGCTCAACCGTTTATATCGGCCCGATGTTGTGAGTTTGCCGATATATCACATAAACGGCCGATATATATATCGGCTATATAAAACAGGTAAAAAATCTAAAAATGTTCGTAAATGTTGTTTTATTTACTGTTGGTTGTGATTATTTTTAATGAATAATACACTCATGTGGTTTATTGTTTTTATAATTAAATTACACATAAGGGGGCACCAAAGTCTTCAGTGCTTAGGGCACCAAAGAGGCATAATCCGCCCCTGGCAACAGGCCTGGTTGAATAAGCTAACAGATACGCAGTGGATCAAAACAACGTTTTAAAAGAACTTATTCAATTCATTCTGAAGTACAATTAAAAGTAATTTAAGAAATTGTTCTGAACACACAATTTCATACTCAAGAATGATCCGGTCGACGCTTTGAAACATACCATCACGGTCTTCAGACCTTTATGGGCAAAATGTTTCCACATATATATATTGCAAGTTATTTGGGAGAAATGATTATGAGAAATGAAAAAAGACGTTTGTTTCCCCCAAAAGAAGTATATGAAGACAATGTAGCATGACCACCGTGATACACACCAACTGTGAAAATATTTTTATTAAAAAATCTTTCACACAGAAACATTTCTTTTTAAAAATAATAGGCACTCCTGAAGTATGCGCACCAAGATGTCGCACAGCCTGAACCCTGACCTGGTACACAACCTGAGTTCAGGTTGTGCGCCATCTTGGTGCGCATACTTCAGGAGGTCCAAATAATAAATAATTTATATAAGTAATTGCTCAAGATAAGTTACCTAACAAACAGTTATAGCAGAAACAATTATGTACTCTTTGTCAAAAAAATTCATGCCACATTCTCAAGCCACCAACAGAGATAATTATGATAGACTTTGATAATAAATGAAAAGCAAATATATATAATGAATTGAAAATAAAGAATCTAGTTCAGACGCTATTTTGTAGTTACTGAAAACTTATTTTACTCAGTGTGACATAAACAACGATATAATGCATACATAAACACGACTAATGCTCCAATGCACCTATTGGAAAAGCAAAGCAGATTATGAGGGGTTAGCACATCCAAAGCGTGACCTCGTGTAAAAAATGTTAAAGCATGGCATAAAAGTGACCGCGGCGTTCAACTTTAAATCACTTGTAATGCATTTTGTGCTACTGAGAGTTACTTCCGGATTTAAGTGCAACAATATCATTGAGTACATCAGTATCATAGCGACCTTTTTGTCTGTATACTCTCACATTGTTGGACCACGAGGATGAAGAAGAGTACATGAATCTGTCTCCGAGTATAGAAATCTAAAACACAAGATAGTGGTTTTAATTGTTGGTAGACTATGTAACAAAAAGGGAAAATGCAATTTTTGTATAAACGTCATAACTTGAATGAAAATATATATATCTAATATTATCTGCACTGTGAATAATTATCATATGTGACTTGAAATCATTTTCGGTTCCGAAGTGACTGATAGGCTGCTAATAAAATTGTATTTCAAATAAAAAAAAAAACATGGTATTGAATATAACAGTACATTGATGTGATTCGATTGTAAAATGGAAAACGAACAGTCTATAATCAAAAATGAGCCAAGCAAATATTCATACTCGTTACCTGCATTTCAATTAAAGATACGATTTCGTTATTTTCCCTGATATCGTATTCACATTTTTTATATTGTTTGCGAAAACTCTTCATCAAATCTTCAGAAATGAACGCCTTTATTGTCCATTTTGTCAGAAGTATTTGTTTAACCTGGTGCAATAATTTGCAATTATTTCAAACAGATTTATATTCTTTATATCACCAGTAATTCTAATCAGTAACATTGATATTAAAATGTTCCTGGAGTCAAACTCATACCGTTTTCAAAGTTTTCGTAGATGCTGGAGGAGCTGCAATGTATGCAATTGGTCTTTTCTCATTCCCTGTTTTTACAATTTGTTCAACTTTATGTGCTATAGCTCGAGCTATGTTCAATGGTTTGATTTCAGCCACATCAGCACACTTTTTTGCACGCAGACCTTGAGATTCTTTTCGGCAAGCTTAAAAAATTTCCTCATTATTCATCGAACCTAACGTAGAGCAATATTTTTGTTAATTCGATGAAAAATGCTTTTTCAAACACTCTTATCACATATGAAAATATATTAAATGCAGATTTGTTGGGTGGATCGAGACTTAAAGATTAGAATTAAACACAAACCGAAGTTTTCAAATGAAAATTATATATCAAGTATACAGTTTTATAGAAAGCAAACCCATTTTGGAAAATGAACCTGCAGAATATTTATTGAATAGCTTGTCTGGTATCGATATTGACTTATATTTTAAAATGATGTTTATGACACAGTATAGCCTGTCTGACATGGAATTAGTTACGGCAATCCAAAACTTTGACAAAACTATTAAGATAAGGCAAATTTTTTTTATATATCCTTAAATATAAAATATTAGGCATTTCGTATTTAGTTTCATGATTGCAAACAGAAATTTATTTTTCATTCAAATTTGTTTACTTCGTTGCCAATCATCCGGATCAAATCTCCAATGTACACACACTAGCTTTGTTGTAGAATCTTCTTTCCACGTTCTGAGCAAATCTTCTGCAATTTGTTTAGTAAATGGAGGTAGGTTTGCTGTTCCAATCACCAGAGGAAATAAGTCTCTGTGAGATAATGCTCTGGTATCCTTGAAGTTAAAATCAGGTATTGTGCGACGGCGACCCACTGTTAGCACAATACGAATATCAGTTACTTAGAGTGAACAAGGGCAAATGAAAGTAGTATGTGTTTGAAGAAAATATTACTTACACTCAATAGTTTGCCAGGGAAACGGAAATATTGCACATTTTTCTTCTGTTCCGTATGCTTTCTGGAGACTTTCGATATCAGGTTTGGGGTGTAAAAAGCCAGAGAATTTGTATTTCGGAAATGTTATAACGTGACGATCGAAGAGACGAGATCGAGTTTTGTAGCATTTACTTCCTTCTTTTAATCCCGGAGCAATTATACTCATGTTCAACTCGCGACCGACATGCAAAAGAGAACTGCAAAAACAAGAAAAACTCAAAATCGTACGCTTTCAATAGAATCTCCCCAATCAGATCATCGTGCCATCACGCTCGGGGCCATCCAAGCAATTTCCGGAATTGGCATTGGTTTGATAACCCAATTTGAATATGCTTTTTGGACACGAGGTGGACCTATGGATCGTTTTGGTATTATTTGGTCGTTGTGCATCTTGTTGTTGTTGTTGTAAACAAATCGTTTACCTATTCAACTATGAACCAATTGCTTTAGAACTTATAGTGGGTAACGATTATTGTTGTCGATATTTCTTTTATTTGTTTCTCAAATTTCTGAAATTTTTTACTTCAAATTTTTGTGTCTTGACGGCATCAAAATTATTGCACACCATGTGACGTTTCTGTGATCGCATTCAGCGTTCTTGTGCCCAGCGGAAGTTTTTGATAGATTAGGTACTGTAAATAGGTAAATTAGCGTTACCGTAAAATATTTTATACAACAGTTGTGACTCAAATCATTTGGTATTGCGATTCACGTTGAGACTGGTTATATGAATCATCAGTGTCCCCGGACCCGGGAAAGCTAGAACAGTCTGGGTACCCTCCTGGTACCGACACTGGTGAGTTAAGGTATGATAGCTGTTCCACAGTTCAAGCTTCGTTCAGAATATGATTTTTGAGGAATTATGAGTAAAAAAGTTGTTTTGAGTATTACTCTCTCGTTTTCACAAAATTATCACTAATATTCCTTGACCTATTATCACAAACATTTCAATTATTTCTTACCTCAATAATTTTAATCAATCTTAATTGTCTCTAGAATTTATCAAAATAAATAAATCTGTTTTGCAATGACTACTACGTTGTTTTAATATTACAATTGGCAGTCGATATTTTGCCCTAAAATAAGATTTTAATTTTAAAGATAATATAAACCACTTACCAATGGCGAGTATTATTTGCTTCTCTCGTTAGAAATACAGCATTTATTTTTCCATTACAGTGTGAATGCATCTTGCTGGATGGTATCACAGAAACTAATTTACGAATCATATTAATGTCTGTCCTCCATTCCACTGGAACGTCCCGCATTGGTTTGTCTGAACTGGTATTGGAATACAATGAAAAACAAGTCAAACAACAAATCATCACGACAGCTGGACTATACAACAGACAGGTGTTTGTGATCTCGACAGTTATCACCCAAGTCCTATTAGAGTTTGCTCTCAAAGCAAACCACAACCACTTACCCAGAGAATAATATAATCACGATTTGAAGTGTTGAAGTAAACGTCATGAGCTTTATATATACACTATATGAATATGTACTAATCTCTTAATCAGGACTTGTGAATGTTACCATATGACGTTATAATCCCCAATAGCGCCGCAAGTGTTTAATGACCTTAACAAATCGTGATGTTCGTTTTCTTACCGTTCCGCTGCCCGGTGTTTCCATTGGACACGAAATGGACGTATAGATCGTTTTGGGCGCTCCAGAAGTGTGTGTACCAATATGAAGATAACTAATTTTGTTCGCCTATTTTACATCAAGTTGTGTAAAGGGACTGAAACCTATATCCACAGGGGCAGGGGGTATATTCACTTGGCTAATATATACAGACAGTCCCCGCACTCGTAATAGAAGTAAAATAAAAAAAATCGGTATAAAACTAGGGCCTAACTCTAACCTGGTACACACACTACAGGGTTACTTTGTCTAGTTATTGTGTTGTCGCGCCGTAATTCCGTGATCGCGTCTCAGGGATCTGGTGGTCAGACTACCGGTACTGTGAAATGTTTAATACCACTTTGTTTGGGCTTGTGTGTCCATTTATTTGGGCACTGCTCTCTTGTGTTTCTGATAATATATATACTAAGTTATAATATCGAGTCGTGTATTAAAGACTCGTAAGGCCGGATATAGAACAAAACAGTGAAGGACAAGTAGGCTGTCAGTTCATTTTAAGCAATGATATTGGCAAGGAACACTAATGAGAAGAAAAAATTGTCAGAAAGATTCTTCATTACAATACAAATACTCACTTTGACGAATTCACAAATGCAATAAATCTTACCTTCCAACCCGGTGTGTATGAAAATGTGGCATAACTAGCGTTCTGTTTAGCCTAATCGCAAGAAAAATTGATTCCCATAATCCATCAAGTTGATTGTTAGGTCCGTTCGTAAGAATTGGAAATAAATATCTTTAAAATAGTAATTGATGAAATTGAAAAAAATTGAATAAATTTACATTGAATGACGAGTCACTGGATGATACTGTTCAGAAATCTTGAGTTCGACTCTGGGATACGTATCTAACTTTAAACCACGTCTTTGTTAAATAACCTTCTATTCCATATTTACCAGGAGATCCACTCAGGTCTAAGAAACTGCATGTTCTTAAATACCAATAATGAGAAGTCTTGTGTATATGAGGTATAGCCGGAAACAACACCACATACAATCGCATGATGAGTTTCGACTCTAGTTTTACAGTTATTATCACCGAGTGGCCTGCGCTCAATTTAATGTCAAAGGCACTCGGATTGAAAAAGATAAAAATGTGTATATAGTATATATATATATAAAATAGTGATGAAAACGTGATGTGTTTTCGTACCTTTTTGAGTTTAAAACAAACTTTGGTTTCACAGTCATTGTCCAGTCTTCAGCTATGGGAACCGGACAGTTAAAATTTGATTTGACTACAGGCAGTTTTTCATTGGAAACGACGATGTCAATTTCTTTTTGTTGAATTGGAATGTTGTCGTCGACAACGTGAGTAATAAGTTTTGATGATAAACTTGCGTCAATGCCATTTTGTTCTTCATTTGTTCTGTTTGTCTTCTTTCTCATAAAACTGTTTTTGTTTATATTGGAAGAATATTGACGCCCTCTAAGAAATTGATATTTATCTATACGATTGGATTGCGAATGTCCTACATTGTTTTCATACTGAATGGAACTGTTGGTGAAATCCTGTAATATATAATGCCATATCAAAATCTTTGCTGCTAAGAAAATGAGGTAAGAAATTGCTGATATAAGAAGAGAAACAGTTTGTATAATACAGACATAAATTGAAAACGTATTGGCAACACTTTGCTGCGAGTTTTGTTGTGTTAAATTTGGCAAAATCCTTTTTCTTCGTGAGGGGCCGAAATATTTGGAGGTTTCGACAGATTCAAAAGAATGTTCACAGCAACTGCATTCGAATTCGTTACAGTGAAGTCTAGCTGCCCTATTAAATCCATGTTAGTATGCTCTCTCTTTAGTAGAAGTTATTCATTATATTTAGTATGTATCCAAACAAACCTTTGATATTTGTGCCGCACATGGTTCTTTAATACACATCCAAGTAATGATTAAACATATAATAAACAGAACTTTCTTTGTCACCATAATACGTAAAACACGGTTTTTGAATTTTCCGAACGATCTTATGAAACTTTGCATATTCCAATGTGATATATCCTCCAACGAGCTACTCGATGGATTTTCATTTCCTTCCAATCTGTCGACCATATAATCCTTAGTTTTTAGACAGTAAAAAAAAGCAGTTAAAAGCAGTACCCGAGCTCATCTCACTGCGTCATAGTTTATATGCAAGCAGCTAGAACTACTTCAAAAATATGACACCATTCAATTATTGTTCGATAACATAATATATAATTCAGAAGTTGGTAAAATTATCATGTACTGGAAACGAAAATTTTGATTTCAATCTCAAGATCAAAATACATGCACCATACTATGCCTACGTTCATGGTACAGACATGACGTATTCATTCTTTAACTGATATCGAATATAGTAGACAGCTTCACAATTTTTTTTTGTTTTTATCTCTAAGCGTAGTGTTTAAATGAAAAATAATATGCCGTCATATATTTCAACAACAGTTCTTTCTGTCCGATACGCCAATAGTGTTTTTTTATACAAATGTCTACCAAATTCCATGTGAATGAATATATATGGTACGAATTTTTGACAATCCCTTCATTTTATTCTCCCCCCAATGTGTAGTCGTGCTTGTCGGCCTAGCATGATTACCTTATATCCCAATTTTCTTGTTACCTGTAAGCATTTTATCGCTTGATTCGTCTTATTTAGTCAGTCTCATTGTAACTCTGGTGGTAGGAATATAGTTTGTTGCATATATTTGGCTTTCATTTTTTACATTAAATCGTGTCTGGATTCATTGTTTTCACGTTCAAAAAATTCAATCGGTATCAATAAAACATGGTTTTGACCTTTACCAGGAAGTGCCTGACAAGCTTCTTCATAAAATGACACGAATGAATATAGCTGAGACTCTGTAATGCGGTCAGTGACACATTTTTTTCGATATTATATTCCCCTGTTGAAACTAAACCCAGTAGTACTCTATCCTTTCTATAGCTGAAAACTAACTTATATTTTTTCCGACTTAAATTTAACTGAACAGACTTGTCACAAGTCGCTTCAGGAAACATATTCGTAAGACGATCTAACATCTGAACCATGCCCTGCATACAATAATATGAGCTATATTTACTACACTGTATAGCATTATTGTGTATCTGTCTGTTGAATACTTAGCGAAAGTACTTTAGTACGTTCTAATACTTGCGTAACCACTACGATTCTCAAAGATGAGATAAGTACCCGCCCTCGGGCAATGTTCCAACACAATCATTTAATTACCCGATCTGTCTGAATATTTATATTCAGGGAAATTAGATAAAGCTAATTCTGGAATAGAACATGAATTAATCTCAAATACTATTTTGTTGTACACTTTTGTAGTATTGATATTGTATAATATTATAAACAATATCAATTTCAAGCACTTTTATTTCCAATTACGCAATAAGACAGGAAAACTTAAACAATATCAGCTCTGTAGCAGATGCACGATCGTTGTGATGCCTCCCCGAGGAAGAAAATAAAATAACGCAACAAGAATGTTTAAAGATTCATTTGTCTCATTTGTTCTTGCAGTCTGGCATAACATTCAAGACACGTTCTCTCCATTTGGTTTTAAACGATCCATCATCAGCTGCCAGGCCGCATATACAAAAAAAGACAAATGATTTTGCATTAACATGCACACTTATGCGTGAATAAATCTGCTTCTGTTGTCTCGGATGCAATAGGTAGTAAGTTGACCATGGGTGTTGGTGTGCCACGTTCCAAAAACGACATTAATGTATAGATATATCCTATGGGACTACGCATCAACTATCGAGTCGATTGTTGCTAATAATTACATTAATATATCTTATAATTTCAAACCTATTTGTATCCATTTTTATGTTCCCCAATTGTTCAAAGTAAGTTTTTTTATGTCCCGCATACGTTCAAACCAAGTCGATAGACAAGCAGACAGTACAAATTACTTTAAATGTGATTCATACATATCGAATTCGCTACCCGGGCTGAAAGCTGAGTTAAATTATTTGAATTAAAATATGATTGAATTTTCCCGCTGATACGGCATTTTGAGCATATAAGTAATTACATCTTTTGCTCAGCCTAGGTATGGAAATAAATAACAAATATTCAAATCTGTCGGAATCAGATGACTAAGTTGACTTCCATACAACGAACGATACTTCATGTTAAGCAATAGTTATTTCCTCGCAATTATCTTTACAAGTGCCGTTTCCATCTCATCCATGTTATACATGTAAGGTCCAATTCCGCTGATATACTTGACTCTACCATCCTGAATAATGGCCAATCTTTCTGGTAAAGCACCGTAAGCTCGATTAGTGTCATCCCCCATCACGTCGACGAGTAACGGACAATCTAGGTCGATATTTTCTTGAAATACACCTGCAGCTCTCAGACGATCATCCATGGAAACATGTTGATACAAAGCATACCTATACACAATAAATAAATGAGTTGATATGGGTATATCAATTTAGAATTGATAATTGATTTCGAAGAAAGAAAAGTTGAGAAAGTTAGGATTTAAAGCTTAAAAATGCGAAAAAAATATATTCAAGTTTGGAAGCGATTTGTTTTACGGTTCTCGGAGAGAGCATGTCCTACGGTTCATGTCCCCGCAACATTATTTCAGCAAAATGATTTCAAAGCCCATTTAGTATTCAATAAACAGATAATTCCAAATATTACTCGTTTTTATTCATCTTCCATCCATCAATTGGGTGGGCTTCTTCGATATAAATATTAACAAAATCTGCTCTGTCTCCGTATTTGCTGACAATGTCTTTGAAAAACTGCAACAAAAATTGGATAATATATATATTATCAACAATAAGACTCAGTTATCAGTCCTAAACGCACGCTTTTATCTGGTAAGTTTCCGTTATTTTCAAGGTTACGTAATAGGCCTAGAACCGATGGTTGACAAGACCCATTTGTGTTACCTAAATTTTAACAGGTAGCATACTGGAAATTTGTTACAATTGCTAGTAGGGCGATTGTTGCAAAAGTGGATGGAGCAGTAATGTATTGCAAAATATTTTTTATATCAAACCAGCATGTCAGCCATGTACGGAGGTCAGGAACAGGATCCTAAGTTCAATACGAGCGGTCTTCCCTTCTTCATGTATTTGAATACACTGAAAAATATGAAAATAACACAACAAAAAATGATAAGAAAAAGCACATCATTGTAAGTTTTAAGGTTGAAATACGTGCATACAAAACGAAAAAATAATGGCTATGTCATTTGTAAATCTTGAAACCTTTCCGTATGTGAGACACCTATTTTGAATTCTTAATTAAAATTGCAAACTCAAAGAAACACCATCTGCATCCCAATATTCTACATACCTTGTTTGCTTTTTAGTTTTGAAATCAATAACTTTGGTATCTGGAGCATCACCCCCGATAACTGCAGTACGAGACATGTCGATAACAAAAACTGACTTTGCGAATGACTTTATAGCCGCTACTGACCTAAACCAAAAAATATGTTCTTGCATTGGAGTATTACCCGGAAACAAGTATTAAACATAATTATTATTATTATTCACATTAAAATATTTTATCGAGTCCGGTTCGGAAGTCGGAGTGGTTTAAATTTATCTCGATTACAGAACAACTTACGTCATGATTGTCTGCCTTCGGTAATCAACGCCAGTCGTCTGTAATATTCTGCCCTTCCTTGTGGATGGATCAAGTGATTTCTCGCTTTTTTCTGTGGATAAATGGACATTGCTTTGCGCATCCGATTTTAAGTTGCCAAAAGTGATACTCGCACAAGAGCTATATTACAGATATTGAACTATACTCTAATACAGGGATGTGCGACCTACAATACACGAGGCCAGATACAAATAACTGTATGAAACCGCGGGCCGCATATTTCCTTAGCGTTAGGCTTTCTAGTAGTTCTAGACACAGAAATTTTGGTTATCGATCTTGTGACATGCGTTGTTCGCTTTGCACAAGCTCAGACGTAGGCATTGCAACGCAAAAAAATTGGAATTACTCGCACATACTAGATTAAATCAAAAACTGGTTTCGCGGGCCGCACGCCATTCAAAATTGGCGCTTCTCCGCGGGCCGCACAAGTTTTCCTATTGGGCCGCGGGTTGAACATTTCTGATCCAGTAGGCTAGTTGTTTTTATTGTGTATTTTGAGGTAAAGGCAGTGGTGGGATTCAAATTTTTTGTCAGTCGGTTCCCTCACAAAAGTTAAATTTTTCAGCCGGTTCTGTTACAAACAAAATATTGACAGTAACCAGTAATGCTAACCGGTTCGCTGATCTCATAAAATTCCGTGAGAAGGTTCTATAGAACCGGTGCGAACCGGCTGAATCCCACCTCTGGGTAAAGGTTATACTGATATATGCAGTAACGAATTCACAGGAATAGGCAACAACAATCAGTGGTAAATCACGCACTGTCGACGACATACTTGAGAGCACAGATTTCTGCAGAGTCCAAATTGTAAGTAAATAGAATCAAATCAAAGTTCCCGAAAGCTGGAAAACTAATGTCCTGATAAAGCTTTGGCTTGTAAAGTAAACTGTTCTGCGTTTTTTGAAAAGGGGTTAAAAAATTCACAACTTACTTAAATTATGTGGTAAAGTAAGTTATGTTAATATATTGTAGAATGGAATTAAATTCACATTACGTCTAGTTACACTAATCTGTATTTCATAATATATCAGTGACAAAAAAATATATATATACGTATATATATAGTCAATGCTGAAATATAATTGATGGATACTGCTCGAACTTTGCAATGACTCCTACAATCTATGGGTCAGTCAGATAAATCTTTTTTTTTTAAATTGAACAAATTGACTAGGGTTAGAAATGAATGAAACCCTAGTAAAAAAGGCACCTCATTCTATATGAGATTCTGTATGGTATCGTTGTAATATAATTTCGTAACTTCACTAAAAACAAAATATATCAGTAACAGAAAAACATACCCTCGATTCTTTTGTTACGAAAATAAATCTTGATATCTTCTCTCCACTCGGAAAGTAAACAAGAGATAAAGAACCAGAGGTTCTTTAGGAATCGGCTGACCAATTCCTGTCTTCCCATATTTTAACTAATAGTTTTTATTTCATAATAATATCCGGGATTTTGCATCAATGCCTGCAAAATGTGAAGTAAAAGCAGCATTTTTATCATAAATTCTATGCACATTGTATTTGTATCTTAAGTGTTTTTAAATACATCTTTACTTGAAACAAATTACTTAAATCCTGAAAATTCCGAAGGCAGAAAATAAATTTGTACATTTTTAACCGTAATAGCGATAATTATGATTTGTCGCAAGGTCGTTTTCCCCACTTAAATAACTGCTCGCGTATGGTGAAAAACGACACTATTTATTTTGTTTTTATGGCTGCTAATGATTTCTAGAAACGCTTCCGGCCTCAACTGTGTAATTATTAATAAGTCGTTGAGGTAGGACATACCGAGAAAAGTGTACCTCTTCACTCCTTGCGCAGTTTACCAGGTCAAAATGAGAAATCTATATTTCAGAATATGCTTTATATTAATAGCTAAAATTTTAGCGGTTTTGAGCTGTTTTATAACTGTACTAATATAACCAAGAACGTATATTCTGGCTAATGTTTGTTTGAGGATGTTTCCTTTGTTGTCAGACGACGAATACCACTCTGACGCCTGCGCCGATCCCCCAGTCTGTCCGACACACGTTAACGAGGCAATGTCTTTATTGTCAACGATACAATAGAATGATCCAACCGGATAGGATCACAATCATTAATATTGGGTAGCTTATATACTAATTACTAATAGATGTAAATGTACTAATCAAGTATGGAGCATAGATAAATTATATTAAAACTGGTTTGTCATTAAGAAATGGCTTAGGGCTATTTAACTTAGTTATGTCCAGTAACTAAGCAGGTTGTGACATCTTATAATTTTGAGGAATCTGACTTCACTGGTTATTCATATTATAAATTTGAAAAATAACAGTAAAATCTAACTAAAATAACAAGATTATTCTCACACTGACACCCTATACCATGGGTGGGCACAATTTTTTGTATAAGAGCCGCATGCTGCAAATTAGAACTTTATTTAGTAATTTATTTTATTATTAAATTTTTTTTTATTTTTTTTTTAAAGAAATTCTTCTTCTTCGCCTCTTTATTATTAAAATGCCATGAACAGAAAAGAAATTCACACAAGAGTATAATAACAATAAATAAATGATGCAGGCAGCTATGCTCAAATTTATGCACAATTTGAGCTCATTTAATCTGTGTTTTCTTATAGCTGATTTACGAGGGTAGTCTCGTAAGAAGTTTTCATGATTCGTTTCATGGTGCCGTTCAACATTGCTGACTTTATTCTCACTTAGTAGGTTATAGCAGATTAAGCACAAAGGTCCATTCTCCTGACTGGTAAATGCGTATTCTTTTTTCCCATTCTGACTTGACAACTCTGTTTTCATCTTCGTACTTTCGTTTTTTAATTGAGGACATATCGCACAGTAACTTAAACTAACTAACCGCAATCAAGCTACAAAACCGCCGACGCATCAATAAACATTGACCATTGTGACGAAAGATTTGCTGACTTGACTGACTTAAATTCAGAATTCAACGCTACAGCGATTTTCATACTGAAACATAATTTGTCCTAATCATTGACGAAAACTTCTTTACGACTTTTAATAAATTAAATGAGTTTACATTAAAGTTTTTCTCTTAGTTAAAATTTGGATAATAATTTATTTTAGCGAGGAGAGCCGCACAAAAAGCCGCGGTGTGCCCACCCCTGCCCTATACTATAGCCTACCCTGTCTACCCGGCGTCAAGACATTGTACAATTTTGCAATGTTTTCGTCATTACGAATGTGTAATCGCCAAGAGTGTGGTTGGTAACGTGATATACATATACAGCCAAAAAAATAGATATAGCGCCAACTAAATATCCATATAGCGCCAACTAAATATCCATATACAGCCAATTAATATCCAAATACAGCCATTTTGGTGATGTACAAATACTGCCAAGTCATATGCATGTACAGCCAATTAGATATACATACATATGATATAATAAGTGTGTTAGAGTTAGGGTTTTCAAAATAACTCTCAGAAACTCCAAAACGGCTTTTGATGAAGTTACTTACAATAAGTGTAAAATATATGTAATAAAATATTGTGATATTAACATCATTTAGTCTCTAGTGACAACTAAGTCTCTACATGTTATTTGTTCAAAGCCTATAATGTCAGCCAATGTCTCGTGGTGCATGAATACATACAATAGGTTGCAATCCATAATGCCATAAGATAAAGCCCCACAGCAGCTGATTGTAATAGCATGCGAAATGTGTCGCTGCCAACGAGGACATTGAAAATCTCTTTTGGTTATTCGTTTTTTTTTATATTTGGTTTTCTTTGGTTATTTTGTCAACGAACTAATCAAATTAAAGTTTGGTGCAAACTATCATTACTCACATTACATATTGATTATTCGAGAAAGCATCGCCAGATTATGTTTATATTTTGCAAAAATCTGCAGAGAAAGATTCGACAATGCAAACTCTTAGAGCAACGTTTCCCAACCTCTTTTTGACGCGGACTATTTTCTCAGCGGCGAAAACCTTTGCGGACTCAATGTGCGTTTATTGCAACCGCACTCTGTGTGAAGAAGCAATAAAACCAAACACAACCGAATTTTATTGAATCAAAATCGGAAGTTGGCCGGACTCATTTGAGACCGCGGACTCTGGTTGGGAAACACTGTCTTAGAGCCATCATTGAAGATGGATGGCCGATTACCAAGAAACAGCTTCCACGGTCCATGCAAGGATATTTTAATTTTAGAAAAGACCTCTGTTCAAAATGGGCTAATTTTGAAAGGATGTCGCATTGTGGTACCAGAATCTGCCAAACAATATGTTCTGCAGCGCATACACGCAAGTCACATAGGGATACAGGCTTGCATTCGTAGAGCAAGAGAGGTTCTGTTCTGGCCAAAAATGCCCCCAGTGACATACATGATTATGTCTCGTCACGACTACTTGTCGAGTGTTTCAACCCAATCAACAAAAAGAGCCGATAATTCACCATGAGATTTCTTCCCGACCATGGCAAATTATTGCGTCCGATTTATTTGAACTGCAGGCAGAAACTATCTTGTAACCGTTGATTTTTACTCCACTTTTTGCGAAGTTGCGAACTTCATACTACCACATCTGCGGAAGTTATCAAAGCATTGAAACAACACATGGCTAGACACGGCTTACCAGAAAAATTGATTTCTGACAACGCTCCTCAATATAGTAGCAAGGAATTTAGAAAATTTGTTGAAGATTATGAATTTCAGCATGTTACAAGCTTTCCTACATATAGCCAAAGCAACGACAAAGCAGAGTCCGCCGTTAAACAAATTAAGAGCTTGATGATAAAAGCTATTGAGAGTAAGAGTGATGTATTTCTTGCGTTGCTCGATTGGCGTAATACGCCGAGTGAAGGAATACCAGGTTCACAAGCACAAAGGTTATTTGGAAGACGCACAAAAATACTGCTTCCAACATCAAAATCTCTTCTTCGCCCGAAAATTGTTAAAAAAGAAGCGTAAAGACATTCAATATGAATATTACAACAAGGGAACGAGGGAGCTGATGAAATTGTACCAGAATCAGAAGTCAGAATGAAGCCGGACCGTGGGAAAAGATGGCGCAAAGGTAGAATTGAACGACAAGTTGACATCGGATCGTATCGAATCCGAACTGAATATGGTGGTCTTTATCGAAGAAATCGAGGGCATTTGAGGCATACAAGCGAACCTGATGAGTTCCACCCCTTCACAAGGAATTACGATTGTAATATTTATGATCCATACACATCTTCCTATAACAATGGTGATATGAAAACGCAACATGGCCCAATTATTAATGATAATATTAGTCCCGATGGCAGTGTTTCAGTTAATCATAGTGTATCTGATCAAATAGAACATAGATCACCCCCCCTCTTCGCAGATCTACAAGCACTGTTAAAAAAACTGATAGATATGGGTATTGATTGATAATGTTTAATTTTATTGTACATTTATTAATGCTATTTGTATTAATATGCTATTTCTTGTTTGACGGGAAGATGTGACGTAATGTGATTACTCGAATGATGAGTAGCGCGACAACTCCTAATTGTTGCGGCGCAATGCATCTCATCTACTCGTCTGGTCCGCCAGTCGATATACAGTTGTGTTATCTTGTAGACGTTTAATTATGATCGCTGTTTTAAGTGGTATTGTTCACGTTGTGCCGCTGTTCTCAATAAAGGAGTTCAGTTGTATACGAGTTTCTATTCTGAGCAGATAACAATTAAGAAACGAAACAGTTGGGGCCTATTGGATATTTCTCAAAAACTACTCACCGGCAGTTTCATGTCTTATGTTGAATGATGCTCATTTCTCATATTTCAATCAAAAGTTTTTTTTAGAGTTTCTGTACGCGTAACACGTAGTAACTTAAACAAAATGCAAGGTGTGCAATGATAGTTTCTGCCAAACGTTAATATGATTAATTTTATGCAATTTATTACCGATAGCCAAAGAATAGTTCTTTCGAATAAGTTTTTCAACCATCGCATTTCTTGCATTATCAATCCCATGCAGGGATGATTATGTGCGAAAGGATTGCTGGACTCCTTGCTGCTGTAGGGTGGATCAAGTAACCGCTTGTCGGTTATGGCTTCCTCCACCATCAAGTCCATGCTTCCGAAAACAAATAACTAGCTAATCCCATACCCGACATGGAATGGTAACCGGACGAGCGGCCGTGGTTCGCCATATGGTTAAGCCGTCTTATCGGCTTTCCTCTCTCCCGGTATAAATATGTAAATCCTATCTTGATGACTTTATTTGTATATTGATTTGGCTATATATGCATATGACTTGGCAGTATTTGTACATCACCAAAATGGCTGTATATGGATATTAATTGGCTGTATATGCATATTCTTGGCAGTATATGTATGGCACGGTACCAACCCTATCGATCGCCAAACGGAAATATGGTACGATTTTTCTAAGATTTGGCAACTTGACGATTAATATTGACAATAAGTATTTTGAAAGAATTGTATTCAAAACAATATTCGAGTAAATCATATTCAATCCGATTCCATAGGTCGATTTCACATGAACGTATTGATAATTACAGTTTCATATCATTTCACTAGCATTGTACAGTACATAAATAAGTGTGCACACAACCTAGCGTGTCTATAAAAACCGTGCGTAATATCAACTTAACTGACGCTAAATATTCACTTACTATTTTTGGCTTTTCTGTGGGAACATAAGTAATATGCCTGTAGCTACTTGAAACATACTAAAAATTTAAACCTCATTAAAAGCTGCTTTGAATATTCTATCAGAAATGGATATCGCCGTTTTGCCAAAGCCTGATGGATCAATTTGATGGCAAGACGGAATGAACAATAATGATGACAAGGCATTTTATTTTTACGTATTATGACATTGATTAAAATCATACGACGTGTAACTTTAACATTCTACGCGTGTAATAATAGTTAAATTTACCCAATTGGTGAATAGAGATATAGCGTAGCATAGAGTATAATAATGACATTACTAACACAGCTGACTAACCGCAGATACAATTCAGCTTGTAATGTTATGACATAATATCACCTCGAATCTATTCTGAACACAGTCAAATAGAACACACATATTATAACAAAGCAACACATCACACTTTTAATTTCCAATACCTAAATGTCTCATAATAAAACACCATATTACGCGGTGTGAAATAGCGACACTTGTACCTGCTCACTTCTCTTGTTACTATCGCTTGTTTTTCATGACATCAGCAAAATTGCAGCGTTGTCGGCAGTTTACCTGTTAATTATTGACTGATATCAAGTTGCGGTCATATAGAAATTCGATACTGCTTGCGATGTGGTTGGTTTTTGTGCCACAAAAGGTTGGTTCGCCGTTAAATGCACTCGAAAATTGTATGTGTTTTCAAAAATTTAAAATCTTCGATGGATTGTAGCTGCATGCTCAATGTCGAAACTGAACCAGTAATCGGATGCACGCTGCCTCGACGAACGTAAACAGCCATAAGGGGCGCTGTTCTGAACGAGGTCGCTAAATTTCTTGCAATATGTTGTCGATGTAGTGGAGATGATTTTATTTCAAAGTAATAGAGGATGAGTGCCACCTATAAGCTCGCAAGCAAACACTGCACTTTTGACGTAATAATGTTATTTATTGTTATTGTCAATTTGTTTTGTTCATTAATCACGCAAGTATATTTTGTAGTAACTTCTACTTACAACAAAAGTAATGAGCGTAATCGTTCTAATACAATTCCAAAGTTCCAGAAAGCGGAAGTCCTAAAACTTGTTTTTGTCGTGAGGCTATGAGGACGCCCCCAACTCGCTAACGCGGCATAGAATGTAATCTAAGATTTTTCCTATCTTTGTTACGCCCGTCCTTCCTGTTCAAAACCACGCGGAGTGCGGATACCCGGCCTTGGACGCCATCAGCCTCCATATTATATAATACACACACATCTTTCGGTGCCATTTATTACAAGCAGTTAAACATGAATAAATGTTAATACGTAATACCATCTAATTAAATACTCTTGAATATAAAACTACGACTGTATAATTTGAATTGTGACATCTCTACAATCGCAAGCCACTCCGTCACTATGGCATGCTGTCAAACCAATGCCACAGTGAATATAATTTCAACAATAAAGAAATTTGTAGGCCGTGATGTGCCAGTTGTAAGCACTGAGATGTGTTGTATTTAAACAAACTGACTAGCAAGAATGAGCACTGTTACGTCACGGTATTGTACTTTATGGGGCCATTTGCAGAAGTAAACGTAAATGGAGCCGTGACAAATTGTCACCTAGTTTGAACACCACTTTTTAATTTGACTTTCATCTGTATTTAAAAGTTCTCGAACGAATAAACAATATATATGTAGCTCTAGGCCTACAGGTGATATTAGGATGGGACGATATATAATTTACAAGTACTTTGAAATTGAAAATTCGGGAAAAAAATAAAATAGCCATGGTTAAAATAGAACAATTGAACTTAATATATATTATAGTTTCTACCATTGTTACATGTTGTTATCTTGACTACCATAATCTTCATTTCATCATGAAGAGTTCGATTAGCCCTTGACCGCTGTAAAATATACAGATTCGATAAGAAAAAGTCGTTAATGTTTGAAAATTGTATAGCAGGTATGAATCTCTTATACCCAGGTAACGAATGCCATTCCATACTTGGCCCGGTAATGTTTTCAAAAATGTGAATATTTTACCCCTCCCTACCATGCATGGGGGGGGGGGGTAAAATTGTTGTATACAAGTATACAACGTAAGAGCAATCGACAATTTCGTTGTAACGCGCACATGTTTTTTTTACGACTTGCTGTGCATATTAACACTGACAATAATTACATTCGCTGCTTTCGAAGCTTTTATGCAATAATAATTAGGGCGTGACGTCACCGAAATCGTCACGTGGAGCGCCGAATTTGCAAATTCCATAAATACAATTGTGAATTTCTCGGCAAGGATTTATGCCATAATAATGATCTTGGTATTGTTTTGTTGGAGAATAACACAAGAAAACATTAAATTTAAGTCGGTATAAATTTTAATTAGTGTTTAACCCTCTACTATAAACAATAACATTCAAGTTCAAGTTGTTTTCTCCAAATTTTTAGGCGTTTTGTCGCATATCTAAAAAACACAGGAGACGTGCTCTTTAGCGTCATTTCGCTGAATAGAACTCTAGCATACGTTTTTAAAAAGCCATGAGTGAGGTTTTAGGGCCAAATGGTTGACCAACTTGAAAAAAAAATAAAGTGACTATATAAATGGGCTCAGATAAAGCTGGTTTTAACGCAGGTCGCAACATTTATTGCTCTGCAGCGGAATATATACCAGCAAAAACGTGCTATTGCCTTAATATTAGATTCATAACTACCAACCCACCAGTCGGAATCCCGAAGTTGTTCCATGGTGCAGGAGCATTGAATGTATTCTGATGATTTTTGAAGAAAAATTTTGATATCAGATAAAACATTAGAGCTGTAGACGCCAACAAAAGAATCCTGATGAACAAGAAAATGAAATATTAAAAAAGTTATTTAGACATCAATGGATGGTCAAGGTTACGAAATTTAGTCAATATGTTCTTTATTGAAATCAACCGATTTTCATTGGATAAATGCATCGTTCTGATCGTTTAAATTTCCTTGATAGTTCCAGCCAAAAGAATCGCAGTTGAAGTTGGATTGAGATTTTTAGACTGGGCTCGCATTTGAGCTCCAAAGGATCTGTCGACTGCTTTTCCCATGTTATAACGCTCTCGAGCATCCATTTCGAATAATCTACACTACTAATCGCCAATAAAGATGATCATAGCTATTCAATTTTTTGAGGTGTTTCCACACCTTCAACATGAATATGGCCCTATTCATGACAAGCTACGTACAAAGTTATTATTTGGGAATGAATGAGGGTATTCCTTCCAGTTCATCTTTGCGTACCCACTCAATTACAAACTGGTAATGTGGGAACTTTAACGTTCGATACTAGCATAGGTAAATCCAACGATATAACCAAAATACTAATATGCTTAATTGTGATGCGGGTCTGAATTTTGAAGATCTTTCGGTTTCTAGTGTCTAGTGTTTGTCTCGTTTACAACCCCAGAGTTTAGAGAATTGCTGCTCCAACTTCAGAAATTTAATCATCATAGAAATATACGCTTCATTCATCAATACTATACGCTTCACCCTACTATCAAAATCTTTTTGTACGTTTCGTAATTTGGATCCATGTGCATAAGCAGCTGAGCTTGTGATACATATGCATATTACTACTATATATGTAGCGCAATAGGAAGTATTGTTTCCGTTCAAATATTGCCGGTATTTATTTATATTACAACTGCAAACGAAAAAGACGATATCCTGATTCAGCCTATTGTACATGTGTTTTCGAAACATGTATTTTTGTATTTATTAATCGTACGAATCGAAGAAATATCATTAGAATCATAAAATTTGTTCCGTACTTGAACTTACCAATAGCATAGAACACCAAGACTTGGAGAAGGCAGATAAATCTCGTATGTTGTCAAATGAACGCCGGTTTCGTCCTTATTATTTCCCAAGTTTGTAGCAGTGCGATCTATCACTTTCTTATGTACGTCCTGCTTTGTCTTTGAACCTTCTTTTGGTACTGGTCAGAAACATTGTGAAACGTAAGTTCATTTTTCCGAAAAGAAAAATACTAGAGACGGACGATGGATGCGTCGTAATTGTTTGCTTAAAATCACCTTCATCGGTATAGATTTTAGCCTTCGTTCTTAATGAAGGTATAATAAAAACACGTCATAATATGACTTGTTACCTAAATGGAAATATACTGTTCGAGGTAATTCAAACCATGTGTTGTTTTCAAGCTATTCCATTCAGTAAGCAGTTCTTGTGGTAACTTTATGTTTTGTTCAGGAATTCTATTGAATCTTACTACTTCAGGCTTTCAGAATATGTTTCTCAAGAACAGTTGATTAAATAATATACCAATGAGTGTTATTGAGTTAAGATAGTGAAAGTTCTTTTGACTACTCACCTGTGTATATTGGACCTATCGTTCTGTGCTCCACCGGAACATCAGCATCCGATACGTCACGTTTCTTTCTACCGGCTGCACAAGACTGTGTACAAGCAGCTGATGTGTCGGTAGTCTCACAAATGTAAGTTGTAACGTGGAAATAAAGCGGGTCTTTAGCACCATTCTGAAAATGATAATAACTGATTTGTTTGAACATTAGGTATAACCTGATGCACGTCGACGCTTGCTTAGTGTTAGTAGAAACAAAAATGAATTTTCAATGTTATTTCTTAACATATTTTTTTGTTAAATGGAAGATTCTCTAAACACACGAGTATTGAGAATCGATTATACGGGTTAATACGAAATATTTTGTTTAAGTTTGTGTAATAGCTGATAAAAAATACAGCAATTCATAATGTTATTTTAAACATTTTAATCTGATAATAAATAAATAACACAAGTATTTTAACTAAAAAAGATTAAACACTAAAAAACTGAAGTTGCTAATGACTTCTGTTAGGAAATTGAAAATGGTGTATATTAATCTAATGGAAACAGATTACTACCAAGTTGAGTCAATTCGTAAATCTAAATTTATTATAACTTAAAATGGCAAACTGAAAAAACAATCCCAAATTTAAGCATTTCAAAAATCTACACGAACAATCAATCAGAAAAATTGTAGGTAACAATTGAACTTTTGATGATTTACTTTTAAAAGGGCGAACCAATTTGCGTGTTCTCATCCATGTCGTTTTTAAATGCCTTTTTTAGCTTTTTCTATCGTCCATGCCAGGGGTTTTCAAACTTGGGTATACATGTACCTCCAGTGGTTCATTTTGTTCGCGTTGTTCCCACCAACGTGGTTGTGTGACTCGACATTTCAGGGTTGCTTGGAATTGAATCAAAATACCGACAATAGCTCGAAGAAGAACTGTTGCCATTGTTTCACTACTTTGTATTAAATAACTTATTGATAATTAGCTTGGATTACTGGGGCTTAGTCAGCCGATATATTGTTAGTTTGATTGTTTGTATAAGCTTGGATTACATTGTTGTGAAATACTTTGTGTGCTTTAATTAGTATATAATAATAACGCAGTGTTTTAATATCGAACTAAAAATACAAATTTTAAAGATTTTATAATCAAACATATGAGAAAATTTTGGGGATATATAGGTAATTTATAAATTCTACAAAGGGTACCAATGAACAAAAAAAGTTTGGAAAACCATGGTCTATGCTTTCATTTACTAGCAAACAGCACGGCTGTGTTCATTTTATGTCATTATTAAAATATAACTATAAAATAATATTTGGCTCTATATTTTCTTTAATACTCGGTTGCGTTACTATGTTATAAAAGTTTAGATTAAATAAATTATAGATGAAAAATAGGAATTACTTACGGCTGCTGAGCCAGTTGTGGCAAATTCAAACATGATGACGGAAAACTGAACTTCTGTATCGGTGGTAGTTCCCAGGGTGAATGTGGTGTCATCAGCACACTGGCTTGTCAGTATACTATGGGAAGGTGAAGAGGCTTTGTCTGTATCTGTAGTAACTACGATGTCTTTTAATATTGCTTTGAGGCCGGTTGGAAGTGTCGAAGTCACGGAGAAATAGATGCGATCCATTACATTAAGCTGAAAAAGTTTATATCTTTACCCTTAACTACGACTTCATATTCCAGGTGAAATATATTGAAAGTAATATATAGTATAATATCACAAAACTTGTGGAATATAGTGTCCGAGCTCATTTTTACTGACGAATTTTAATACAGTGGCAAAGTAGGGTGAACGTGAATGTTTTTTGAAATACTCTTCTAACTTTAAAATTGTTTTTATTCGAGTTTTAGTATTCTTCTGAGTATTTCAATACAGGAAATGGATTTAAAACAGATCCCATGTTTGAAAAAAAAGATTTGTGTAATGGCTTTTTGATTGTGTTTCGAAACACAACCCCATTTTCACTATGCTTGGACATTTATATTTTGCAATTTATTATATATATCAAATACTTACAGTCACTGGGAAGTCTCCTGATGTATAGGCAGTTGTGTATGAACTAGATTGGTACAGAGCAAGGTCAACAGTAAATGCTCCGATAACCGATACTGCGTCCGTGAGTGACGGGACTGCGGGATTCACTATTCCGAGCTGTTCATCGGTGTAACGTGGGTACGTGCATGAACTTTCAAAGCTTACTTGCTTAACATTGCTCGACACTCCGTAATCTTTTGTAACTACTGTCTGGGTGTATTTGGCATACTCAATGTTGTTGACTGTTGTGCTCTAGAAAACAATTGAAACGTGTTAATCGAATTAAAAAATTAATTTGCAATACAGAAAATTTTGAATGCTTGTGCCCTTGGTGTCACAAGCGCTTCAGGACTCACGTAAACCGTTGTTTACATGTAGACCTATAGCGTTTACACAAAGTTTATTTATCACTTGGCTAGATTTCAATTCAATTTCAACTCATTGCGTTTCACTTTGTATAAATATACAAAAGAAGTCGAAATTGGTCTCTAACATGAAGCGTACATTTTAAAAACATGATAACCTTTTTTTTTTGGATTATTAGTTCTATACAATATAAATAAGGAATTCTCACTTTCTATAGCAGTGGTTATCGAACTGGGGTACATGTACCCATAGGGGTACATTTCGACATTCCGATAGTACAACAGATTGAGTATTAGAATTAATTTTTTCATATCTTATAATCTGTCTTAAAATATTTTAGTACCTAACAATTAGTACCTAATTGTTAATAATTTGAGGACTCGATTATAAAAACTCCCTCGGTAAAAAATTTATCAACAACTACAGTAGCTACCGATTCTACACTTGCAGATACATGATCACAGCACAAAAAGCAATTTTGAGGTTACACAAGCGTTCTATGAATAGTCCCAAGGATACCTATTAACACTAAGTTTGGGAACTCTGCTCTATAAAGTAAAGTCTCACTCTATCTATGACTCACTGTTAATGCCCATGAGCAAGCATCAAGATTAAGCGTAAAAACTATGTCAGTTCCAGAAAGCACTGCATTCGTATCTCCAGTACAACTGACGTCATTTAAAACAAGATCTGCTTTGTTGAGACCTCCCAGAAGGCAAGATGGTATAGTGATCGTTACTTCGTTGATTCCACAGGAAACTGAATGAACATCTAAAACAATGAACGTGAATTCGTAAATAAAAAAGATTTCTTGCATTTTTCTAATAGTGGTTTTTCATTAATTTAAACATATCGATCGCGGCAGGTGTTGACATTGTTTCAGATGTTAAGCAGATGTAACGATGTATACATACGTTTTAAAACGCTTTTAATACTTTCACATTTAGTGCGATGCTCAAATATATGGACACGAATGCCAAAATGGTTATGCAATCTGTCAGAGTGAACTTCCGGTATATCAGTCATACCATACCGTCTTTCGATAAGCCCAAAAATCGCCGAATTTAGCTGAGCCCGAGATCCGCTGAACTGCGGTCGCGGAACCGCTACAATTAATTTTGATCTTCAATTTCGTTGACGTCGCACAAAACTTCAGATACAAAAGCGAATCTCACAGAGCCCACAGGAAGTTTTGAAATGAATAAAAGTAATAGCCTTCTAGCCACATCAAAATACCAAAACGATTTATAGGCCCATTTTGTGTCTAACAAGAGAGCGATGCTCAAATATATAGACACGAAAGCCAAACGAAGAAGTACGGGTATCTAATCTTTCCGACTTCGAGTTGCCACCAACACGCAACGATCGTGGACGCGAAGCGGAACCTCCACAAGGGGCGCAATTTTTATGACAAAAAAAACGAATCTTACCGGAATATATGATAAATAAAGTAATAGCCTTCCAGCTAAAAATACAAACCTCAACCACCGAAAATTTCAAAGCAATTGGTCAAGCAGTTTATGAGAAAATAAGCACAAGAACATGAAAAAACATTCTATCAACAACATAATAAACGAGAATATCGGTTGGAAACCGAAGACTTATCGATCGATAGTTAGGGGATCCCCCAAAACAGAAACTGCAGTTTCGATTCATCCGCTCTTGTAACTTGCGCACTGCGCATCGCACACACACACTCGGCGGGTTTCAAAATTCTCTCGCTTTACAAAAATCTAGATCACTATATCAATAATTGATTGATAACTCGCTAATTATACGACATAATTCGCCCAAAATCAATAGGCTTCTGGTCCGAGATAAGATGAATGCACATGCAAAATCTGGAGCAGATTCAATCCCGCTTTCGTGAGATATCGCGTGCATCTAACAGACACACACACAGACAGACAGACATACATACATACAAATACCTATCAATATACTTACCGATCTTAAGATCGATAAGTAATAAACGTTCTATAGATATGTATACATTTCGTGCTCAACAAGAACAACAACATAATAAAAAAAACGATCCACAAGTACCTTTCGTGTCCAACAGGCACTGCACACGCCGAACCTACCTATAAAAATAGAATATTTACTTACTAACGGTTTTTCTAGAAATGCAGGCAGATGTATCAATCATTGGAAGAACCGTAGCACTGTCGAAATTTGCTCCATTGTCGTTAACAGCGTCGGAATAAAATAGGTAAGGACAGTTGGTCGATGTGCTGTCGTTGCAGGCTAAAAATCTTCAATAATTAAAAAAAATGTTATCACTTTAAACCAGTCAGATTTACATTATACCATCAGATGATGAAGACATGATACTATTTTTTACATATATATATACACCTAAATTTTGACTTTGTCTTTGACTTTGTAATATATATATCTTGTTTATTGTCATCGGGTTTGTAGCATTGAACGCTAAATTCAAATATTTCAAACGTCAAATTTATTATTTCACATCCCCAGTCCATCGATAATCTATTGCTTTTTAAGATAGATTTTTGGGCGATATACAATATTCGCCAAAAACTACATTTGAAAATAAAAACGTTTGCACAAAGCTTCATTTTGGGACGGTTGGTACAAAATAACATTTTCCAAAGATTCCATTTATGTAAATCTACTTAGAGTCGATTCGTATTTCCATAAGGTGGTCTCGTAAAATGTTTACACTCCCATTAGTTCGTTAATTCCACTAAAAACGTTTCTCAACTTAAATCAACCAATAACAACATTCGTACCTAAGTTGCGGTTCATATCTTGGTGCCAAGATAGGGTCGAGTGTAGACTGATCAGTGCGACCGTAGACAAAAACTTGATCGTAGTATTCATGTATCTTATATATGTAATTATCCAGTACACTATCAAGTGCCGTGGAAGCTGGAGACACCAGGCCCACAACGGCTAAAACCAAACATCAAATAATTTGTTTTTTAAATTACTCAGTTGAATTATTGTATAATTATGCCACGAAAAGGTATATATATATACGTGGTGAGCCCAAAAAATGTTACCATTTTGTTACATTCTGTATGTCAAAAATCGTAACGTTTCTTTAGTCCTGTATTTTATAACTTTTAAATAATGTGGATTGAAATGAGATTCCTACCGACTCTCGTCGTAGTTGTTTCGTCGTTCGCACCACTGGGTGCAAGAACTACAGTATTGGCTGCTCCACTGTCGAAAGTTTTATAGAGGGCCTGAATAACATTGCTGCTTCCGCATATATCATCTTTAGTTAAGCTCGAAATTTCTGATGCCAGTGTAGTTGTCGATGTCTGAGCGCCATACCTGAAAAATGTGTTGTACATAATAGTACCCGATCTGAATAGTGACTTTACAGATGCTTCAAATTCTTCTTTAAGCCTATTGTGTACCATGAAAAATACTTAATATGAATCACACCCTGTTCAGAAAGATATTATGATTATAATGCTATTTATTGATCTGATTTTGGCTGCCGCCAATACCAGAAAGTATTTCGATCTCATTGTGTCCTATAAGAATATTATAATGTAACTTTATGCTATACTGGGATGTCATAATGTGTCTTTCGTTGTCCGGTTGTATGGTCACCTCCAATAATAAGGAAATGATTGGTACATTACAACCAACTAATTCCTGGAATGCGTTTCTAAGCACTAAGCATCAAAATTGAAACATGTTGCTTTAAGCTCTAAAATTATATTTCAAATAATTGTTTGAATATTGAATCCATAATCTTCGAAGAACTAACCTGGCACTAGCTTTTTCATGAACTTTTTATACAAAGTCTAGTTACTCTCGTCGTAACCATGATCATAATTCACCCAACTCTCGGTTTCTGGAACAATTTACCTACAGTGTGTCAGATTCTGCATTTACCTATACAGGGAGTCCTCGACTTACGACGCAGTTCCGTTCCTGAGACTCGGTGTAACCCGAATTTCAGTGCAAGTCGAAACATTATACTGTACAGTGGTACAGTGCATGAATTACTCTATACACATCGTACTGTATTGTAAAGTATGGTACTGTACACTAATAAAATGTACAAATAATCGTCACAAAGATCCTTTCACATGTTCAATGATGCGCTCTTTATCTTTACGAATTGTAGCCACAGTCGAACGACTAAGGTCAAGCAACCTACCAATGTTCGTTGGTATTTCACCGTTTTTAGATCGCCTAATAATGTCTAATATCACTTTCATGCTGATGGCCTTTCTTTTCCCAACATCAGTAACATCTTTTTTTGCTTTGAGTCCATAACAAAGGGCAAAAGTAAAAAAAAACGATCAAACAAGTTACGAAAAAACCGGCTTAAACAACCAAAATGACGTACAGTATCACTGAAACTGTGTACAGTACTGTATCACTGGAACTGTGTACAGTACTGTACTGTACTGTACTGTACCATGTGACTGAAGCTCAGTGATTATTCGTTCATGATCGTAATAGTTCGCAATTGGTCACGTCATTTACGATGTAAATAACGAAAACCAATGAGCCCAGAGCACTGATTTTCTTGATCACAATGATCCAGTTTATAGGCTTAGATATTATAGTACAGTATTATCTTTTATATCTGTATATGTTCGTGAAGTGCGTTCGTAACCTCGAAACAGCGTTATGGAGTGCGCGTTTGTAACCTCGAAACATCGTAAGTCACGACCGTCGTAACCCGAGGACTCCCTGTACTGTTCCTGCTTTAAAACCACATGATTGATCGGAAGAAAAGATTAGGTATGAGAGTCAAGAAATCTAACTTACGCGTTTGTTACGTCGAGTGTTCTACCATTAAGCATTGTTCCGACGACATAATCTCCATTCTCTACTCCTGGACTGAAAGCTGTGATATATTGTGAGACCGTATTTTTCCAATCCTATAATGTGAAAGACGTATTTTAATTTTGTTTTGTCAGCATATCAATAAAGTTAATGGGTTTCAATATTCATTATAGAATAACGTCCATTTTAAATCAATCTACAAACAGAACAGAAATATAATTCGTCTAACTTCTAACACATATCCAAAAAAATGGTTTGCTTTTGCTTTTCAAGATTACGTAAATACAAACACGTAAATTGTACCATTCTTCCTTCATCATTCAAGTCTATTGATTTGGTAAAAAAGCTAAAACTAGATATATTTATAAATACCAATTAGAAACAAACGTCTCAAATAAATGCTCACGTTGAACGGCGTGTAGTCAACTCCAGTGTCGTAATTATTTTGAATTAAAACGCATAAGTTCATAACATTAAAGCTGAAATCATTCAGCCATAATATATCCACGCCACAAGGAGTAATAGGAACACATGTCTCCGAATCCCCATCTAGTTGATAGTAACAGTCGCAACCACACACAGGATCATTTCCATCACTCCTATCAATGCAGTATTGGGAGCATCCGCCATTGTTGCCATCAGCGCAGTCTCGTACTAAACAAACGGATAAAAAATATTTAACCCTCTACTGCGTCATCGTTTTGTGAACAGTGGAACATGAAATTGTATTGTTAAGATTCGTTTAACTATGTAACAATTTAGTGGCGATTCATCTGTGATGAGAATTGCCGTTTCGATCAGTGTAATAGGCTACAGTACTGATGCCTCACCTGCCCCCACAGCGACAAATTCAGCAAGCAAAAACAGAAATATGATCATCCTCTATTCCAATGCAATTTCGATCATACAATAATATATGGAGATGAACACTATGGTAAAATAAAATATTTGATGGTTAAGCCTACATCTTAAACTTTGACAGAAATTTACTATAAGCCAGCAATTTGTTATATTTAATAAAACCTAATTAAAAGATTAGCATTTTATTTTATTGCAATAAAATGATGGAGTTTTTTAGCCGACCGAATACACAGTATATGCAGACTTAGATATGCAGTTTCATGTAACTGATCTAAAGTGATATCTAATAATTATTCAGTTACTGATTATTCGCTCAAATCTCCATGCGTTTTCTGTTCAAATTAACAACATTCCGTGCTATATTTTAAATATATTTATTAATAGCCTACTGTTCCGCAGTCACATTTATCGACAATAATAATTCATTATAAAATATATTCAGCCGGTGATTTTGGATCCAAATGATCGTTTGGAATCATCCAAATCACCAAATTTCTTCAGTTAGTTCGCATTTAGATACCTGTTTCGAAAACCTCACTTGTTTTTTTACGATATCTCACGATCGAATGATTAATATTGCTCAGGAAACGGGGAGCATATATCTTGGTTGTGCTTAATCATCCCGTTATACAACGAGATCCGTGTTACGTTGTAAGTGCCAGCCTATTTATAATTGTATCATCCAAATGCACCGCAGCCATACATAAGCTATACATTAAGATGCTTGTACGTGTGATATCCACCTGTGCCCCTTACTTGGCAAGATATAAATTTGAGCGGAAATAACCGAACCATATACAACGTGTATACTTGCGTTTATGTTAAAGAAATAAGCTTGTATGTGTGAATAAAATATATCAATTTGATACAAATCTTATTACATATATTTCATACTTTTCAGAACTTTCCTTTTTAGTAACCTATTTTAATCATTGCTTTTTTGCCTTAACTCAATGATGGAAGTCCATAAAACAAACACCAGGGATGAATAAATAACATAAAAATAATTTGCATTGATATTTATCATAAAATATATGAATTGCCACAGGTCAGATCGTGTTCGCACGCACGTTCTATTGAGAGCAAATTCGATCAATTTAGAAAACACTATTTAAAATATTGAAACAACTATAATCCATAAATGACATAGAACGAATAAAAGTAATTGTGAAAGACGATGGCCAACCGTAATAAACCAATACTACAATTTTTTTCCTCAAAAATTCAGCTGCGTGCTAATCAAGCACATGAATTATTTTTCACAACGTTAGAGTTAAAACCAAATTCATCCATCATGAAAGAAAGGCGAGAAAAGAATCCAAAAGAAAATGATGGTTTTGTTGTTTTCGTAACACATGGCTTTTTCGTTGGCTTTACGTGTGAAGCAGTTGGTTTCTGATTCGTTGATTTTCCTTTGTCGGGATTCTTTGAAAACTCATTCTTTGCAGACGACTTCGGTACAAGCGGTTTATTAACACTTGGTCGTTGACGATTTTTCTTTAATTCTTTTTTATTAACAGACTTCGTTTTCGGCTTTTTCACGACAGTCTTTTTATTTTGCATTTTCTCATGCTTTTTCTGTTCTACTGATGACTTTAATTTTTTGATGACAATATTTTCTGTTGGATTCTTGCTGGTTATCTTTTTCGGATATGACTCGCTTGTTGAAGCGTCTGGTAAACAATTTTCTAGCAGTCTTGCTTGTTTCTGAACATTCTTTTTTGATGAAACTATTTTTGATAATTTATATTCTTCTGGTATGATACCTTGGGAGGTTCCGGCTACAAAACAATAAAAGTGAATAAGTAAAAGATACAAAGAGTATTATCGCACTCAAACGTATCACAAGTGTTCTGCCTATAAAATTTCAAAAATGTCCTGATAAACCAACTGAGGTATTTTCTTGTGTTTTGGCTACAATAAAATCAGACAAACTATTCCATTGTTTAAAAAGCGAAAATTAATAAACACAAAAAGAAATAAAACAAACCTCCTTTAACTATGCAAGAACATTTATAGATACAACAGTGAGAGTACGCTTTGTTTCCACAATCTTTTGGATCGACGAGTTCCTTGTTACGGAAATCATAGCAAGGAATCGTTTTTCTTTCAAATCCTTTAACTGTATACAGAAATACCATATGTTATAAATAACAATAACTATTACAGAGAATTCTCTTGATTATTCGTTAAAGCAAAGCAAGAAACATTGTGATATTGTATGATAATATTAATTAAATGAAATTAAATAAAAATGCTTTTTGTAATTTTGAACGCATTTTTTTTAGAAAATTAAGGAATAGGATATGTGCTGGAATCTTTATATAGTCTAAAACATATATCAGATATGAGGCAATAAAATCTTGAACCTACCAGGAGCACATTGTGTTTTGCTGATTTTATATCTGAGCTGAAAAGGGGTCAATGATGCTGCAATATCGCAAATCCCGACGACCGCGACAAAGAGTAATAATTTCATTTTGTTAGAAGGTAATTCTGCAAAAATAAACCAGATTTTATTTTAATGCTGTAATTAACCAAATTTAAGTTTGAAATAGAAGTGGAATAATACTATATAAATACCCATTTGTGCAATTTATCATTTACGGCTAGTACAAGCACTTAGATATTTCGGTAGCTCTGAACATATTTGTTCGAGATACAATATTCGAATTATGTTGTAACAAGAAATTGTTTGTAGCTTTTATAGATGCAAAGTTTCTGATTGACATTTGTGTTTCTGGCCTCGGGCAACAATTGCCCCATATTACTATGTAAATTTGCACTCTTGTAACGTTTCTTAGCCACTAATCGTAATTTCATTTACCTTGGTATCGTCACAGTGACGCATTTTCTGTAAACCCAAACAAAGTGCTCTTGAATAAATACTATCAGAAGACTCAAAGAATCGGTAGATTTAACTATTTTTATTGTCGCGATTAATACGTCATAGCGAGTTTAAAAATAGAACAAGATTGAATTGCTGGATTGAGCTCTTCACGTGAAAATCAGGTTGCAATGGATTGACAAAGATGAAACAAGATGCATTTTTGTCAAGAAGACTTTATTTCGTAGTGTTTTTCTGCCTTTATTCAATCGTGATTAACATGATGTTTATCCTTAATAAGTTAATGACATCATGTATTTTAAACCAATATGAAATAAAATTTTAATGAGGATTAAGGGTTAGACGGTAGGGATAAAACAAAACCTAAAAATTCATTTCTTTGAGCACTAGAATCATTATAGCAATTCTCATAAATATATACCGTTTTTTAGTTATACCAAAGTTACATTGTTTATTATTTAATTTAGAAATTTTATTTAGAAATTAAGTCAGAAAATTAAAAATAAATTTACATATATTCAAATGAAAAACTCCTAGTTTTGTATTCTCATTTTTCTAAATTCATACATATATCTATTTTTTTGAATTGCAGCTTTTGAGTTTAAAAAAATTGTGGAGAATTTTTATCGAGATATTAGAGTGTCATTAAAGCTTTACGACATCATTAAAATCTAAAACTAAGATCATTCTGAGTTTCCAAAACCCCCAAATATCTATACAATTAAAATTCAAAAAAGCAATCTGAGGAAAAAATACAGGAACATGAGTTGTGGAAATAGGCTGAAATCACCACTATCAGAAATATTAAACTAAAACACCTGAACATGCATAAGCCCTGTACATTAGTAAAAATCACGAATTTAATATGACAATGTGATCAGCACATTATGAGTTACTTCTATTTTTAAACAATTTATGACGCAGTTATTAAGCGATTAAACGTTAACCTTCAGTAAATACATGGTTTAAATAAAAACTGAAAAAAAGTAATTGATTTAAAATATAATGTAGTATTTGTGTAATTATAATATTTATGACGTCAAGGAGTCGTACTTTTCGTGTTCGAACTTTGTTTGCAATTTGCTTCAACAATGCGTCATCAATCTGTGGGCAATAAATCTGTTTAACAACAAATACGACAAATGTCATTCTATCGTCTTGGATTAAAAATGTATTTATACGTGTGAACTTACACACCTATATAATTATTGGACGTGTGTAAATGTAATCGAATATGTGAATTTATATTTATCCTGAGCCATACGTTCTACACAGTAGATTTCTGTTATAATTTGTTTAAAAAAAAGGAGCTAAATAGCTAAAAAAGGAGCTAAAAAAATAGCTCCTGCGCTATTGTGTAATAAATAAATTTACGTATATAAATAAATTTGTCAACATTTATTTTCATTACAAAAAGCTTAATTTATGATTTGCTCAAATACTATGGATCTGAACTTATAAAATAATTCTTTTATACAAAAAAAATATATAGGCCCCCAAATAGAAAATACATTTTAAACATAATAATAGCACCTCAACAATATTTTGTTAAAGTTGGTCTAACCATCATTCATTGTCAAAGATGGATAAAATAATGAACTGTCTTCTCTGTATATGCACTAATAATAAGGTATTCAATACGTTTTGAATACCCTGATACAAATCATCCTAAAATTAGTAAAACATCAAAACAGACACTTGAATATAAAAAAGTTGTGAATGAATTTAGACAAAATTAGAATACCAAACCAGACATATTTGAATTGAATATATGTGTATTGAAACCACATTTCTTTCACTATTATTATAATTATAAGAAATAATGTAAATTCAGTGAAAACTTTCTCTGTTTTTCAAATTTGCTTTAAAGGAGATCACTGATCAATCAAACGGGATTTAGGTTTTAATCTTATCCCAGCCTAACCTCCATTACAATTACATTTCATACGGGGATAAAACCGTTGATGTCATTAACTAACTAACATTAACCTGATTCAGACGATCAATCTTGCCCAATTTGTATACCCATTTTTATTTAAGTCTAAAGACCCCAAAATTTATCAAATATATCGATTATTATATATCATTGCAAAGGTCTTTTCAAGATCTATACGCTAGATGTCACTGGAGGACCGTAAACGCAAAGCCATTCCGATGACGTCGCTTCAAACGCGGAAAATTGAAGAGAAAAATTTACATGCCTGGTATTCAGTCAACTGTGAACAGCGTATTCTCGCATCTTACTTGTTTATGTCTTTACAGTTCGCTGCGCTTTGTTACTACGATTCTGTCAACACAAGACTGGTGTGTTTTGAGCGAGTAATACGCCTGTCGTGAACGAAATTGTCATTCGGCTCAGTTGAGTCTGAGCGATCGATTAGACCTAACGCTGTCTTATCGTCTGTGATAATATCACTCCCTTATATTTCGTGTATAAAAACATTGCTATTTTGCTGGCATAACATATATTTTATTTACAAATACGATAACGGACAAACAAAATAACAAAAACTGTACATGAAATTATAAAGGTTACAAATACGATAACTGAAAAACAAATACTTTACATAAAATTATAAAGGTTTGCTCTGTGAAGGTATCACATGGAAGAGAAAGGGCGTGATTATCGCCAAAATTCTTTTTTTGTGTGCCATTGCGTAAAGCAATCTTTTCCGCGAGCTACACAAAGATGTACGCCACATTCTCGACAAATTACGCGCGATCTCGTAACATATTTAGGGCCACCCCTTCTCTGCTTATGGGATTCTTTCACAGAGCAAAGGGCGATTAGATTTGCGGTAATAAATTGTGAAAAGACATCCAAACTTGTAGTGTGGGGGGGAAATCGTTTTTGTACCCCTATTCTCTCGGAAAATGGACGCATCACACGGGGATTTACCACCTTCTGCCAGTTTAGTTGTGGACCTGATGGGGTTGTGGTTCTCGTTCTTCCTCGCTGTCGACCTGCCACTGCTCTTCTTCGACGGCTTCTCTGCGAACCACGAACATTGCGGGCTGGCGCATTCGAAGGCCGGGTACGTCTGAATCTGAGCTCTCCTCATATTCGCTCTCAGGTTGTGCCTCTAATACATCGACTTCGTCGCCTGAACTTTCCATTTCACCAATGACGTCATCGTCATCCTCTATTTCGTCTAAGCGTCTCAAAGCTTCAATAGAATCGAAAAATCGTCTAGTCGTCATCGTTGCAAGTAATGTAATACTTTGTTATAAGTTTCTCATCATTTTATCTTGACTCGTAAACAATGCTCTGCTTTTTACGAGATGAGCACCCGCTGTTTTACTAAAGCTAAATGTGTCGTCAATCAATAGTGTCTTGCTGAGTGTAATGTCTTCGCTTCATCACTTTCTGATGTCATATGTAGGCCATTGTTTATTTTGAGGTCATAGAGAATTAGTTTCCATGTTCATGCAACAATAGAACGAACATGAATCATGTAAGGACATTCACGGCATAGAGCCACATTTATGTCAGTCGCGCTAGATAGTGCCTTTTGCCGTATATATGTCAATCGGTAGAGCGTCATGCTGAGACGATGTAATGCGGTCCATGCAAAGCATGTGTCGTCGTTTTATCACGTCCAGATGTCAAAAGTAGGTCGTTGTATGGCGCGAAGTCCTTGAAGTCGTAGAAATTAGTTTTGTATTTTATGTAACAATAACATAAGCATGAATCACGCGAGAACATTTTTTTTTGTTATTTTGGTACTCCTGAAGAATGTGCTAAAAGATGTCACACAACCTGTGAAAAATTGTAAGGTTGTGCGTCATCGTGTTTCACATAAAACGGTTATTTTTTGGCTTTCAATTGCCGTATCAAGCTTGATCTGGTATTGTCAGGTAGGTAATCGAAGAAACTTCAAAACAAAACCCCAACCGACATTCTAAACCTAGGTCACGTGATTTTATATTCAAATTTGCGCTAATGAGCTAGTTAGCCCCTATAAGTTTAATCCTGACAATAGCAATAGACAAGTCTGTCGATTATTTGAGAGCATTAAATTATGATATTTATTTGAGTGTGGTTTGTTTGGGATTATTTAAAATACGTCACCATGACGCCACCGAGTGTGTTGTTTCTTTAGGAGCATTAAATTATGGTATTTTTTATATGAGTGTGGTGTGTTTGTGATTACTGAAAATACGTCATTATGACGCAACTGATGTTAATACAATTACAAATTGTGTTTAAAACTATTGGTGAAATGCAAATATATTTTGAATTGTAATGCAATAGTTGATCAAGGCAAATATCATTCGATTGGTAAACTCAAGGTCAACTGAGTTCTCTATTTTGGAGTTCTACTCTGTAACTAAGTGGAAAGAATATTGATATAGCATATTTATTAATATTGATTAGCATATTTTTTTTATCATTAGTAAGTTAATGACATCATGCATTTTAGCGCAATATGAAATAACAATTTTAACGAGGTTTACAGGTTTGACGGTCGGGATGAAAAAAACCTAAAAAATTTCTATGATTCGGCACCAGTCTTTGCAAGATTAATCTTATAATAATATACCGCTTTATAGTTATACCAAATTCACATTGTTTATTATTCAATGAAAATCGATTTGGCAGATTATGGATTAGTAGATATATCTGTAGTCAACAAAAATTCCTGTTTCGATGTTCAAATTTTTCTAAATTCATTCACACTTTTCTGTTTTTAAAGTTGCATTTTGAAAGTTTTATAAATTTTGGAGATTTTACATCGAGATATTAGAAAAAAAAGAAGAAGTACTTTTCAATCGAGTATATTTGACAGAAAAGACACGTATCACACCTAAAAGTGAATCTCATTAAAGCTTCACGGCATTGTGAAATCTAAAACTAAGATCATAACAAAATGTGACACTTTCTTTTGTGAATTTCCAATAATACACACACAATATATTTATTTATACAATTAAAATATAAAAGAACAATGTTAAAAAAAAAATACAGAAAAATGAATTTCAGAAATAGGCAGAAATGTACTGTGTAGAACCTATGGCTCGGGATAATATAAATTCACATATTCGATTACATTTACACATGTGCAATAATTATATATGTAAAGTTCACACGTAGAAGGACTTTATTTAATCCGAGACGATAGAATGACATTTGTCGTATTTATTGTTAAATAGATTTATTCCCACAGATTGATGACGCATTTTAAGCAAATTGCAAACACGAAATGTGCGACTTCTTGACGTCATAAATATTAGTATGTGTATACAATTACTGAATTATATTTTAAATCAATTACTTTTTTTTATCGAAACTATAGATTTACTGAAACTTGCCGTTTAATCGCTTAGTAACTCATGATGTACTTACGGATCACTTTGTCATAAAAATTCGTGATTTTCATCAAGCTTTTGCAAAGAATGTGTTGGGCCTATGCATATACATATGTTTTAATTTAATATTCATGATAGTGGTGAATTCAGACTATTTCCACCTTTCAGTTTTCTGTATTTTTTCCCTAAAATTGTTCTTTTATATTTTAATTATTGTATAAATAAATATATTGTGTATCATTGGGAACTCACAAATGAAAGTTTCATATTTTGCTATAATATTAGTTTTAGATTTTAATAATGCTGTAAAGCTTTAATTACATTCACTTTTGAGTCTGATGAACATTTTGTTTAGGGGAAACCATTTTCGGTATTTGATTTACAAGAATCTAACAAAATCTGCAGTTAAACTTCTATATATTTTTAATATTTCAGTTAGAATAGATCTTCAAAATTTATAAAATTGGTAAACTGCAACTTTAAAACAAAAACAGCGAATGAACTTGAAAAAATTACGAAATAGAACCAGGATAATCCATCTACTAATCCATAATCGATTTTTTTCGAATAATAAACAATGTAACTCTAATATAACTATAAAGCGGTTTATATTCATATGATTGATTATGCAAAGAAACTAGTGCTCAATTAAATAAATTTTTAGGTTTTGTTTAATCCCGACCGTCAAACGTCTAATCCTAATTAAAATGATATTCCATGTTGGGCTATATCGCATGATGTCATTAACTAATGACAATTTATTTTATTACATTTAAATAAAGACAGAAAAATACTAGCAAATAAAGTCTCCTTGACGTTATTTGAAACTTTTACAAAATTTCATGTCTCATTTCATCTTTGTTAATCCATTACAGCCTGATTTTTACATGAAAAGCTTAATCCATCCAACGATTTAATCTTGTTCTATTTTTAAACTCAATATGACGTATTTATCGTGGCGATAGCAATATTCAAGTCTACGGATTCTTCGAGTCTACTAATAGTATGTGTTCAAGAGCACTTTGTTTGGGTTTACAGAAAATGCGTCACTGTGACGCTACCAAAGGTAAATAAAATTACGATATTTGGCTAAGAAACGTAACAAGCATGCAAATTTACATAGTAATGTAGGGCAATCGTTGCTCAAGGCAATAAACACAAATGTCAATCTGAAACTTTGCATCTATAAAAGCTACAAACAATTTCTTGTTGCAACATAGATTCGATTATTGTATTTCCAACAAGTATGTTCAGAGTTACTGAAATATTCAAGTGCTTGCTCTAGTCATGATACAAATGAATATTGTACAGTTTCAACTACTATTTCCATCTCAAAGTTGGTTAATCATAAGAGTAAAATAAAACCTGTTTTATTTTTGCAGAATTACTTTCTAACAAAATGAAATTATTACTTTTTGTCGTGGTCGTCGGTATTTGCGATATTGCAGCATCACTGACCCCTTTTCAGCTCAGATATAAAATCAGCAAAACACAATGTGCTCCTGGTAAGTTCAAAATTTTATTGCCTCATATCTGATATATATTTTAGATTTTATTACGATGCCAGCACATATTTCATTCTTGTATTAATTCAAAATATTAAAAATTCGTATAAAATTATAAAAAGAATTTTTATTTAATTTCATATAATATTATCTTATAATACCACCGTCTTTCTTGCTTTGCTTCAACAAATAATCAGAAGATTTTTTTATAATAGTTTTGCTATTTATAACATATGGTATTTCTGTATACAGTAAAAGGATTTGAAAGAAAAACGATTCCTTGCTATGATTTCCGTAACAAGAAACTCGTCGATCCAAAAGATTGTGGAAACAAAGCGTACTCTCACTGTTGTATCTATAAATGTTCTTGCATAGTTAAAGGAGGTTTGTTTTATTTTTCTTTGTGTTTATTAATTTTCGCTTGTTAAACAATGAAATAGTTTGTCTGCTTTTATTGTTTGAGTGCAATAATAGGCTTCGTATGTTTATTTATTCACTTATATTGTATTTTTTATATATTTTAGCCGGAACCTCACAAGGTATCATTCCAGAAGAATACAAATTATCAAAAATAGTTTCATCGAAAAAGAAAATTCAGAAACAAGCACGACTGCTCGAAAATTGTTTTCCAGACACTTCGCCAAGTGAGTCATCCACGAAAAAAATTACTAGCAAGAACCCAACAAAAAATAACGTCATTAAAAAATTGAAGTCATCAGTAGAACAGAAAAAGCATGAGAAAATGCAAAATAAGAGGACAGTCTCTAAAAAAACGACTACGAAGTCTTTTGACAAGAAAGAATCAAACAAAAGTCGTCAAAGACCAATTGTTAATAACCCGCTTGTACCGAAGTCGTCTGCAAAGAATGAGTTTTCAAAGAAACCTAGCAAAGAAATATCAACGAACCAGAAACCAACAGCTCCTCACGTAAATCCAACAAAGAAGCCTTGTGTTACGAAAACAACAAAACCTTCATTTTCTTTTGGATTCTTTTCTCGACTTTCTTTTATGATGGATAAATTTGGGTTTAACTCCAACGTTGTGAAAAATGAGGCCTGTGCCTGATTTGCACGAAACAGAATTATAACGACGCAATTATTTGTTGTTTTATTTATTTTTTATTTTAAATATAATTGTTATTTTGATATTTCAAATAGTGTTTTTTGAATTGATCAACAATGCTCTCCATATGCGTGATTATAGAACAATAAACACTTGTGGCAATCAATATAACAAATATTAATAGAAATTATTTTTTGTGATTTTAATCATTTCCAGCTTTTTTTATTGGATATTTTGTCTTAGATTTTAATCAAAATAGCAATACTGTGTAGATGTCATGGTGTTTATACAATTCAGAATAGAGCTTTAGAACATTCCAAAATTGGTTATTTTGTTTTACGTCGTCTGGTGTATGGTTAAAATATTAAATAAGGAAATAAGACTCAATAATTTAATTATTAGCTTGAGTCTGAATGAATATTTGAAATCAAGGTGGGAATGTTTTGTAGGCTACCCGAAAAAATGCATAGATTGTTGGTAGTTAGACTAATCTTGGTATTTTAGACTCTGTGATTTTCAATGTGTTTTTCGTATTGAATAAGGTGGTAAACGTAGAAAGTTGTTGTTAGAATTACTACTAATTTACCCGCTAAATTTGTTAATTTAAATGTTAGTATTAGACAATTAAACAATGAACTAAAGGTTCAAATTTTTATTAACTAAAATTTATTTCAGATATGAAACAGTCCCAATTAAATACCACAGTTTTGGAAACATTTTGTTATCAAGATATAGAAAGTAGTTTCAATAATGGTTTGATCAGAATTATATTGTACAATGTGAAGTCAATTCTCAACGATTCCCGATTTTTGAAACCATCACTGTCGCCAAAAGAAAGTGAAAATCACGTGTTTAATGCTTATTCAAAAGCATAAACGCAAGAGGCAATAACTACTATAACGAAAATATCGGTCAGAGACCGAAGACTTATCGATCGAAAGTTGGGGGATCCCCAAAACAGCGCTCTTATTCCATAGTGACCTTGTGTCCCATCACTAATTAATTAATAACTCGCTAATTATACGACATATTTCGCCCAAAATCAATAGACTCCTGGTCCGAGATATGACGAATGCACATGCAAAATCTGGAGCAGATTCAATCTCGTTTTCGTGAGATATCGCGTGCATCTAACAGACAGACAGACTTAAAGACAGACAAATACCTATCAACATACTTACCGATTAAAATCCATGAGTAATTAACCTTCAAATTACTTGAGAGTGGTAATCAAACTGATCTACGAGAGTCCATTTTGCCGATTTTAACACAAGGCTTTGCAGATGCAAACTGCGGGTTTTCAACTACAAAAGTACGCTTTCTTTGTTCTGTTTTTAAATCAACGATTTTCTTGCTTCTGAAATTATAGCAAGAACCGGTGGGTTTTATTTCGAAACCAGAAACTGCAACACTATTTGTTCAGCAATATTCAAGATTTCCGGAGAGTCATCAGACTATTCATTTACTCGCAATCGTATCAATATTGCTTATTGAGATTCGAATTCCACAAGGGACAATTATGTGAAAAAAATTGTCGCCGCAGAATGGCTCACATAACTTCCGCTTATTTTTTGACCATCGAATTTCATGCATTCAGACCGGTCAACTATTCTCTTCTGAATATTGATTTTTATCTAGCCCGCAGTGATTGATGATGAACCCCGACATATCCAATAGAAAGTGGTTATAGTATAAAAGCACTATATTTTTATCCAAAAGACAAAAAAAAATGCAGAGAAGCGTGAAAATAAGTTTAAGGGTAATTGTTGTTGTTTTAATTTAATATTATAAAAAAATTTTAAATTCTGCTGCATGCTAATCAAGAACAGGAATCATTTTTCACAACGTTGGAGTTAAAACCAAATTGATCCATCATAAAAGAAAGTCGAGAAAAGAATCCAAAAGAAAATGAAGGTTTTGTTGTTTTCGTAACACATGGTTTTTTCGTTGGCTTCACGTGAGAAAAAGTTGGTTTCTGGTTTGTTGATTTTCCTTTGTCGGTCTTCTTTGAAATCTTATTATTTGCAGACGACTTCGGTACAAGCGGTTCATTAACACTTGGTCTTTGACGATTTTTGTTTAATTCTTTTTTATTAACAGACTTCGTTTTCGGCTTTTTACCGACAGTCTTTTTATTTTGCATTTTCTCATGCTTTTTCTGTTCTACTGATGACTTTAATTTTTTGATGACAATATTTTCTGTTGGATTCTTGCTGGTTATCTTTTTCGGATATGACTCGCTTGTTGAAGCGTCTGGTAAACAATTTTCTAGCAGTCTTGCTTGTTTCTGAACATTCTTTTTTGATGAAACTATTTTTGATAATTTATATTCTTCTGGAATGATACCTAGTGAGGTTCCGGCTAAAAATAAATAAAAGTGAATAAGTAAAAGTTACAAAGAGTATTATCGCACTCAAACGTATCACAAGTGTTGTGCCTATAAAATTTCAAAAATGTCCTGATAAACCAACTGAGGAATTTTCTTGTGTTTTGGCTACAATAAAACCAGGCAAACTATTTAATTGTTTAAAAAGCGAAAATTAATAAACACAAAAAAAATAAAACAAACCTCCTTTAACTATGCAAGAACATTTATAAATACAACAGTGAGAGTACGCTTTGTTTCCACAATCTTTTGGATCGACGAGTTTCTTGTTACGGAAATCATAGCAAGGAATCGTTTTTCTTTCAAATCCTCTAACTGTATACAGAAATACCATATGTTATAAATAACAATAACTACTTCCGAGAATTCTCTTGATTATTCGTTAAAGCAAATCAAAAAACATTGTGATATTGTAAGATAATATTAAATGAAATTAAATAAAAATGCTATTTGTAATTTTGAACGCATTTTTTTTTTTAGGGAATTAAAGAATAGGATATGTGCTGGAATCTTTATATAGTCTAAAACATATATCAGATATGAGACAATAAAATCTTGAACCTACCTGGAGCACATTGTGTTTTGCTGATTTTATATCTGAGCTGAAAAGGGGTCAATGATGCTGCAATATCGCAAATCCCGACGACCACGACAAAGAATAATAATTTCATTTTGTTAGAAAGTAATTCTGCAAAAATAAACTAGATTTTATTTTGATGCTGTGATTAACCAAATTTAAGGTTGAAATAGCATTGGAATAATACTGTATAAATACCCATTTGTGCAATTTATCATTTACGGCTAGTACAAGCACTTAGATATTTCAGTCGCTCTGAACATATTTTTTCGAAATACAATAATCGAATTATGTTGTAACAAGAAAATGTTTGTAGCTTTTATAGATGCAAAGTTTCAGATTGACATTTGTGTTTCTGGCCTCGGGCAACAATTGCCCCATATTACTTTGTAAATTTGCACTCTTGTAACGTTTCTTAGCCACTAATCGTAATTTCATTTACCTTGGTATCGTCATAGTGACGCATTTTCTGTAAACCCAAACGAAGACCTCTTGAATAAATACTACTAGTAGACTCAAAGAATCCGTAGATTTAATTATTGCTATTGTCACGATTAATACGTCATAGTGAGTTTAAAAATAGAACAAGATTAAAAAGTTAGATTGAGCTTCTCACGTGAAAATCAGGTTGCAATGGATTAACAAAGATGTAAAAACATAAAATGTGACATGAATTTTAGTAAAATTCCCTAATAACGTCAAGAAGACTTTATTAGGTAGTATTTTTCTGTCTTTATTCAATCGTGATTAACATAGTGTTTATCATTAGTAAGTTAATGACATCATGCCTTTTAAATGCATTATAACGAATTTTATTATCATATACAAATTTATAGTTATACCCAAAGTTACATTGTTTATTATTTAAAATAAATTAATTCAGAATATTAGGAATTGATATACCTGTATCCATTAAAAGATACTCTTGTTCATCCACAATTTTATATTTTAGAGTTGCAGTTTTAAAATGTATGAATTTATGAAGAATTTACATCGAGATATTAGAATGTCATTAAAGCTTTACCACATCATCAAAATCTAAAACTAAGATTATTCTGAGTTTCCAGAAATCCCAAATATCTATACAACTAAAATACAAAAAAGCAACCTTAGGAAAAAATACAGGAAATGTGGAAATAGGCTGAAATCACCAATATCATAAATATTAAACCAAAATTGAACATCAACATCTGATGCATGTTGATGCATTAGTCCTGCACATTAGTAAAAACCACGAATGTTTATGACAATGTGATAAGTACATTAGGAGTAACTTCTATTTTTAAACAATTTATGACGCAGTTATAACTTTCAGTAAATAAATAGTTTTAATAAAAACTGAAAAAAAGGATAATTTAATAAAATATAATGCAATATTTGTATAATTATAATATTTATGACGTCAAAAATTCGTAATTTTCGTGTTCGAACTTTATTTGCAATTTGCTTCAAAAATGCGTCATCAATCTGTGGGCAATAAATCTGTTTAACAATAAATACGACAAATGTCATTCTATCGTCCTGGATTAAAACTGTATTTATACGTGTGAACTTATACACCTATATATTTATTGCACGTGTGTAAATGTAATCGAATATGAGAATTTATATTTATCCTGAGCCATACGTTCTACACAGTAGATTTATGTTATAATATGTTTATAAAAAAAAAGGATCTCATGCGCTATTGTGTAATAATTAAATTTAGGTATATGAATAAATTTGTCAGAATTTTTTTTTATCACAAAAAAGCTTAATTTCTGATTTGCTACCTAATTGAAATAAACTTTATAAAAATAATTCTTTTATACAAGAAAAAATATAGGTCCCTTAATAGGCAATACATATTAAACATATCATTATCACCTCAACAATATTTTTTTAAAGTTAATCTAACAATCATTCATTGTCAAAGAAGGATAAAATGATGGACTAAATCCAAAAGTTTTGCAATGTATTTTCATGTCACATTTTATCTGTGTTGTCGCGTAGTTTCTACGTAAAAAACTTAGTCTATCGGATTTATTCAGATCTATTTTTAAACTCGCTATGACGTTTAATCCCGACAATAGCAATAGACAAGTCTGTCGATTATTTGAGAGCATTATTTAATGATATTTATTTGAGTGTGATTTGTTTGGGATTATTGAAAATACGTCACCATGACGCCACCGAGTGTGGTGTTTCTTTAGGAGCATTAATTAATGATATTTATTTGTATGTGGTGTGTTTGTGATTACTGAAAATACGTCATTATGACGCAACTGATGTTAATACAATTACAAATTGTGTTTAAAACTATTGGTGAAATGCAAATATATTTTGAATTGTAAAACAATAGTTGGTCAAGGCAATCATTATTCGACTGGTAAACTCAAGGCTGCAACGTATGCAAGTGTGTCTTCAACGCCAAAATGGCCATTTGGAACATGTTCCAAAGAGAACATAACTTTCATGCACAACGTGAAACTTTTGGGTACAATCTTACTAAAACAGAAGGTCGGTTGATAAGAAAATTAACAAGTAATCATAAAATTTATAAGTTCTCTATTTTGGAGTCTCTCTGTAGATAAGTGGAAAGATTATTTTTGCAAGTTCGATTAGTCAGAAATATTTTGACTTGATCACACTATTTAGAATGGTTATTTCATATTTGGGTACAGACGTTCCCCATAACTACATTGTCTTGAATTGGATTAATCTTTTTAGGTAAAAATTAAGCTATAGTGGATGGTAATGTCTGGGGTGTTATGGATTAACATTTATGTTTAACGAAACATAGAGATAGAATGAGATTAGGATTTTTGTAAAATACCCAAATAACGCCGGGAAGACTTTACTTAAATGCGTTTTACTTTCACAATTCAATTGTGATTAGCATATTTTTTTATCATTAGTAAGTTATTGACATCATGCATTTTAGTGCAATGAAGTATAATAATTTTAAAGAGGTTTACAGGTTTGACGGTCGGGATGAAACTAATTCGGCACTAGTCTTTGTAAGAATATTCTTATAAAGATATACCGCTTTAACTATGATTCTCCATAAATAAATGTGTATCACACCTGAAAGTAAATGTCATTAAAGCTTTACAGCATCACTAAAATTTAAAACTAATATCATAGCAAAACATGGTACTTTTATTTGTGACTTTTCAATAATACACAATATATTTATACAATTAAAATATAAAAGAATAATGTTAGGGAAAAAGAAAAAGAAAAATGAATTTCGGAAATAGGCAGAAATGTACTGTGTTGAACTTATGGCTCAGGATAAATATAAATTCACATATTCGATTACATTTACACATGTGCAATAATTATATATGTGAAGTTCACACGTATAAATACTTTATTTAATCCAAGGTGATAGAATGACATTTGTCGCATTTATCGTAAGCAGATTTATTGCCCACAAATTGATTTTTGACCGACGCATTTTTGAAGCAAATTGCAAACAAAATTCGAACACGAAAAGTAAGACTTCTTGACGTAATAAATATTATAATCATACAAATGATGAATTATATTTTAAATCAATTACTTTTTCATTTTCTATTTAAACTATGGATATATTGAAACATAACGTTTAATCGCTTAATAACCGCGGTATAAATTGTTTAAAATAGAAGTAACTTACGATGTAGTTATACTGATCACTTTGTCATAAAAATGCGTAATTTTTATCAAGCTTTCGCAGAGAATGTGTTGGGCTTATGCATATACATGTTTAACTTTAATATTCATGACAGTAGTGAATTCAGCCTATTTCCACCTTTCAGTTTTCTGTATTTTTTCTTTAAATTGTTGTTTTATATTTTAATTGTATGAATAAATATATTGTGTATTCTCACAATGAAACTCACAAATGAAAGTTTCATATTTTGCTAAAATATTAGTTTAGATTTCATTAATGCTGCGAAGCTTTAATTACATTCACTTTTGAGTCTGATAAACATTTTGTTTATGGGAAACCATTTTTTTGGAATTTGATTTACAAGAATCTAACAAATTCTGCAATAAATATTTTATTAAATATACTCGGTTGAAATGCTGAATATAAAAAATTTAAACTTCTATATATTTTTAATATCTCGGTTAGAATAGATCTTTAAATTTTATATAATTGTTAAACTGCAATTTAAAACAAAAACTGTGGATCAATTTAGAAAAATTACGACATAGAACCAGGATAATCCATCTACTAATCCATAATCGATTTTTTTTGAATAATAAACAATGTAACTTTAATATAACTATAAAGCGGTTTATATTCATATGATTTATTATGCAGAGAAACTAGTGCTCAATTAAATGAATTTTTAGGTTTTGTTTGATCCCGACCGTCAAACGTCTAATCCTAATTTAAATGATATTCCATGTCGTGCTATATCGCATGATGTCATTAACTAATGACAATTTATTTTATTACATTTGATTAAAGACAGAAAAATACTAGCAAATAAAGTCTCCTTGACGTTATTTGAAACTTTTACAAAATTTCATGACTCATTTCATCTTTGTTAATCCATTACAGCCTGATTTTTACATGAAAAGCTTAATCCAACGATTTAATCTTGTTCTATTTTTAAACTCAATATGACGTATTTATCGTGGCGATAGCAATATTCAAGTCTACGGATTCTTTGAGTCTACTAATAGTATGTGTTCAAGAGCACTTTGTTTAGGTTTACAGAAAATGCGTCACTGTGACGCTACCAAAGTAAATGAAATTACGATTTGTGGCTAAGAAACGTAACAAGCATGCAAATTTACATAGTAATGTAGGGCAATCGTTGCTCAAGGCAATAAACACAAATGTCAATCTGAAACTATAAAAGCTACAAACAATTTCTTGTTGCAACATAGATTCGATTATTGTATTTCGAACAAGTATGTTCAGAGTTACTGAAATATTCAAGTGCTTGCTCTAGTCATGATACAAATGAATATTGTACAGTTTCAACTACTATTTCCATCTCAAAGTTGGTTAATCATAAGAGTAAAATAAAACCTGTTATATTTTTGCAGAATTACTTTCTAACAAAATGAAATTATTACTGTTTGTCGTGGTCGTCGGGATTTGCGATATTTCAGCATCACTGACCCCTTTTCAGCTCAGATATAAAATCAGCAAAACACAATGTGCTCCTGGTAAGTTCAAGATTTTATTGCATCTTATCTGATATATATTTTAGATTTTATTACGATGCCAGCACATATTCCTTTCTTGTATCAATTCAAAATATTGAAAATTCGTATAAAATTATAAAAAGCATTTTTATTTAATTTTATATAATATTATCTCATAATACCTTCGTCTTTCTTGCTTTGCTTTGACGAACAATCCGAAGATTTTTTTGTAATAGGTATTGCTATTTATAACATTTGGTATTTCTGTATACAGTAAAAGGATTTGAAAGAAAAACGATTCCTTGCTATGATTTCCGTAACAAGAAACTCGTCGATCCAAAAGATTGTGGAAACAAAGCGTACTCTCACTGTTGTATCTATAAATGTTCTTGCATAGTTAAAGGAGGTTTGTTTTATTTATTTTTTTGTGCTTATTAATTTTCGCTAGTTAAACAATGAAATAGTTTGTCTGCTTTTATTGTTTGAGTGCAATAATAGGCTTCGTATGTTTATTTATTCACTTATATTGTATTTTTTATATATTTTAGCCGGAACCTCACAAGGTATCATTCCAGAAGAATATAAATTATCAAAAATAGTTTCATCGAAAAAGAAAATTCAGAAACAAGCACGACTGCTCGAAAATTGTTTATCAGACTCTTCGCCAACTGAGTCATCCACGAAAAAAATTACTAGCAAGAACCCAACAAAAAATAACGTCATCAAAAAATTGAAGTCATCAGTAGAACAGAAAAAGCATGAGAAAATTCAAAATGAAAAGTCCGTCTCGAAAAAACCGACTACAAAATCTTATAACAAGGAAGAATCAAACAAAAATCGTCAAAGACCTAGTGTTAATAAACCGCTTGTACCGAAGTCGTCTGCAAAGAATGAGTTGTCAACGAAGCCTAGCAAAGAAATATCAACGGACCAGAAACCAACTGCTTCTCACGTGAAGCCAACGAAGAAGCCTTGTGTTAAGAAAACAACAAAACCTTCATTTTCTTTTGGATTCTTTTCTCGCCTTTCTTTTATGATGGATCAAATTGGATTTAACTCCAACGTTGTGAAAAATGATCCATGTGCTTGATTTGCACGCAGCAGAATTGTAACAACGCAATTACTTGATTGTTTTATTTATTTTATGAATTATTGTTATTTTGATATTTTGTATAGTGTTTTTTGAAATGATCAAAAAATGATCTCAATATGTGTGAATATAGAGCAAGATTCCACTTGCGGTGTTAATCATATTTTGTAATAAATACCAATACAAATTATTAATTGTTATTATATTCGTCTGCCGAGTTTCTTATTAGATATTTTGTCATAGATTCCAATCAAAATAGCAATGCTCAATGTGTGGATGTCATGGGGTTCATGCAATCCAGAATAGAGCTTTTGACTATTTTAAAAAACTGGTTATTTTGTAATAGTATTGTGTTTGTTAAAACATTCACCTAAACAGGAGACTCAATAATTTGCTAGGTTATTTTGACAACTCATTCTTTGCAGACGACTTCGGTACAAGCGGTTTATTAACAGTTGGTGCTAAGAAAACAAACATATCCCGTTCGAATTTAATTTTTGAAATCTGAGCACTCCGCCCGCTATTCTTTCCAACGAATATTCAATTACTCGCCATTACTGTATACCAATTCTTACACAGGTTCGAATCTCACAAGAGACAATTAAGTGAAAAAAATTGTAGCCGTTCGAATGGTTGACATAAATTCCGCTTACTCAAGATTTCCTCGAAAATCGAATTTCAGGCATTCAGACTGGTCAACTCCTCATTTCTGTAGCTTATTTTGTCTTTCGCCTCAGTGATAGATGATGTCCGTTATATTCAATTAAAAATACAATGTTTTTTTAGTATGAAAACCATATATTTTTTATCCAAAATATGAAATAAAAGAAAGCGTAAAAATAAAAGTGGAAGCAAATAAATGGGAAATTTTAAGTGCGGAGATAAAAGATATAATACGACAAGATGAAATATATATTCACATTTTCAGAAGGCCATTGTTCAAATACCTTTTATTAAACATTTCCCACTGTAATTGCTTTTGCATTATAGAAATACGTTCAAGTTTTAAATCAAGGGATACATATTGACCCATTTTCAGCGCATCATAACGTTCATTTATATTTTTAACTATCGGGCAACCAGGCCAAAATCCGTCAGATCGACAAAGAATCGGGCCAGGTTCGCTCATAACAATATCATCGTGAAAGGGCATAATTAGAGCTGGTCTAACTGCGACATCCGCAGGGTGCCGCCCAATGCGACAATCATAACAGCGAGGTTCGCCGCTGTGGCGACTATTCCTGCCACAAAATTGACTACGCAATGCCATTGCTTTGTCAGTGCATTTAATGATAGAACGTTTATATTCTTGAATGAGCTTCAACTTTGCTAGAATTTTTCTCTGTTCCTGTTCGTGATCATTCTTACTTGCTTCGTACAATTTTTCTCGCCAGTATGACTCGCGCAATTTTGATTGCTCTGTTCTACTTTTAATTGCAACAATCTGGCTATTTAGTTTATTTAAAGTGAGTCGTCTTGACTGAAAACGTTGGTACATTTCCTCAAGAGAATCTTTTTTATTTTGTGGTGATTGGTTGTTTTTGTGCATTTTGCTCAATGGAACATTTGTCATTTTTGAAATGTCTTTCAGAACCTAAAAATACGAGTATTTATATAAAAATGAAGTACAAACACCATACCAAAGTACGTTGACATTATACGTTAAAGATCTAAGATTTGAATATCACCACATCACCTCGGATACACAATACAGAACATGAAAATTTATGATACTTGAAACATAGTTTTGTACTTATCAATTGAAATGACAAAAATTATTGTTCATAACGATGATTTGAACCTTCTTTAGTAGGAATAAATTTAAACAATAATAAACTGCTAAGCTAGCCGTGTAAGTAATTAGCATCAATACTGTACCGTTTGTTTGGTTCTCAGGACTTTTTCTTTTCTGTTTTCGTCATGGAATTGCTTCATTTCATTCAACTTGTTGTAAAGCTGAGCTTCCGAAACAGAAAAATTATTTTCCTTTGCTAAAACATTTCCACGACTTTCGGAGTCTGTGGATTCTACATTAAACCCGACAACTACTGGGGATCCAACATTGGTTACAGTTTTGACAGACGACGCAAATGTAACGGCGCCAGTAGTCATAGATGTTTGAGTTTCTCTTTTATCATAGAAATGATGCTGTGGCGTAGATAAACTTGAAAAACTTGCATTTCCGTTAGATTTCTTCTCGCTCACAAGAAGAGATGATTTTGGAGTGCTGGTATATTCATCCGTTAAGGTGCACAAATGACTTTGATTCGATACGACACTGTTATTACTGGTGCCTGTATCGTATGGATATGTACTCTCAGTATCTTCTAGTGGCGCAACATTTTTGGCAATTTCTGCCCCTGCACTATATTTTGATAATTGTCTTATCTTGAATGCTGGACTTCCTGTAATATACCCGGACGAATTGAACTCATCCAGTAATCTTTGAACATCAATATCTTGAAGACATGTATCTTCGGTCGTTTTTTTCGACCCAAATTTTTCGTCAAAAACTAATGTACTAGCCACTTCAAAACTCTTTTCTGCGTCCGCAGTGTCAAAAAGACATTTCTTGAACATAATTCTGAAGATTTGACAAAAAGCTAGACCAAGAACAGCAAAAAATCCAGTCGCTACGACAATAACGAGGTCTTTCTGGTTTTCACGAACAACACTCCTCAAACGATAATAAACACTCGAACTTAGACTACGATATCTGCCAGTATGATAAACACGGTGTTTCAACCTGGTTATCCTGATGCCTTCACGAAGTTCGTTTTGGTCTCCGTCGGTTTCACATAAACTGTCACTGAAGTTGAGTCTTTTGACTTCGAGACCATTTGTTGTACAAATAGTAATCATATATACCAATGTCAAAGTCAAGACAACACCAGATATCCAACCGAATTCTTTTTTTCTTGTAGTGTGAAAGTGGTACGCCATTCCACAAAAATTTAACCAAGAAAGAATTTTAGTCCAAGTTCGTAACGTTAGCAACAGTCTCGTGGTAACTGGTTGGTAGGCTGGGGAAATAATTGTTACATCACAATAGTTATTCTGCTTGAGTAATCATGCGTAATTAAAAACTTAGTTTTTTATCTGGCATTTCACTGAAAAATAATATTTTTAAATTTTCGTACTATATTTTTTTTTAAGCCCAAGTCTTTTTTGCAAATTGAATTTGATTTATAAAGATTCGAAAATTAAATCTCTTTCTGAAAATTCGGTTCAGATAGGTGTTTCACCGAGTAGGACTTCAATGTTGAAAGCGATAAGTCGACAGTGATGTAACAAATTAAAACAAAACAGCTGACTTGTGCCAAGCATGGTTCATGGTTGTAAATATGGGCTCGTTTTCGTAGTTTTGGATATCTTTTGCTCTTTTTCAACCATATTTCTAAAATTTAGCCCCATGTCATAAAACTCATGGGTTGTTTCGTTTTGAGGGATATTTGGTTTCGGTACCGGTATCAGAGCCATTATATAATGACTCTGCCGGTATGATAGTATCCTTGTCATTGTCTTTTACTGCATAATGGCAGTTTCTCGAATACCATAGATGCTCGTTTTAACGCCCGGTCTTGATTAAGGGCCCGTTTGAATAGCCGCCCGTGTGAACAGGACATAAAAATAAATAAGTGCCGGTGCTTGAATACCCGCCTGGTGTAAAAGTTGTTTTTTTGCGGATTTGTACCTGCGGTGCGTAGAAAAAGTCAAAATTTTCATTATTCTCGTTTAAATCATACTTGAGAACTGAAAATGACAATATACGGTATTAATTATTGTAACGATCGATCTTATCTACCGGTATTTTTGTGTGTAATTTTACTTTAAAAATAACAAGCACCCCTGTTTGAATAAGGGGCCCGGTTAGTGAGTATGTTTAAAAAAAATAAGCGCCCGGGCTATTAAACGAGCAAATACGGTATTCAGAATATTTGGGAGCAAACCAGAAAGTAATGATTTTAAAAATGTAAATCTTTTTTACACACGAACCCAAGAAACATTCTCAAAATTAGCCTCTCGGTGATTAAGTATAGGAAGAAAACCGGGGTCAAGGGCCAAGGAAACATTTCAAATGTGTTCTGTGCGTTCCATTTCCTAAAGTAGCCTATATTGCAAACCCCTTGTATCGTTTGGTTGGTGGAGGTTTGGTATCATGCTAGCTATTTGTCTTAGCGCAACTATTGCGTTCAAAATTTGGGAATTAGAGCTGTGGAGTGCTAGAGTACGATCTGGATCCTGGAATATATATAGCCTATATCAGTATATTGTATTGTCAGATGATACCGTAGAGTTTGCTTGCAATACTGCAAGTGCAAGCCTGTATACCGGTACCGGTACTGTTTTAACAATGTTGGCCACGTCAATGTATCAATTAGGCTACAGACCTGCTCGCGTGTGATTAGTGTTTTTCCTAATAATTGCTTTTATGAGTGTCCGCACACCGAATTTGCCACCATGGTTTTGCGTTTGTTTGTATATTAAACCACTTATCACCTTTTCCGCAATGCCCAATCTAGCAATCAGTGTAGTTTTTCATGGCTTGGTTTTTCTAAAAGCTTTCATGGCTTCATGAGTATGACTATCGTCGCAAATTTATTACATTCCACTCCCCACATTATCTTTGCATGAGGTTGTAGGTATTGGTCATTATCAACGTAATTGTTGAAAGAGAGTACAACAGCCCGAAAGTTTATTACCGTACTATCGTGTATTTTGTTTGTTAAGTTTGGCCCAAGTCTCATTTAATTGGGCTTGTGTTTTTGTGTGCGTGCTGGTGGGCAGGCACATGAGATACTTCATGTTTTAAACTTTTTTGTAGGTTTTGCTTGCCCTCCAGAATTCTCCATTTTTCATTTAGGTTTGTTATGGAGTTTTCGAAATAAACTATCTATGTTCAAATTAACTTATGAACTTGGGTGGGTGCACAGTTATCATAGTCTAATATTTCTGTATTTAGCTCACGAGATCTGTTTCATTCGCTGATTGTCTGTTAATGTTTGATTTGTGATAATTGAGTTCCTGTACAGATAGGAATGGATTCATAGCTGGACTCCTCGCCGCCTTAGTTAGGGTGGTTAACGTAACCGCTGGTCGTTTACGGCTTCCTCCACCATCAAGTCCATGCGTACGAAAAAAAACAAAAAACTGACTAACTAAACCCATACCTGCATACCCGACCTGGACTAGTAACCGGACGAGAGCCTGTGGTTCGCCATATGATTAAGCCGTCTTATCGCCTTTCCTCTCTCTCGGAATAAATATGTAAATCCTATCCTATTGCAGTATTGGTTGAATATTAGTGAACGAACTTTAGCACAGAATATAAATAATGTGATTTATTTTTTTCAGTTTTAGCTTAAAAACCCAAAACCAGAAAACTGTTATGTATTCTTCAATTCCCATACAATGTTTTCGGTGTTCTATGGCTTGTAAAAGGATTATGTGTGTTTCAAATTACACTGATTCATTTAGTGGTTACTCAAGAACAATATGTAATATTATTTCTTCTAATATGGGGAATAATATTCTACAGAATAAACATCGAAGAATTAACAATTCCAATTTTAAATTTTCAACGATTCACACTTTAAAACGGGAGGATGGAAATGAGGTTGAAATCAAAAAAATGGACTGGAAAGACTTTGATAAGCATTGTCTTGAAACAATTGATATCAATTTTCCTGCAACACCAGATCATTCACAATCATTTGCGGATTTTGCCAATTATTCAAAAAGTTTGAAAGCACTGATAACAATGGGTGTTGAGCTTCATTCAATTGAAAGAACACACCCCAAAGCACTAGATTTCTTGGCAACTCTAGACTTAATTAATGACATGAAGCCAAAAGTTGAATTTTTAATAAATCTTGGAATATTACATGAAGAAGTAAGCCGAATTATCACAAAGAATCCTCTTATCTTGGATCCTAAATTGGACATACAGAATATGAAAGAAGTGTAAGTTGATGAGAAGAGGTATATCCTTCTATTTTTTATTTGATATGTTTAGGAAAACTTGCTCGAGCATGGGCCAAATTTAATATCAGAGTAATCTAAGAGGAGAATAGTTCAAACAAGATCTATTTTGAGTATTTGTCCACCAGTATGTTCTACTTCATTATACTTTAACACCATACGCATGCCATAACAAGTAACACATAACAAAGCATCTCTGTTTTAGAATTTTCGATGGACTCTTGAAGCATGCGTTCGGGGTAAAAATAATTTGTGTTAGACTTCATTTTCACATTACATTTTGATAATAAAATATTTGGCATATGCTAGCCTTCTTCAATAGGCTTGTTTTCAACTTTAATTTTTCGAAATTTTGTAAATAAATGTGACTATAATTATCAATATTAAAAGCCAAAAATTCCAAATCTCTACTTGAGGAACTCAAAATTTCAACTCAATGAAAGTGTACCACAAACTCCGATTAAACAGCCCTACGTATACTTATACATCTTTTTCTATCCACAGAGTTGACTATCTCTCAGACAAAAAGTTTACAAAAGAAGAAATGTTGTCCTTAATAGTTAGATGTCCAGCTGTGCTATCTAACTCTGTCCTTGAGTTGGATAGCATTTTGGGATTTTACCAAAAGCTTGCTACAAACAGATCAGAACGAAAAATTCAATTCACAAATAAAGAACTGAAAATTATAATAATCAGGTCTGTTCTCAATTTATGACATAATTTTCATAACATGCTTGGTCTGCTTTATGAAGGTAGGAAGAGGTCACTAAAACTACTAAGGTGAATTTCAATTCTTGGCTGGGTATTCTTTTTTGCCAAAAGTTCATTCATAATAAAAGGAGATATGTATTTTATTTGGACATTTTAGGAGGAATTTAGTAATCATAGGGCAAAGTTGAAAAAGCTGTTTTGAGAAAATGAGTATAATGTATATTTTTTTTTTATTGAAATACTTGGGATATGTGGGATAATATAAATATAGTGGGATATGCTTAGAATAGGATTCACATATTTATCTCGGGGGAGATGAAAGCCGATAATATGGCTTAATCATATGGCGAACCATAGCCTCTCGTCTGGTTACCAGTCCATGTCTGGTGTGGGATTGGTTGGTCAGTTAATTTGTCAGATGCATGGACTTTAGGGTGGAGGAAGCCATAACCGACAAACGGTTACGTGAACCACGTTACGGCGACGAGGTGGAAAGCAATTCTCGCCCACATAATTATCCCCCACTGGATTCGAACCTGTAAACCCACGCCTAAAGGTGAAGATAATTTATTTTGTAATAAATGTTGAGAATAAGGCAAAAGATTAAAACATGCTCTGAAGGAGACATGGTCATACTCATAGGCTCTGGAATTGTCATAAATCGAAAGTTAAGACTGTAATTTATGATTCATGACAATTTGTATATATATTTCAATTTCAAATAAGCATTACCGGTACTTTGAAAAATTACAATTAATTCAAGAATAAATAGGTTCTCTTCTATCCTAAATTGCTGGAAATTTTCACTTATATTTACAGGTGTCCAATACTTATTTTAAGCAATCTATATGGAGTATATGAACAAGTCAGAACTTTGGAACTTTCTTGTGAATTCACATTATTACAAATAAGAAAGTTAATTTTGGGATTTCCCCACATACTTATCAAAGGTTAGTCACATTGGGTATATAATGGAAACCCCAGTTTAGAATTAGATTTTATTTTTTGAAACTTCAGCCAAGGCTGCCCTAGGATCTATGTTGCAAGGATGATTCTATTGTAGGCATTTGCAGCATTTCCGGCATAGGTGGTCACTTTCAACTTATTATTTCTCATTACATTCTGTAAATTTTTTTTGCGAGGAGTTTCATGTTGTCAGTTGCATTGTTTCATCTTTAATTAATAGTTTGAGTTTGCCATTCCAGTTCCAGTATAGATTTTGGTCTAATAATATATCAATTTCTGCATCATTTCTCAAAGTTTTTACCTAGAGTGCTTAGAAAGCACCATTTCACAGAGATCATCGGTCAGCTTTTCCTCTGAATTTTATATTGATATTTACAGATGCTAAGCAACTTGATCTTTTATACAAATTCTATAATCGAGAGATGGGATATTCAAATGAAGAACTTGTTGATTTTCCAATGGCATTCGGTTCAAGAATAGGGGTAAATATTGCATAAACATAACACTTTCGTACATGATTCAACAATATATATTAATATTGTTTGATATGGCCCAAAGTCCCAAAGGAAATTATCATGGCTTCATATTGTTGAGGCATTGTGTTTTTGTACTGAACATTAGCTTCAGGTGGTGGGACTGTAGTGATAGCCAAAACTGATAATTTATGATTTCAAATGCATTCTGAGCACCATTATTGAATGTGAAATACAAAAAGAAGCTGATGTATACTCTCTTGTATGAAATCAGATAATGCTGAGGGATTGAGATAATGTTTTTTTCCCATATCCAATGGTGATCCATTGTAAAGGGCAACAGCAGACACAATCTAGTTTACTGGATAACTTGATAGAGTAATCTCCTATATAAAATCCACCGTAATTTGTCTGTATTTCTTCCATTTATTTTTTCATTTCACAGATTGTAATGGAGCGCCATTATTTTTTGAAACATTTGAAAAAAGCACAATATAAAAGAGATAAACCAGGTTATATATCATTAGATGATGTGTTTCGTGGTACAGATGGAATTTTTTGTGAGAAACATGGACAAGATGTCAGAACTTTCAGGAAATTTATTAAAACTCTGTAGTTACTGCTTCCATATGTGATGCAGTATTTTGTAATAAGTCATAGCACTTTCGTGTCGCTTTCGCCAATAAAGAAAATTTACTTTGTTATATAATTGTTAGCAGTTAATAGTTCTGCTCATTCTATTCACCATTGGCAGTTGTAGTATGCTGGGAATGGGTTAAAAAATGTCCACCTCTACAATTCTGTAATAATATAGTAAGTCAAGGTAAATTCATATTTTTCTCGAGGTAGTCTTATCTGGCCATGGATAAAAAATATTCTTCATGATAAGGTTCGTAATATTCAATTTATATTAAAATCAAATGTACCGTTAACTAGAAATTTCTTAAAGAATTGCACACTCTGAATCTTAGGATATCCTCGAAATCGCTTGTTTAGGGTTCTGGTCTGCTCCAAAAATGTTGGTGTTCAGTGATTACGAAAGACCTAATCCTTTTGACGGACCTCCGGAAGTATTTTGGTGCACAACCTGAAAATAGTATGTGTACCAGGTTAGGGTTCAGGTTGTGCGCCATCTTGGTATACATACTTCTGGAGCACTCTTGTGATTTGGAAACGGTGTCACGAAAATGTCTTTTCCCGTTTCAACACACTTCTGAGTTTTGGTAGACATACTTTCAGGGCAAGTGGTTAGAGTTAGCATATGAAGTTGGATTCAATCACGACTATGTTCTGGGTCAGGATAGATAATTTGGTGGCAGGATGTTGGGGTATTCACGTAATGAGTTTCATTCATGCAAATGGGGCTCAGCGTTGATTCCCAGAGAAAATTCGGGCTGGCAAATATTTCAAGCTTTTTGTGCCAACCGATTGGTATCCGTAAGCAGGCATAAATGAAACATTTTTTTTGTAGAGGGCTCTCTGGGCAAAGAATAATTGTCACTCTTGCCGCCGGGTGCTGAGGATGTAAACACGGCTGGTTGATTTTTATTTCACCGTCGCGCTTAGTTGTTGCCGTTTTCTCATTTGAATTCTAGTTCGCAATTTCATACGCAACCAGTTAGCTGGTGGCATGCACTTTCTTGGCAGTTCCCGCGAGAATGGCCCCTGATTTGGACCAAGTCCTTGTTTGTCAAAGTTTTTGTTGTCGTATGGCGAAAGTTGCCAAGTTAATTTTCGTTCTTCATCTGATGTATGCACTGATGGTGGAAGAGGAAAATTCTCTTGTGGTTGTCGTGCTGTTGTAGGTGGCGGACTTGGCGTAGGTGTTTGTGTATGTATATGCAGTCTGAACGTAATTGAAATAAGTTAAGTTTTCAAACAGGCTAGGCAAAATATGTGACTACATACAAGAGAATATATATTTATATGCGAAGGCGCCAGCACATGTTAGTTGTTTTGGATTTTATTAAATATCGGCGACTAAATGTTTGGGTAATTATATTTAAAGTCAACACCTTTTTTCATAGAACTTTCATTCGCTCTTTTGATTATGAAGCGATGCAAAGAAAAGGTTTAAACAGTCATTATCATTAAAGTCACTTCTGATAAGAAATAATTAAGTTGTACTTAAAAAATCTTCAAACTCTGGAAAACGCAATAATAATTAATAAAACTAAATACTTTACGTTGGCAGGTGATGGCTGTAGTCTATCTCTGATTGAGGAGGAGTTCCAGGATCTCTAGGTTTATTCCGTTGAAGATGTATTATAGGCAAATTGGGAGCGTTTGAAATCGCATGTTTCCAATGAGGAATTAATCTGTGTGCCTTCAGACCTGTGAATCAATGAGATTAATTTTTTCTGGTACTAGCCGATATAAAAGAACATCCAAATCATAAAAACTATTTTCGTTTATAGCTATATAATTTATCGCCTGAATTTTACGTTTAAGCCATCAGGCGGACCTAATTAGTAGGGCTGGGAATGGTTAACCGGGTAATCATCGGGACGCAACGAGCAAACGTCACGTGATGATTTACCGGGTAATTTTACCCGGTTAACGGTTAAAGTGTTTCCCTGAAACTCTCAGCTCCAATAATCTGACGATGCACACCTGTAGGAAATGAATGGTTTTCTATAGTTGTTGTAAGCGCAGCAGCAGTTTGCGGTGGGCGACGGCATTTTGTGCTTCTTGGTTTTATCCGCAGATCAGGTGATATACCTGGTCCAGCCGGAGTCCCAGTTCTGTAAAATAGTTTTTGTATATATAATGTTATTTCATGCCTAGTTTTAATATGGAGTCATTGCTGACATTCAATTCATTTGAATCTGTTCTGGACAAAGACTTTTTTGCCAAGCCAATGGAAATATAGTTTTATTTTTTATACTTCTTCGCGATATATATACTAAAACTAATTCTAGTAGAATCTATATCATAAATACAATCTGTATTATGTACCTTGGATCTTTGTGTATAAGAAAATGCGATTCACTCAGAGGTTCCTTGTATACATAATCTCTTTGCAACCGACTTCTCAGATGTCGTTCAAGAGGAAGTCTTGGTAGTCTATATGCTGTCGATGGAGCTCGTGGATCAGAATCTCTTGCTGAAACGAATCCTGATGTTATTCCAGGATAACTCCTTGCAGCTCTCCTGCTTTGTAGAGGTTTAAACGGTGAGCCCTCCGTCTGAATGAATCTTGGCAATTGTTGCGCTAGAGATTGATTTTGATTCCACCTAAAATAATAAGGTTTTCATTGGAATTTCAAATAGAAATGCCTACTTTGTTGATTACGTGTTGCTCTAATTTAATTTTTTTGTATTGGATTTCAACGGCAGCTCAAATCTTTCGTATATATATATTTAATCTCTCCAATTTTTTATTGTTTTCCCGTTTATTTTCAACTAATCTATGGTTTTAACGCAAAACTGTTTCGTTATTTATCATTTATTCCGCAATTAGTTTTAAACTCATGAAGTAAGAATAGGAAATTATTTTATCCCTGGGGATGGGAAATCTGATGAGACGGCTTAATCATATGGCATACCACGGCCTCTCGTCCGATTACCAGTTCATTCCGGATGTTGTATTAGTCGGTCAGTTATTTGTTTCAGATGCATGCACCTGAGTAGCTGTGTCAACCTCTAAATGAAAAATCCGTCTTAAAATTGGCGTAAATTTACGTCCAAAACACGAATATAACGGGAGGGCAAGCTATATAACTTGTAAATATTATTTATCAACTCACCGTATGGAAACCTGCATAAGCGACATGATCTTAATGAAGTAAATATTTCAACTAAATGTAACTATAAATATTCATATTGTGGATCAACGCAAAGAAGGACATTCACTTCTCCGTTTCGTGAGCATACTGCAAAATAATCTAATGGTTATATTGTGCGATGCTCAATCTAAAATATGCCAACATTGATTAAAGTAATTACTAGGAAACTACTAATTACTTAAACTAAATCTCGTTTTTGTTTTTTCTTCGATAATCTAAAAATACTATGTACTTACACTGGTTCAGCTAATCTTAACAAGGATATGTCAACACTTCGCTAAAGCGTCTCACTGATATTAAACAATGTCATAACACGGGATGGTGGTATCGCGTATCAAGGTATGTTGATAGAATATACAAACTAAACAGCTTGTTCCTCGGTAATACAAGATCGAATGCCTATTATTCAATTATTTCGCTTTGGTCTTCGGCTCGTGTTGATCATTTTGTGTTCACTTTTTCACATTTAATTAAGATCGTCGTTTTAAATGTCCAGCTTAAAATTCGATTACGTGATTTCGTTTTGAGCCACATTATTTTTACAATAACATGGTCAGAGAATGTTACGAATATTTGTATTTCCGTTTTTGATAAGACGATATTGATCTTAGCTTATTTTATCACCTACAAGTCAATATAATCATTGTCACATAGGGCATAGGCTACATCGGCCGAATTAATTGCAGTAGGCGAATACAGTCAAAGACTTTTATGTAAAGGTCCCGGTGCGGCGATACATCTTAATATGCTCACTAAAATCACACTCAATCCTTATCTGAACTATTTGTTTTATTTCGCGGCCAAGGAAAGAAGAATTTACTGTGAAGAGTTACTGTGCCCTTGAATCATATATAATGGAATTTTATTCAACATGAATTATTTAGAGGATTAATTATCATTTTACAATACCCACAGAATTTCATTAATAACCATCCGACTTTTTTACGTCTTCACTTTAAATTTGTATGCAAGCATTATGGTTATGATAGAACCGGCCAGAATCTAATTTCACTTAAAGTTCCAGAAGAGTCAGATGCTATTTTTGCAACTGGGAAAAGCGCAACAGAAAATACATTTCGAGCAAGGATGATATCTGCACTCGGGCCCTGTCTTGTTTCAATTTGTTTGTATATATTATATATATATTATAAGTTTTGTTCTGTACATGCACAAATAAATGCTGTGGTCTCGTGCAGAGGATATAAATTTATTTATTTCATTTTTTTTATGTTGATAATTGGGTAATAGCTACTATGTGGACTTACCGCAAACGAAAAAGTGTTTGCTCCAGTTTCCTCTGATACAATCTCCATTCCAAATCAGCTGCTCTTGCTTGGTCCACCAGAAGCGAAATTGCGGATGAACTATCAACTTTTTGAACAAGCATTCTGACTGTTTCAAAATTTAAACTGCTATCGGGTGCAGTTATGAAACGAAAATACGGAAAGTTTTTGTTTTTAGCTTTGAATATATGTAGGATAAATGTAATATTTTATTGTACATGTACTTTCTCATATATGCTAAGTTGACCATAACAAAGCAGAGCGTTACTTTTAACCCTGTTGCAACCCATTTATCCAATATCTGTGCAAGTCTGGCGACGCTTGATAAAAGAGTTAATAACACCGTGTTGTAATTTTTATTTACATCCATTTCCATTGTTAGAAATTTTATGTGTTTCGGCATGTCATTTACTATTAAAAAGTGAATGAGGTTTATCTAGTTCTAGAGTTTAGTTCAGTTTACTTATACTTATGATTTTCCGGTATATACCTATGGCGCGGCGTTGTGGCTCAACGGGCTAATCGTCAGGAATACGCTCGCCACCGCACCTCTAATTACTCTGCATGGGTTCACAGGTTCGATCCAATGCAGGGATGGTTATGTGCGAGAAGATTGCTGGACTCCTCGCCGTCGTTGGGTGGTTCACGTAACCGCTGGTCGGTTACGGCTTCCTCCACCACCAAGTACATGCTTCCGAAAACAAACAATATAACTAATCCCATACCCGACTTGGAATGGTAGTCGGACGAGAGGCCGTGGTTCGCCATATGGATAAGCCGTCTTATCGGCTTTCCTTTCCCCAGGGATAAATATGTAAATCCTATCCATTACTGACTCATTCATGTTACCATAATACGGTGTTCGGAAAATAGTCCACTTTCTATCGGTATTGTATAAAACAGTATCGTTTTCAAATTGTAAAGGCTTGTTATTGATAGAATAAGACCGGTTTAAAATGTCATAAAACCGATTTTTGCCATGCCTTCCCACCCCTCGCTAGCATGAACAGGTAGTCTATTCGTACTTCACGCAATTTAAAATTTTATTCATGACACCATACCACATTTTTACACAAACGCGAAAAGCTTACTATGGCGTAATAATAGTTTACTACCGGTATGGCGTCATTGTTAAAACGAAACCACACAAATAGCCAAGCCTAGCCATTGTTCTAATCAGACCCTGATTGTCGGTATCAGCTTTGCATATCATGTAGTGTGATACTTCCCACAGCCGCAGATACGGCAGTAAAACGAGCTATGAAGTCATTCATATTTGCAGCAATCAATTTATTCAACTTAATTTTGAGATTGTGTTTCAAGACAAATATGTTTTATATTAACAATAACTGTCATCAAAAATCAAGAAAAAAACATAAATTGGAAAAAAAATAGTGCAGATTAACTTTGAGTCTCCCGGAGTATGCGAACCAAGATGGCGGACATCGGAACGTAACATGGGTAACAGGTTAGGGTGAGGCGATAATTTTTTTCCAATTTTCCTTATTTTAGTCCTATTATCAGTACGAAGATTAGCCAAAAGCCTCTAGTAGTATTTATACCTAAAATTATGGCCTGACCCTAACCTAGTACACATATTACATTCCGATGTCCGCCATCTTGGTTCGCATACTTCGGGAGCCCCTAAACTTTGGTACACATATACGACAAAAACTTGAATACTTTTTAAAGCTTTATAGATTGCGGGAGTGAAATAAGTATGATAGAGCATATATTTAAATTTCCATTACCAAATAACTAGCAGAAAATAGCAATTTCACATTTGATAATTTCAGATTTGACAACATCAGTCAACAACACTACTATATATGTATTTGAATCGCCAGCAATTCAATACACAGAAATTTTTTTTTCAACATCAGAGTGAAACAAATGGCCGCAATTTAGTGGATCCCCATACATCTGAGAAAATTAATTTCTGTAACTTGGACTTTTAATATGGTCAGATGTTCCCAGATGAAAGATTTTAACTACAATCCACATTTAGAACAAGTTATTTACAGAGTTTAATTGAGGAAAAATCTTTTACCTCCTACTTTATGATGTATATTTATTGACTAAAACTTGAAAATTCCTTTTTCTTTTATATAGTTGAAATATTGCCCAAAAACAACCTTAAAATGTTCAGATGAAACATCACAAAAAGATTTTTCTAGAAGCAAAACAATATTTTTTAATTTCTCAATTTTTGTACAAAGCATGAAATTACCATCTGGGGAGTGAAAAGTCCTATTAAAGCGTAAAATCCACGACCAATCCATGTCAACGGATAAACAGACATTGCATCCTAATATTTGACCAAAAAAATGAAATAATCAAGACAAGAAGTATCTTGGTTCAGAGCGCCTGGTGTTTGCAAACTCTTGCATAATAAAAATTCGATAAACAACTCATTCAAAGCAAGATTTGCCATCAGGAATAAAGTGAAAAAGACAAAATGATAGAATAATCACAATGTGAAAAAATACATGACATGGAAATTTTCTATTATCTCTGCTACAAGAATTCAGGTCCATGAAATATTGCAAATAACCAGCACTCAATAGAAAAGTAGAAGGTTTTTAATATGAATACATTTCCTTAATATTAGTATTCAGTCCTCCTTGCAATCTACGGCATGGATCTATCCATATTTGCATATCACATATTATACCCCTTGTATTTTTTCATAATACCCTGTCAACACTGGTATCAACCAGTTCAAACCAGCTTTTGAAGTGATTACCCTAACTGATATGCTAAAATGATTGATGCTGATAAAATCTACTAATTTTATTCAATGGAATGAACTGATTAATAAATTGTTCGTAATTTGTTGTAAATAAAGTAAGCACCTGCATACAGCGAAGTAATATGCCGGATAGATGGCATCCAGGTACGAGTTATGAGTTTCAAATTAATTAAATGATTATGTCACTACTTAGAATGCTATTTATTATGTCTCTCAGTTTCTCCGAACACTTGGACAAAACCATTTAAAATTTCAATAAATATTAACTAATATAATCCAAGTTAGGAGATAGGCAAAACATAGGGTACTCCTGGAGTATGCGCACCAAGATGTCGCCTGACCTGAACCCTAATCTGCTACACAACCTGAGTTCAGGTTGTGCGCCATCTTGGTGCGCATACTTCAGGAGGTCCAAACATAGATTGAAGAAATCCAAGAAAACAGCATAATAGAGAGGAATACAGACCATTCGCTCTGAACAAGAAGAATAGTATGTTCTGGTGAATATACCAGATATTAGAAATATGCATCATAACAATTTCATTGTAAATATACGAAGAAAATATTTATTTAGAACATAACAGAGAAACTCGAAAAACGGATTTTGCTTCGATATATTTAATCAATACATAGATCAATATACCAAACCTTTTTAAATCAGAACGTCATGTCTTATCATGATATCTTATCAAGATTCTCTTCCACAAGATAAATTATGGTCTTATCATAGACGTTAATATTGAAGTTGAATATATTGAAAGCGGTAATCTCAATTGTCTGTATTCGGAAAATGATACTTTTTCAAAATTTAATTCAGACATATCCTTTGAACAGCTTTAGTCAATAGTATAATGCTTTTCATCTAATTATATAAAGTGAAATAAATCCATATAATGATTATGTAATGTATTAATACTGTTATCAAAAGATTGTGAGGGATTATGTAAGAATATTGTTCAAATCAATTCGAATATAATACTGATTGTCTGATGGACACAAAATTTTATTTTGAATTTTGTTTTGAAGTGTTTGAATATAATTTACTGCTTAGTATAGTAGTTGCATGTGTACATGTAACTGCCTGTCCAAAGACTCGCTAAAAGGGAAACTATATAAATAACAAAAGTAATTGCTGTGAAAATACAGTGCTTAATGGTAGATTACACCAGGGCTTCGCGAACTGGGAAACGAACTTCAGGGGTCACAAAGTGTATACCATTTTCACGCAGAGCACTCTATCTAAGTACTTTTTTAGAATCGTACAAAACATAAATCTCATGATTTCGAGAAAATACATAGGATCAGAGAAGCGGCGCGATTGCATAACAATGTCGATTTTACAGGCGTCACAGAAAATTTTTATATATTGGAAGGGTTGAAAGCTTAAAAGTTTGGGAAACCCTAGATTACACCATCATTTGAGAATACACAGCAGAAAAAAGAGTATACCTTAATAATATATAATACAAATTATTGAAAATGTAATTAATCAATAAAGGTTAATAAAACTGACTGATCAACTTAGTTTTCTCGCAATAAGTTGCCATTTTGTCCCGAAAACAGCGCCATCGAATAATGCTTGACAAATGCTAAATGTGAGTTAAACCAATATTCTCAAAGTGTGGAAATTCTCACACAGTTGTTTCAAACTGATATGTTTCTGGAACATTGATGCATACTACTCTTATTCTATCTTCTTGTATTATATCATCTGGTGGACTTGATGCGTCCACACAAGCGGGTAAATCGGAACTTGATATGGATGTAATATTAGAATAGCTAGCGCTTCGTCTCAGATGAGATGTGCCAGGATCAGGTCTTTGCGCTTCAGAGAAACGAACTGATTTTGTTCTTCTTGGAACTGCTGAGTCATCCCGAGACGCATTTGGTTGCCTAGTCATCTTTCTTTTCAACCAACTTGATCCTTCTAGTTTAGGAAACTTAGGATGAGTGACGGGTGAATTTTCAGAACTTGATTGTAAACCAGGAGTGGATCCATCCATGGTTTTATGGACGTGAACATGAACTTGGGATACACCCGCAGATTCCAGATCTGAATAACGAAATGAACTTTGGTAAAAGGTACAAAACTGTGTCAAATATTTTTTGACTATCTCTCATTTATTAAAACTGGGATATGTGGGGTTTATGGACATGGGTCAGACTTTTGTCACATTTTTCTAACACCTAACTTTCTTTGGGAATAGTTAGCCAGTTATTCATTTCAGATGCATGGACTTAATAGTGGAGAAAGCCATAACGACCAGCGGTTGGGACAATCACCCTAAAGCGAGGAGGAGTACAGCAATGCTCCGCATACAATTATCCTCCACAGGGTTCAAACCTGCGAATCCACGCAGGGTGATAAGAGCACACTCTCATTGCAAGAAACTCTCAAAGAAAATGAGAGTACTGATTAAAGAGTCGAAAACAATCACTGATGCACCCAGCTAGACTAGATTCCAGTTCAGGCACTTTGAGGATACTTTAGGCATTTTTCTGCAACTTAAAAGCAGAACACACACCTGAATCACTGTCATTATCACTGTTTGCATTTCTCAGCCATCTCAAAGTGAAGACAGATCCAACAGATGTCGCAAGATTGTGACTGCGATTCATCACACTTGTTCCCAGTTTCTCTATATTTGTGTTTATCGACTGAAACAAATTAAAATATTATAAGATGAACATAGAGGTGAACTGTTGAGTTTGACTTCATTTATCAAAATAACATACTTAACAAAAACTTGTAAACCAATATGAAAGTCTTTTGAAACAATATTCTTATATCCAAAAGTAACCAAAACCGTCTACCATCCCATAGAAATTTAATTTCATAATATAAAAAGTTGAACTAAACTATATATTGTATGATTTTCTACAGTTTCAGGGGTTGAATGTTGCACAGAATGACAATTTTGGAGCGAAAATATTCTGAATCCAAGAATACAATATGGAAATGGAATACAGGCGATTCTATCAAGTAATCTTTTTCAAATGTTTGATCCATTTGAGAAATCTTGATTCTATTCTCCGTAAATTTTAAGTTATATCTTAGGATTGGATTCTCATATTTAAACCAGGAGAGAAAAAAGCCAATAATATGGCTAAGCATGGCGAACCACAGTCTCTCACGCGGGTTACATTCCATGTTCGATATGGGAATGATTGACTAGTTATTTGTTTTAAATGCATGGACTTGATGGTAGAAAAAATTTTAACCAGCAAACCACCCAGCATCGCAACATTGGGTTGGATTAAGCTACAAATCTGCTTCAGGTTTGAAATATACTAAACATTCTTCATACCTGAAAGTTTGGCATACTCGGCATAGTGATGTTGGGCATGCTGATTGTAGGCATTGATATACTCGGCATAGAAACACGAGGGAATTGTACCGAAGAAGGCAATTCAATGTGTAGACGGTCTCTGTTTTGAGAAAAAGTTGATAGAAATTGTTTTCTGCATTCTATTACAGAGAGCCTTGCATTCATCTGGTCTATGGTTTTATTTTTACATTCTCTCTAAGCAAATTGTGACATCTTTGTCGTGACTCGTTCATCCATTGCTTTGTGCAATATACAGTAGTTTTGATTTAGTCAGTAATACACAATCGCAGTACACACAATCGCAGAACACAGAACACATAGGAAGAAATGTTATAGGCTATTGAAGACTGACAAATATATATATTTTTCATATAAAACAATCAGCTTAACCCAAAGTATGCACCCTAACTTCTTAACACGACCTACTTTTTTAAAGCAGATCAAAATTCACGATGAGTTGCTCATTTTTGTATTATCTCACCTCAAGTGTGAAGCATATTCCCATACATTTGTAGAAAATTCAGAATTCCTTGCATCATACAAAGTTCTTTTGACTGTGTGAGCACCTTTAATAACAGTATCTAAGAATACCTGCTGACATGTGAAGTCATACTTTCTGTAATATCTGTGAATTACAAAAACAACAATTTTTAAAAAAAAATTCTCTACATATAACAATAAAAGGATAGGATTCACATATTTATCCCAGGAGAAAAGAAAGTCATTGAGACAGCTTAACTATACGACGAACCATGGGCTCTCGTCCGGTTACAAGTCCATGATTGTGGATTCACTTGATGGTGGAGATAGATCATTCACCAACTCCTAGACTTGTTTGAGTAAGTTAAGACAATATGTTGATAAAAATCAAGAAATAATATACGTTTACAAAACTTAAAATAAATTTTTTTCAAAAATGAGGAATCAATTGTTTGGGGCCTACAAATATTAAACTACTGTATTCGAAATTGAATTGATTGGAATTTCAAGAAATTTAAAAATATAATGATATAAATACTTGTTCGCATTGAGTGAAGCTTCCGACTCATGTAATCCTTTACGTTTAGATTTGATAGGAGATTCTGTTTTGAATGACATCGCCTCTTGCACCCTTTTAGCTCTTTGGTCACGAAGATGTTGACAATAATAGCTGAATATAAAAGTTTATTGATTGTACACCTCAATACAAGATATAAATAGTAGGTCATATTATAACAACTGATGACATTTAGAACCTATAATAGAAACTGAAATGAATGAAGCTTGATGAGCCAAGCGGCAAGCACATATCAAAAATTACTGTTTTGTAATTAACAAATCAATAACTGAAACCAGTCATTTCTATCGGATATTAGTATTTGCTTAAAAGATTAAAATTACTTTGAAATCAGTGAATTGAGTTTTTGTATCAAGTGACCCATAATACTTTTTTCAGAAATGTTCAAAACAAATTGATATTAAAATATATTCAAAATAAATTTTGTTACATTCAGTGTTAATATTTGCATAATACTATAACAAAAATAGAACATTAAATAATTAAAACTTCCTTTAAAATCAAAATCGCTGAGATGTATGAAGTGACCCATAATACTTTTCCCATATGTATTCAATATACAGGGTGTCTCAAAAGTTTAATTTTGATTTGCTTTTCAGGTACTCATCATAGATCGTCCATTTTCTCAGTAAGCATATTATGGATAAGTAGTAAAATTTAGGTATTGTTTGTATTTTTCATCAACTCTCAGAATGACAAGGAAATTAACCCAAGAAATGAGGTGAAAATTGCTGTTTTTGCAAGAAACATATCAAGCAGTAAGGCAAACTCAGCGCCTCTTTAACAGAGAATTTGGAATTAATTCGGCTCCTACACGAAGAACAATTTATGCAATTCACCGTAAATTTATAGACTATAATCGGAATAGTGAATATTTCATTTTCGACCATCTATGACTTTTCCATTTCAATATATTATTTAATTTGTTTAGACTATTCTTTACTTCCCGATAAATCAAAATTCAAATGTACTTACTGTAATAGGTTGACGCTATTCAGTACAATAGCAACCATGAATGAGACAGCGGAAACAACGATTGCAACAATAGATCCAACAGGAGCAAGAATTACACCCACTTGCACAAAACCAGTGACTGAGCTGATACTGTTGTTGCCAACACATCTAAATGCATTTACAAAATTTGAATTTGTAATACTGGGAATTTTTGAGAAATCATATAAATTTATAGCAAAATTATTATTAATATCCATCTCAAGTATAGTAATTCTGAGAGATGACATTGTCAGGAATTGTACTACTATACTTGATGATATACGAAGAACTAATATCGCGGTTAATTGAAGTGCGTGGTGTAGGCATCGCAGGTTACCCATCTTGGGTTCGAATTCTTTACCCACTACCTCACCCAGTGTGTACTAAATTGGATAGGCAATGCCGAACGAGAAAAATTATGTTCGCTCCTAAAATAATATCCCCTCACATATCGTTGGATATTACTGAATGTTTGTCCGAGCCTTGTACATAAACGAAAATTATAAATATATAAAACAAATCATAATTCATTGAATCTCCAATGTCAATTAAGCTAGCATAATATGTTACAGGATGTAATTTGAACAATATAATTTCTCAGTCATAATCAATTACATTTAAAGGTCCAAGCGTACTCATGTAAGAATATAAATTTAGAACAGACATCCACTATTTATATGATGTAATCATCTACTACACACTGCCTTAGGGTTTGCTTTAGAAGCACGACATACTAAGTAATTATTTAAGATTGAAACTGTGGATGACTATTAATCAAAGAACATAAGAAATCACATCAATCAACGAAAAAAAACTATGGTATACCAAATGCAAAACAAGGTGCCTTGCTAAGACTTCAAAAATTTTTCATGAGTTTTATTCGACTTTCAATAATTAACTGTGTTAGAAGTCTTCATACTTACTCTTTTTCTACCAAAGGGCTAATGGATGACATACTAAATTTTTTATTCACATACAATAAATGCATAAAGCACATTTTATAAAATTGGTATAAACTCAATCAGATAGAACAATGAGCTTAGTATTACCAGTAATCCATGAACAATATGGCATGAACTAAATGAACTGTTGTAGCCTAGCGAGCTAGGTGGATTTATATAGCTTCAGAGTCAGATTTCGAGTCAAAGTTATTTGAGACGCTGCACGACTAAAATTTTCAAAACATCCTGATCTCATAATATTTTATACTAAAACTAGAATTGCTGATTAAAAATTTGTCTAATTAGAATGTTGAAAGTCATTGAAAAAAAAACTTACTTATAAATCCCAGTTTTAGAAAGACGAAGATCATTTATTGTGAGAACATGACCATCGCTGTTGAGAGAATACAAACTTCTCAGTTGTCCATCATGCAATAATGATTCCATAGAAATTTCTTTACCACCTGGTGATATCCACTGTGTTTCCGGGTGTGGTAATCCATCGAAAATGCATGAAATTTTGCAATTATCATATTCATTACAGGTTACATTTTTCGGTTTCTGCATTGTGACATTATAGCATGTCAAATCTTCAATTTCTAAATCAGCCAGCCTTGATCCGAATGACCAGTATGGATAAGAGCACACAAGATCATCTGAAGATATTATTGATTGGTCGTGAGTCTGGAGAAATTTCCAAACTTCTTTCTGCATGCAGTCGCAAGATATTGGATTGTTTTTCATAATTACTAGTGATTGGTTGCTAATTTTGACACCCTTGTCTTGTTCAAACTCCAACTGTTTACCAATATATTCAAACACCTCCAAGGATATACTTCTCAAATAATTGCTTGACAAATACAAGTATTTGAGGTTGTTAAAACCATGGAATGCATCGGGACTCAAATAACTGATATGATTGTTATTTAGCATCAATGAAATCAAAGTTTTCTGAACCGAACGAGGAAACTCATCACTTGACACAGTCTTCAATTGGTTATTTCCTAAATAGAGATGTTTGAGATTTGTAAGACCCGCCAGCGGGCCACAATCTTCGTTTGGTATTTTCCACAATGAATTCCCTTGAAGCTTCAAATTCTCGATGAGAGGTGGTAAGCGTATTGCGCAATTCCTCTGCGCTGTTTCCATTTTATTTTGATCAGCATAATAGTCACCAAGTAGTAATTTATTATTAGAAACGTCCAGAGTATTCAAATGCGACAAGCCAATCAAGTTTGGCAGAATTTCAAGCTGGTTATTTTGAAGATATAACTTCCGTACATTTTTTAAACCTCTCAAAGACAGCTTATGAAATCCATTGTGAGAAAGATCGAATACTTCCAAGTTTTCATGAAGCATATTTAAATTCAAGTCAATTGAAATAGCATTGTTGCTCATGTTCAAAATTTCAAGTTGGGAAACAGTTCCAGAAATGATGGAAATTGACGAAGCACACCATTACTTAAATTCAATGAAATAAGTCCCTGCTTTGGTGGCAATGTTGTTACATTAAGTTCCACATTTTCAAGAAATAATACTGACAAAGCACGGAGTGAAGAAAAATCTTGACTCAGAATATACTGAAATTCAGTTTCATTTAGTGGAGTAGCGATGGATAAGGAATTCAGATTTTGGGGTAAATTTGAAACGATATCTCGACTGAAATTCTCGCAAATAGCAGTTTTCCATCTATCACCTTCCCCATTTGAACAAGGTAACAAAGTGCTTGGGCATGTAGTTTCTTCACAGGAACATTCCAAAGGACAAACAGGTATACTGACCCATGCATAAGTAGATTCCGATATTACAGATGCAAGTATTATACAGCAGAAAGCATGAAAGCTATCTATTTTAATCATCTTTTGATAATCTTGGAATTGTGATTCCAGTCACTGATACAGCTTCAAATTAGATTTACATTTTAACAACAACCAAAACATACCTATTATTCTTCTATGATAAAAAAAATAAGGTTAAAAACATGTCTCAAATAATTTGCATAATGACAAAGAGAACTCAACTGATATAGTCGATTTTGGAAGATCATGAAAGTCAAGACTCCAGTATATCTCAAAATAAAAATTGTTAGGCTACAAAATATATATAGTCTATTTAAATTTAAAGGTTTTCAGAAACCATACAAATGCACAAATGCAGATGGTTTTCATTTACCCCAAAACAGTTTATAGTCACTTTGATTTACCCATAGTACTGTCTTACTGCTGCACTGTAGTACCGTACAGTAGTATGAGAAATTCAATCATAGGCAAATAACTGAATAAACGGCAATCATAAAATGCTGATTGTGAATATCTTCACAATGAATGGTAAGTTAGCATAAGGAACTGCTCTTCATATACTGATATAGTTACAGGGTTAAAATACCGTACTGTAATATTAATAATTTCATTACCTTTCCTCTCTTCGTTGATAAACTTCATAACACCGCACACCGATACCGGTACCAAATTCTGAAATTAAATCCCATACCGTACCAGCAAAAAAAAAACTGACGATTCAATCTCATAATGAAAACTTTACCGTTATTGGTATTATTAGGATTTCTGGATTTAGATTGTGGTGAAGAACAAGCGCACTAGCGAGAATACGGCGGCATTGATTGAAGCATTTAGCTTGACATTCATATCGTCGACGTCCTTTAATAGCTTAGATTAGAATAGATTAGACCTTTCTTCGCTGTGTCATTTTTCAGATTTCCCCGTGTCATATTTCCAAAGAAATAAGAGTGGATAGTGGATATAAATATTAAATTATTCTGAGTTGTTTTTTTAAAGAAAATTAAATGAGCTGTTGTAACAATAAAAAGAGCAATAATCTTATTGGTAATATTTATTTACAAACGACCTCGCTTATTTTTCCATGCTAATGCCATCATTCTATTTTATATCTGGTAACAGTATTACTTTGAAATCAGCTGTTTCTCTGCGATCGGTAGCTGGTAAGTGCCAAAATGAGGTCTCAGCGTCAAGTCGTTAATTCATTCAGCGGAGTCGGTAAGCCTATTTCCTTAGTAATTTGTACCGGTATCTAGCAATTTCTTTCCCAAATACGAAGTTTTATCCTGATTTAGGACCTGATAAATTATGTTTGTATTGATTGAAACCAATGGGATAATATATTTTAAAAGTATAAATCTGTAGGTTAAATCACTGCTTGCCGTCAGAATCACATTTGTACCCGTAGTCACCAGTACCGGTACTCAAGTCAGTGAGTTTTGAAGAATAGGATAGGATAGGATAGGATTTACATATTTATCCCGGGGGAGAGGAAAGCCGATAAGACGGCTTATCCATATGGCGAACCACGGCCTCTCGTCCGGTTACCATTCCAAGTCGGGTATGGGATTAGTTTTTTTTACTGTATTGTTTGTTTTCGGAAGCATGGACTTGGTGGTGGAGGAAGCCGTAACCGACCAGCGGTTACGTGAACCACCCAACGACGGCGAGGAGTCCAGCAATCCTCTCGCACATAACCATCTCTGCATGGGATTCGAACCTGCGAACCCACGCATAGTAATTAGAGGTGCGGTGGCGAGCGTATTCCTAACGCTTAGCCCGTTGAGCCACACCGCCGCGCCGAATGGGTCATAAATACAGAAATAAGTCTATTAGAATGTATTCATATATTTTGCATAAGTTTATTTTGACTCAATTTAAGAGACATACTATAATTGACAAAAAAAGGAGAATTAGAATTTAGAAGGATGGAGTTCAGGAGTTACGTACGGTACGGTACCGGTACCGTACCTATGTTGTGAATGACGTATACGATTTAATTCCATCCAAGACGATTTGATAAGTTGGAATAGCTGAAATATCTTTTGCATTTAATTATGACTCTCAATTGATAAACATTGGGCCATATTTTTTTTGTGAATTTTGACAGCAATTTTTATTGTCCTGAGAAATTGGAATTTTGAACTTTTATTTTTCCATACCCAATAACAGTAAATTCCTTTTTCAGTAATTAAGAGATAAGCCTGTGCATTAAATATCTAAATATATATAACAACAATGACAGATATCTCACGAGAAGATGAAGTTGATTCTGAACTTGTTGCACTTTCTGCAATCTATGAGGATAAACTAAAAATTGAGGATGTTGAAGAAGATAAAGTAATATCCATTACTATTTATCCTGCGACAGCCGAAGATAAGTCGTCCCAATATGTTTTCTTGAAGATTTCATTTACCTTGCCACAAAGATATCCTACTGTGCCACCACATGTCAATTTTTCATTATCAAGAGGATTATCAGACTCAAGTTTAAGTGAATTGAAAAATAGAATGGATGAAATAATCGAAGACAGAGAAGGCGAATGCATTATTTTTGACCTAATGGAGCTGGCAAAAGATAGTTTAACCTCTAACAATATACCAAGTTGTGAATGCTCAATATGTTTATCAAATTTTCAAGATGGTGATGATTTTTTAAAAACTGAATGCTATCATTATTTTCATTGCCATTGTCTATGGAATTATTACAACTACTGTACTGCAAATGAAAAAACTACAGAAATAGCAACTAGTACAACTGTACCTCCAAATAAGATCAATACAACAGTGCCTTGCCCAATATGTAGGATCCTACTAACACTGGATCATGAGCAATTAGCAAATGCAAAGCCACCATTGCTTGATACACTCGATGAACCAGACTCCCAAATAATGAAACAGTACCATGAAAAGTATGATGAACACTATCAGAAGCAACTCAAAAATGGTGGTTTGATAGATTTGGAATACGAACAAAATAAATTTCTTTTATCCAATATTCAAAGAAATTATGAAACTCAAATTGCTGCTGAGGCAACTACTTCGGTGCGCGATCAAAACGACACATCAAGTAATATTGAACGTAAGCAAAATGATAAAAAAGAAATTCAATCGAACGGCAACAAACGTCAGATGGGTACCGGTAATAATGAAAAATTTCAGCATGGACGATCACATTATCAAAACAAGAATAGACAACAGCCTCATTGGAGAAAAAGTCATGAAAAAGATTTTGAGACGTCAGAATTTTCTAATAGAGGGAATAGGGTAAACAAAAGAAATTATCACAACAATAGAGGAAGCCGAACTCCGCAGTATTTTCCACATCGAAACCATCAAAAAATAGACACAAAAACTGATGAATCAGAGGACAAAAGCCGTAAAGCGAATTCTGGTAATGCATCTTCTAATGAAACAATGAATAAAGTCGATATATCACACGCCCACTTCACTAGATGTAGTAAAAAAGGAATGGCACATTGTAGCACAGCAGAAGACAGAAATGCACTTAAAGATGACGGTTCAGGTTCCAATTTAAAAAAATATGGATATAGACAATTTGATGCACCCCACCATTACAGAAACAATGATATGGGTAACAGAACTCAGTATCACAATTATAGGCCTCACAGATTTTTCAAAAACCGAGGTGAAAGAACTGCTACTCCAAAAACTAAATATCCCACTCCCTCCTCCATGTAACACAAATGCTGTAAACTGTGAATATCGAACATAGTTATGCGCACGAGATAAGTCTCCTATATTTTTGAGTGAGTGTGTATGACGTTAATAAAAAATATTTGGCAAAAAAAGATGTGAAAAGAAATCCTATTTATGTGCTTGTAAATGTACTATTGCTTTAGTTATAGACCTATTTTTATAATATTACGGAGAATAAAGTATATTAATGTCAGAATTCTTAGTTTGTCGAGCCATGTAATCTATGCCGTTATTTATGACTTTGTGGACAATTCCAACAAGCTCCAATGCACTATGTCAGGGGTCGGCAAGCTACGGCCCGCGACGCTTCACTAGCTTATAGTAACAAAACATCCGTTTTGACGAATATATTCTTTAGACTAGATTATATTATAACCTAACTATTATATATTTCACAATTACTCATTTAATGAGCATATAATTTAATTATAATTAAGCAAATGGTAACAAAATGCAGAAAAGTTGATGCTAAGTGCAAAGGGTTCAATGGCGCTGAAATTATTCGAATGGAATTTTATGAGATTCAATGGGGAAATAAATCTATATTCTATTCGAGAGATGTATCACTGCTTGATTTTTATTATAAAAAATACCATCCGTTCGGTTTTTCAACTTTTCAAAAATATGTGCCAATGACTTGCAACCTTAATTTGGCCCACGAGCGGCAAAAAGGTTGTCGACCCCTGCACTATGTTCTTGTCCAGATGTTATGTCTCCTTTTAAACTGTGATAAATAACCATTGGCAAGGCAAGCAAAGGGGAGTGGTTTAGGCAGTCATCTTTGGCTTCTTGGGTTAATCTAAACAGAATAAGAATAGACTGAAGTCTCCCAGACCCAACCATACTACTACACTGTATGAATTTCATACAAATTGTCGAAACATTTTTTACAATTTTAGATTTTTATTAATTGGCAACAAACTATGAACTGTAGTAATTAAAGCAAAGCATATATGATGGTGGTGCAAACGAAAATGTAACACTGCAGTGTTATACAATAAAAAATTAATAAAATAAAATTACAGATAATATAAAATTCAAAGCAAATTACTACAAGCAAGATTTTACATTCACACACGATTGATATAAAACATTCGAATGGGTATATATGATAAGGGATGGATAAGACAGGCCTAAACCTTTTAGATTGGATTTTCATGGTGACTCAGTATTGCCAAGAATGCAGAAAACCATATAAAAAATACATCAATTGCATGCAATGTCACAGTGAAATAAATGGAGAGATCTAGCCACTAATTCATTTAATATTTTAGTAACTTCATGTAATTCTGCATCAAATACAAAGCAATTGGTTCAGAATAAACAATATACTAGTATTCACATCAATAAACTAGATATCATTGGTGCGGCATCGGAAGTGTATAGAATGCCAAGTAAAATATTCAAAAATCAAATGATGATTTCAAATAGGCAGAAATTTCAAATATAGTTTTGTGTATTTTTAAGATACCCAGAGCTCAAACTGTTTGGTCTTAAAAAACAAAATTTGAGAAAAAGATAACAGTGAATGGTACAAATAAACTTAACTGAAATAGGTAGTGTGAAAAGAAGCAAAACCTATATTTGAATTTGAAATATAATCCATACAGTTGGTAAACTATAATAAATAAGATTGCAACTTCGAATTGATATGCACCCATTTTCAGTGGAAGTGTTCAGCTACCAAAAAATTGTTTAAAAACAACAATGAGGTATATTACAGTAACGTAGTTGGACAAGCAACTACTTTGAAGTGTGCCATTCACTATTTTCAGTTTAAATTATAATATTGGCTAATGAGCACATACATAACTTAACAGAGAAATTCATATTACATAACAAACAAGCACCTTCTCAGAAAATGTTTGTATGTAACTGCAGAAAATTACTTGATTTGCAAATGAATGAATTGTTACTAATGTACCAACCGAAAACTGACAATAGCTAGTAAAAGATCTACTAGTTATTAGCACTCATAAAATAACATACATAAATCATTTAGTATTTGAATGGAATTGTATGTTTTTGGGAGGTATTTTTTTAATTGTGCAGCTTTGCTATCGCAAATTTTAATTTCTATATATAAAACCATGAGTCTAAAAACAAATCAAAAATCCACAATTCAATTAATCATCAAAAAAAGTAAAATTACAGAAAAATGTGCACAATAATTAAAATTGAATACTAATTGTCCCTCAACGTTTATAGATGCTTCCATCTCTTCCGCCAGAAGAAGTTGAATCAGATCTTATCAATGGTTTGTTTGTGTCTCTTCGTTGTAAACTACTTGGTTGAGGACCTTCAACACAGCATGGAACTCTTATTTGCTTTGTAGAGACATGCTTGTATATTTTGTAGATCAACACAGCACCAAGTATTATGCTCAAAATTATAACACCAATAAGATATCCAGGCATGCGATAAGATTCCTTTGTATTGTTTGTAGATGTTGAAGACGTTGTCCCAGAATACACAACACTTTTGCCATTTACCGAATAAGAGAATGCCACAAAACACAGAAAGACTAAATAAGTTTGTTTTTGTAACATGATTTAATCAGTATACCTTGTTTAATACAAATCAAGAAAATGATTCTGCAATAATATTAAAATAGTGTGGCAATAAGATAATTCTCAGGCAACAAGTTTTTGATATGATATCTGGATACAGATTGTCATTGTGTGAAAAAATTATAATTCAGTAATTACTGAATTAACATAGGTAACATTGTAACTCAGTACCGTACTACCTACCGGTACCGTAACTCTGTTTTAACTGTGCAGTTATTACGGTATTAACTATATTACGGTTACTGCATCAATTAACTTTAATTCTGTAATTACTGAAATTCAGGAATTAGAGGTCACAGCCAATGGCTGAATGGGTTGCTCCTCGTCTAGCTTTACTAATAGCGATATCACGCTCTGTTGGGTTTAAAAGGACGGTACCCGATATTTTGAAACTCCTACTTCCTAACTTATGACAAAATACTGGTAGGCCTGCACAGAAATCCCAAAACACCGTCACCAAAAACATAAAGAAGTTGTAACGATTTGATCGATCGCCTTCGGTGGGTAACTGCTTGCTAACTGGGCATACTGAAGTCCGGAGTTCTGTCGGATATTTATTTTAACATTTTTGACTCCTTGATTATCTGAAACACAGCTTTTCAGCCAACTTCGATTCTGCTCAACGACTAACATAACGATTCTGCTCAATGTTCTAGAACTCCAAAAATCTCAAGATATTTTGTAACCGGGACTATTTTGCTAGCCCATCATCAATTCATATTTCAAAATCAGCATGGCGATTAGTCCGATTTTTTTTTAAAACATAGTGAGAGTCAAAAATGTTGAACCTGTGAACTATTTATTCATGTTATTTGTATTGGGTGGTAACAGACTCTTGATGACAAAAATTATCGATATTGATTACCCTATTTCATCAGTCTTTTTTTTATGAAAAAATCATGAAAATACCCCTATTCCTTTTCATGTCATTCACTGAAACTTCGTCCCAACATCAGCATGCGTATCAAAGCAATACTTATTATGTTGTTCTTTGTTTTAATATACATAAAAAAAACTAAGAAAATTAAAATTATGACTGTTTTTCTGAAAGTGGGTTTCCAGTGAATCGACCAGAATGGTATCGAACAATATTAGCATACAATCAATTAACAATCGCATTAAATATTCTATAATTAAACAACTTCTTTTATACGCCACTCACTAGTGTAACAACCAGGGCAAGCAGGCAGCGGCGTATCTAGGGTGTGGCAGCCATGGCTCGTACCATGGGCGCCGTTTGGACAGGGGCGCAAAAAAGGCGAAAAGTTTTAATCGTTAAATGTTTCAATAAAAGAATTTCGAATTGGTAATAACTCAAACTCGTAGTTTTACTCAAATAATACCGTACAATTCACTCATTTCCATGAGTGTCATTATAAATTGTGAACTAACTATCAAGGGGGGCGCATTTTCAAATTTTGCCATGAGCGCAATTTTATGTAGATACGCCACTGCAAGCAGGTGAAAATATGAAAGTTGGAGTTGAAAAGATATTTATATATATAGATACATGAAACAATTTTGTGAAGTCCTGTTGCTGTCATGTTAAGGCCGATAAGGTGGTGGTGGTGCTTGGGCTGATTTTACATTTTTTCGGGGCTTTTTAGTGGGAATTTCCACATGCTCCATCGCAATATTGTCGTGCCCTTGATCAATATTTCTCTCTCCCACTCTTCTTCTCTTTTTGCAGCAACATGCACTGAAAACAGTAATATTCAAATGTGATCTAAATTTAAAATATATTGCTTACTAATAATGAGTTTTGTGAGAATGTTAGAAACCACAGAATGATACAAAAGAACAATGGAAATATAGAAAATGACAAAAGTATATCAGTTCAATATTTTCTTACCATAGACAATCACAAATACTATACAGACATGCAATGCCAATAAGAATCACAACAGTCCCAATGAATCCAACGAAAATGCAGAACCAGACAATGCTGTAAGTATCCTGTTATAAAGAATAGAATCGGTCGGCTTTTCTCGTATGTATCATCACAATACAAAAAGGAATTTTGATAATCAACGTGCAACGGGCTGCTTACTCAACGTCAGAAGTCTTTAGAATAATATACATGTGACCCTGGAGACCAAAAAGCCTATTTGAGTCAAGGTAATTTAATCGATAATATCTATAAAATATGCTTGACAATAAATACCTTAAAAGGATCGATTTTTCCTATATCATCCAGTCGAAACCCGACAACTTTTTCCAGTTCGTTATTTATATTGTCGAATGACATTATATATGACTCTAGCAACTTGATTTGAAAATTGTTCTCTACCTTTTCACCAGTATTTTTAAACAGAAATGGAATATTTTATTATTTCCCTAATACTGAAAATATGAACTTGGTTTGCTGATGTCTGAAGGAATGGGGTTATCATATTTTTATTGTCTACTCTAGTCAAGTGTAGACTTGGAAAAAGGACACGTTTTGTTGTCAACCGAGATTGATTTATTTATTGAAAAAAGAAATTGCTGTCTGCTTCCAATGCTGTTGAATTGAGTATTGAAATCTCAGAACAATAAACCGAAAAAGACAACTTTAATTAGATTTGATGAGAATTTTATCACTGCAAATTCAAAATAAGCGTCGCTAACATTGCTCCATAATACGACTTGAAAATCTCTTCTCAAGTCATAGCCTATAATAACTTCGTCTTACGACAACAGAAATTACCCAAAATTAACCTAGTGTTTCGTTGCTCGTACAAACGGTTGAGTGCACTTGAGTCGGTATCGAGTGTACAGATCATGTGATAATAAAAGTCGAATTCATGTTGAAGGCATTGGTCAAACATGATGCGTTGATAAGTGATACATAAAAGAGTGTTTTACATTTTGCGAAAAAGAACAATTCATTTCATGGAAAGAGACTTTTCCGTCAATGGAAAGCTCATGACAAGCTAGCCATATTAAAAGCCCTCTTTATTTATTTCAATGTCATTCAGTATATAAGATGAACATTTCTTCAAGTATACATATATATTAAATAAACTACTGCTCTGCTCATGTAGCCCTAAACACAGCCTTCTTTTTACAGACTCAATCGTCAAAATATGGGTATATCTAATATTTAATCCACAATATACATGGTTGAATTGGAAATCTGACGTTTTCATTAGACCGCGTCGGTACGAGTAAAATAACCACTTGGCTCATTCAACGTAAAAATATACCATAATATCATTGACGAACGACCCATAAAATCTCCATGTAGTTAGGCATCATAATGGACTATTCTAAAATTGACTTCAATATGAAAACTATAATGAGAAAATGTGAAACTCCTAATGCTTTTCAGTGTTTCACTATTGCTCATTAGTCTGTAGTCAAAAACTCCATACACACATTATAATGAGTAGTACTGTATTTCTGACTTTCAAATAATTTATTTTCATATAATACTGTTATATCATTTTTCATTACCAAATATAAACAAAAGTAAATATGAAGAGGCTGCTATATTGGTGTATTTTCAAATATTGAATATCCCTGGGTTGATCCATAAGGAGTATTCGTTTTCAAACCTAGTTTTAACAACAACTCTTGCCTCCTGGATTGTCTTTCCATTTGCATTTCAATTCGCTTCAACCTCCGCTCTTCTCTCCTTGACGAATCTGTGAATAAATTATGTGCTGAATTTCCTTGTTTGGTTACTTTCTATTAATTACACTCGAAATTGGCTCTTTTTGGCAACACTCGGTTAATCGCAAATATAGAAATGTGCCTGGTTATATGGGCTACAAAAATCTACACCATTGAATAATGATATTGTTAAGAATGTTCTAGTCTAGTCAATATCTGAAAAAACGTATCGTTGCCTAATACCCGAAACAGTATGTGATAGGCTATATATATGCGATATGACTGAAAATTTGTTTTACATAATTTATCATATGTATCCTACGACATAAATTTATCTAATGGTGCCTTTCGATCCTAAATAAAATGTACTCACCATCACTTGAACAACAGCAGCAGCAACACAAATAATAGAAAAAATCAGAAATACATCTGCAGAATTTGACAAGACAGCAACATAGTAGAATAAGGACTACGAGTACTGAAAGTAGAAGGACAAGGTTTTTGGAATTGTTACGCTATTTAATGTTTTGTGAGCATTAGATTCAACTTTGAAACAGTTGTCAATATGGAAAAAAAGATACTAAGAATTTGAGAAAGAGCCGTGTTCGATTTGACAGTTTTTTGGGACAGAAAATGAATAACAATTGAGGTTGATGACTTACCTACTGCTGCAATCGTTATGGCTACAATTTTGTAATCAAATGTACAGAATCCCCATCTCACTCCCGACCACATACCATGTTTTGATTTACATTCCTTGCTGGTGAAAAACAAATGACCCTGTGGTACGTATTTACATCTAAAAAAGTTGAAACGTTAGTTAGACATTATATCTCGTTATCGTCACCTATAAATAGCAGAGACTGTAACACTGAAGTAATAGGTAAGCGTAAGCCTTTCGGAGGTTTCGGGAATTTCTTTTAAAAGTTTTGTAAATGGTCTTGTATTTTTACTTACAATTTGACATTATCACACCACACACAATCTTCTCTTTTCCCGCATCTCTCGCAAGATTTAAACGGACGACAATCCGCATCAGATGAAGCAGGTTTACTTATTGAAACTGTTGTGTTGTGACCTGCTTTTAAAATTGAAGATTTTTTTAATTGAATAATTACTCAGAGTTGAATGAAACAAAACGGAACGAATACCTACCGGTGGGTTGGTTTTTGTTTTGATTACTCCTTTTTGTTCTTTCGTGTAAATATATTTGCTCGTTTGAATATCTCAGTTCATCAGAATATACTTTATTGATTTGTTTTGCAGTTCTGTCAGCTTGAAGATATTTTGTATAACATAATAATATTAATATAAAATATTCTGCTAGACGCATGTTGTAGTTCTTGAATAGATATATCCTAGAATATGTATGTAAAATATGATAAATTATTAACTTACTGACATCGATGTTTGTACCAAAACGTACGGTATTTATACCTTAACACTTATATTTATTTACTTTCAATTCTAAAAATTCAATATTTTTCTGTTCCATTCATTTTTAAATATATTTTGTCGATAGTCCGTGACTGCATTTTTAATAAAAGATTCTGAACCACCATAAATCCTGGACGTTCCAAATTTGAATAAAGAGCCCTTAACCGGCACATACTTTCTGAATATTTTACAACTTTATTCTACGTTTTGAAAAATGTCAGGCAAAGCTAACGTTAGCAAAATCACGAACCGACGTTTATTCTGTAATGCAACAGACAGTACAGTACATACGTCTTCGCCTACAACCCTCAAACGCGCTTTTCAAGATCAGGAATCTTAGCCAAAAACAAATTGTAATAGATTTGGTTTGTAATTGGCTACCGGAGGGCATGTGACGTTACCAAATTAGCCGTAGGCGATAGAAGAAGTATATCTTGGCAAATCACACATTATAATAAGTAGTATATATATACTGTATTTTTTATTTTCAAATTTGATTTCATATAATACAGTTATATCATTTTTCATTACCAAATATACACAAAAGTAAATATAAAGAGTTTGCTATTCCGGTGTATTTTCAAATATTGAATATCCTTGAGTTGATCCATATCGCGTATTTGTTTTTAACCCCAGTTTTAACAACAACTCTTGCCTCTTAGATTGCATTTCCATTTGCATTTCAATACGCTTCAACCTCCTTTCCTCCCTTCTTGACGAATCTATGAAATAAAAGATGCTCGGGATTTTCCTTGGTTAGTTATTTTCTATAAATTACAGTAAAAACTGGATTTTTTTCTGTTTTTTTTGCAGCACTCGGTTAATCGCAAATTTAAATTTAGAGTAACTGCCTGGGGGATCTAGGTCTAGAATAAAAAAAAATCTACACCATTGACTGATAATATTGTTAAAAAACGTATCGCAGCCTAATATCTGAAACAGTAGCCTGTGTGATATATATATGCGTTATAACTGAAAATTTGTTTTACAGAATTTATCACTTGTACGAAATAAAATTATCTAATGATGTCACAAAGTCCCAAATAAAATATATTCGAACTCACCATCCTGTGGACAACAGCAGCAGCAACACAAATAATAGAAAAAATCAGAAATACATCTGGAGAATTTGACAAGACAGCAACATAGTAGAATAATGACTACGAGTACTGAAAGTAAAAGGAAAAGAATATTTTAGAATTGTTTCGCTATTTAATATTCTGTGAAAATTGGATTCAACTTTAAAGCAGTTGTGGAAATGGTGATAAGATATATAGTAAGTATTCAAGAAGAGCAGTAATCGATTTGACAGTCTTGAGTAAGATTGATGACTTACCTACCGCTGCAATCGTTATAGCTACAATCCTGTAATCAAATGTACAGAATCTCCATCTCACTCCCGACCACATACCAAATTTTGATTTACAATCCTTGCTGGTGAAAAACAAATGACCTTGTGGTACGTATTTACATCTAAAAAGTGGTAACATTGGTTAGACATTTTATCTCGTGAGCGACGCCTATAAACAGCAAACACTACACCTAAACCTTTCGGAGGTTTCAGGAATTTATCTGCAAAGTTCTGTCAGTGTTCTCGTATTTTACTCACAATTTGACATTATCACACCAAACACAATCTTCCCTTTCTCCGCATCTCTCGCAAGATTTAAACGGACCACAATCCGCATCAGATGAAGCAGCTTTACTTATTAAAACTGTGGTGTTGTGACCTGCGTATAAATTTGAAGATTTTTTAGTTACTTATCCAGGCTAAACAAAACAAAATGGAATGATTACCCTACCGATGAGTTGGTTTTTGCTTGGATTACTCCTTTTTGTTCTTTCGTGTAAAAATATTTGCTCATTTGAATATCTCAGTTCATCAGAATATACTTCATTGATTTGTTTTGCAGCTGTACCAGCTTGAAGATATTTTATATAACATAATAATAATATTATAAAAGATTCTGCTAAACGCATGTTGTAGTTCTTGAATAGATATAAACTAGAATATGTATGTAAAATATGATAAAATTAGTAACTTAGTAACTGACATCAATGTTTGTACCAAAACGTACGATATTTATACCCTTATATATACTTATAATTTTTTACTTTCAATTCTAAAAATTAAATACTTTTCTGTTCCATTCATTTTGAATATTTTGTCGATAGTCCGTGAGTGCATTTTAATGAAAGATTCTGAACCACCATAAATCCTGGACGTCCCCAAATTTGAATAAAAAGTCCTGAAACGGCACATACTTTCTGAATATTTTACAGCTTTATTCTACATTTCGAAAAGTGTCAGGCAAAGCTAACATTAGCAAAATCACGAACCGACGTTTATTCTGTAATGCAACAGACAGTACATACGTCTTCGCCTACAACCCTCAAACGCGCTTTTCAAGATCAGGAATCTTAGACAAAAACAAATTGTAATAGATTTAGTCTGTAACTGGCTACCGGAGGGCATGTGACATTACCAAATTAGCCGTAGGCGATAGAAGAAGTATATTTTGTCAAATCAAGTTTGGGTATATGTGATTTAAGTGTATTGCTATATCTGACTACTGTATCATGCCTATACCGTTATATTGAGTATAATTAAGAAAATATGGTTCCAGTTAAGACTCTTGACAGTAGTTTGTGGGCAGACAAGTTTCCACCAATAGACGCGACAAATTGCTAGGAAATATAGGCTAACAGGTTACTAACGGATCGTGTTTTTTTAAGTTTCCAAACGACCGATTGACAATATAATGGAGCGATAAATTTATTAACGAGTTCACTGACTAAAGTTTTGAGCATAGTCGCAGTAATTAAGGACTCCCGTGTTCTTGCATGTTGGCGTATCATTTTCAACGTGTTGGATACCATTATTCTTAGTCCCAATTCTATGTTAGCATCCAACAATCGAGGTTTGTACATTTCTCAAGTACCGGTTAATATTAGGAAATGCTGCTTCCGAAAAGAACGACAGTTATACTTGCCATTATTTTTAGAGTTGGGTATTCAACTTGTCCAGCGGATTGTCATCTTCTTTGATTCGAAGAAACCACTGAGTTGAACAACATCAACAGGAATTCCATATTAATACCAAATTATCTAGGTCGTTTCTAATAGTTAGATTTTTTGACGGCTTAATCTTATGACTCACGACCTCTCGCCCAGGTGGTGATGAAGGCCGAAACCGACCAGCGTTTACGTGAACTAACCTACGATAGCGAAGAGTTCTGCATTTCCCTCCGTGGTTAGCCATGTGATTAGGCAGTCTTCTCCCCCGGGATAAATATGTAAAATACTATCCGAACCAGCGTAGGTGACCAGAGCTGCCGCGACCACAATCGACCGGTCGCAGGTTTTTGCGCCCCTACTGTAAACCAAGGTATTTTTATGCCTAGTCTTATCTCTTAGTAGCTGTTTTTATCGCTATTAGCTCGAATTAACTTGCGTCAATCGGCCCTGTTTAGCGCGTACTGAAACACAAACGATACATTCAGTTCCAGTAACTTATATCTTGGCATAATCGTCGGTGACCAGTATCTTTCCCTTCTAAAATAATCCGGATATAATTATACCTATAACAGACTAGATATTTTAGTTGATTATATTTCCTTGCAAGGTTTATAACAGTCACAAGAACACAAAGTTACAAAACAAAAAGAAGAAAAACAAACATAACATACAAAAACAAAAGGCAGTATTATACAATGAGCAACTTGCAAAACTCGTTTTTTAAACAAGATTTAACTTCGGTCCACGAGTAACCGAGTGAGATTAGATGATACAGAGCAATTATGGAAGAGACCTGAGAGCAAAAATCCTTTTTCAAAGCAGTGAAGTCGACGAGAACAATAAGTGCACCTAAAGAGAAAACAAAAATATAATAAATATGAGAGACAAAAATATCTGCAATTCGATATTAAGGCAAATGAAAGGGTACAAAATGTTCGATACCAAAAGTAAAACATTCGAGCATGAATTCAGTTTTGTATTTCACACAAGTAAACAATACCTATACTTCCTATATACCTAGGCATTATATTGCATAAAATTTGGTGTGATTAGTCCTCACTCCAGAAAGCAAGTCAGGGAAATCTAGACAGTCAAAAATAAAAAACTACCACACATTTGAAGTCGGAACGTTCCAATTCTGGTTTCACACCCAAAAAGTTTTTGACCCAAAGAAAGCGCAAAAAAACAAAAATACGCCTCCCATGCAATAACCCATTTCTATTTCAGGAAAAAATGAAGGCTCCTCAATGTTGAAAATTTTGATCTCATTGCATCCGAAAGTAACCACAAATTTTAAGCCAGCCGAGAACTCATATTCACAATCCGAACCCAAAAGTGTTTGAATGGTTATTTTTAACATGCACAGAAACTTTCTATCAAAAAGTTTCTATTCCATATTCTAAAAAAGTTATTTCCAAATTAAAATAACTCGCTAAAAACAAGGTTATATTACCATAATATCACAGTGTGCCACTCAACCACTACACATCATGCAAGCCTCCTTATTTTGCAAGGAACAAGCCATTGCTGCTTCATTTAACTCTCTCTGAAAACAAGGTTTATACTTTATAGTTATGAAATTAATTTCATTACACCATCAGTTTTAATCACATAGAATTAGCTATGTATTATACAGCATTGACAATATCCAGTGTGTAACAAATGACTAGGGTAAAGCTGCGGGTGAAAAGCCGAGCCCATTAGCTTCACACGTATATGGTTTGACGACGCTTCCTCCGTCTACTGAATTAGACATCACAGTTCAGAACAGTGATTCCCGAAGTTGATCGACTGTGGGCCAAAATTAGAAGCTGAAGGATATTCGCGGGCCGGGAGCGTCCACAAGAGACCGATACATATAAGTAAGATACTGAACTGAATTATTAAGAATATACACATGCTTAAACTGTGATAAGTGTTGAACTACTTCACTCAAGTTCGTTGGGCCATATAAAATTGTTATGCTGGTTGTAATTGGCCCGCCCACTGGTTGAGAATGTCATCGAACAAGACTCAAACCCTTCTCCTAACTTGTTATTTACTAATCGAGCAGTGTCATCCAAATTAAATTAAGCTATTTAAATAAAGAAAGTTGTAATGCAATTTGAATATAGTCTTCTGTGATTGGGTGGGTCAAGATTGACAATAACAGCCTTTAACAACTTCTCAAGAATACAGTTGAAAATGACGACACAAACTTCATGAGGTCAAATACTTTGACCTGACCATCTTGAAACCCCAAAAAATACTCAAAAATCAGAACGATTTCATTTTCAAATTTATGCCCCTAATACTTTATATACTGTATAATTGCAACCTATTATAAATTGCAAATATTTCACGGGAGTTATACCTCTTCTTGTTCAGATTTGGCACCACTTTCTTTTGCTTCTTTCAATTTCTTCTGATCAACAGTAAATTGAATGGCTTGGGCAGCTGGTTTAGTTCTCAAATAATACATACCAGTCTTCAAACCCTGGATATAAAGATTAACTTTAGAAAATAAAAAAATTGAATATATGACAAACTCACAAAAGTTTTTAAGAAAAGGCACCATCTCGGCAAAATATATCAAAGTTATTGCTCTCTTCAAGTAGAAAAATTGAAGTTACTGTTTCATGTGATAAAAATCTGTGACTACAAAAAAATCCGGATTCCAGTTGAGAATAATTTGCATATTATCCATCAATTTTTCTGTATTAATATTACTATAAATATCAAATTGTTGCAAGACATAATTCAAGACAACAACCTATTCAGAGATGAACGAGTATACTTTTATTTTATAGCTGCCTAAACATTAAACCAGCTGTTTATATGGCAGTCCAATACGCCCTCCATGTAAGAGGCTATGGTGATTGGGACTAAATATTCACCTCTACTACTCTTAGACACAAGAGCATCTTAGCTACTATATTCCCAACCTACCGATTTCCACCCGTAGAAGTGCATGCTCGTTAGTTTTCCATAATTAGGTTCAGCAATGTGAATGTTCAAGCTTTGACTTTGGTCGATATATGGGGCTCTATCAGCAGCCATCTTGATTATATTTTTTTGAGATATTTCCCAGACAGTTCGATATAGACGTTTAAGATCATCAGGAATTTGAGGAATATTCTGAATGGATAATAGAAGGATTACAGAAAAAGGAGAAATCCATAATGAGTAAGAATTGAAATCTCTGAAATACCTGGACTGATCCATTACTTGCAATCAATTGCAGTTTCACATCTTCATTCCAAATTCCCATTTCAGCTAAGTCAACCAGGAGATGTTGATTTACAATCTGCAATACAAATAATAAATAATATCGAAAAATACCTTATTGTTAATTATTTTCACAGTGGTCTGAAGCAATGTCAGTATAATTCTACTGAGTAATTCCCTCCTGTTCCATATCTTGGCATTTAACTCGCTAAACTAAATTTTGGCCCCAATCCCCCCACATTAGTTGAAAAAAGATTCAAACAGTCAACAATACACTTCCCATAATGCCATTAAACTATGCATAACACAATTTCATTTTATCCATTTTGTCTGGCAAATCACAAATTGAAATCAATTACACAATAATAATTTTATATGTCTTTGATTGAAAAATATTTGTTACAAAACTTTAATCAAAAAAAAGACTTTTGCCAATATTTAAAACCTGCTTGATAGAATTATGTAAATCCAATAAATAAAATCGATGTTTAATGTGAAAAAGTAACTGGAGAAAAAAAACATAGAAGTCAAATTTTAATATCAATTTCATATCATAACACCAACATCTAAATTAAAAAGAAAGCAATATTCATTAAAATATGCACAATCGGTAAATAACCTTTGAGCCACCAGATAACCATTATTTCCCTACTGATAGAATTTGACTTGCCTGAAATTCTCCTGAAAGAACTCGTCTTGTGTATATATTGCTTGTATATGGTTCTATTGCCTCATTATTTCCCAAGATTTGTGCAGTAGATGCTGTCGGCATAGGAGCCATCAGAAGCGAATTTCTTACTCCATGACTGGATAGAACAAAAATTTGTACCATGATTAGATTGAAAAAATTCTAAGTGCCAAATTAAAACTATAAATGATTAGGGAAATTTCAATTTCTGACATGAAAATATAATTCTTAATATTCTGGTATATAATTGTATTTGGCCAGATGTGTTAGAGGTTAGAGCGCTAAAGCCAGGGTTGTCCAAAACGAATCGAATATTCGAATATATTCGAATATCATAGTATTCGAATACCTTTTCGGCTGATTTTCGAATAATTCCGAATAGTAGTCACTTTTCGCCGTAAACGTGGTGTTTCGTTTTACGGGACTCTTCAAACGACTTTTTACGATGTCTCACGTATTGTAATGACGATGAAATAGAATCGGCACTTTGATTGTTTATATTCTGTGCGATCGTACGTCTTATAGTGTTGCGACACATTTGCACGTTTGCGTGGGTGGACATTGCCGACTTTCGTCTACGAGGCTTTTAATTTACAAATTCATTTTCATCACGTCGAAAAATTGACAATTACCGCTTTTCTAGGCCCAATTTCATTTCTATGTGGCCTGCTTATTAGTCTTCTCAAGCCTGATTTGTGTAACCTTATATTTGGGTCTTAGGGTCTGCCAATCATGATATTCAATCGCAGGCCGGTATCGTTACTTTAAAGAGAAACATGGCCGCCGAGATAAAGTGATTTGTGACCCTTTCGTTTTGCCGATTCAGCAGAACACAACAGGGACGGGAAAACACAGCTGTCACATAACCCGTGGACGTACAGTGTAGTATTTATCACATTCCAAAATTATTTTAACATTCGGGTTAATAGGTTGTCCAAAATGATTGCCGCTTTACAACTTAAATTTACCGCTCAATTGTTAATATTAGTTAATTCTGTGAGTATGATTCTACCAAACTAACATGACATATATTAATAAAAATATAAATATAATAACATATAAAATTATTAGCGCATATCACAGGGACACAATTTTCCTACCAGTCTTATTGGAGGCCTATATGGAAAAAAAACTTTTTGAGTGCTAAAAATAGACATCGTCCTATTTGCCATGTGGACTTATTAGCCGGGAAATACGGTATTTATAGCCGTCATTGTTACGATATCCAATAAATTGGCACAAGTTGGAAAAACAAGTTGATTTATTAGAAAATAATTTCTGGCAAATAATTTTGATAACGATAGTTAAAAGTATCGATCCTTTACCAGGATGATTTTTTGTTGCGCAAAATAATCCAATCCATGACTGGTACCAGCATTTAAAATGTCATGTCGAATTAATTTATTCCGTTCAACGTAACTCATGGTTGTATGGACAATCTGTGGACACAAAATGTGTGGTAAACTGACCGATATTATTAAATATTGATTCCTATTTTCATATTGAGAAAATAATGAAAGTATTAATACCAAATACCACGGGTATTTGTAGACATGAAATACGTGTTAAACTGCCCAATTATATTTAATTTTGGAATCGTATTTACAAAATAATAAAACTATTATAATTCTAAAATGCAACGGCGATTTGTGGCCTTAAAATGTGTGGTAAACTGCCCGATTTACCAACATTTGAGTTATGATAATAGAACTAAATTAACACGGTAAGGCATTTTAAATAGTGGTATCAGTCATGGATTCAAATATTTTACGCAGCACAAAATCATCCTAGTAAAAAGTCCATACTTTTAAAATACAAACCAATGGCAACTATTATCCAAATTAGTTCCCAAAAAGCGGGATAAAGTATAAATTCTTTCTCCGACTTGTGACAATTTTTTCGTGAGTACGAAAATAAGAATCAAAAACTAATTATATTCGGCACAATATCACGGCAATATGTGGACATAAATTGTGTTGCAAACTCGCGATTAATATTAATTTTTGATTCCTATTTTTGTATTTACAAAATACAACGGCGATCTGTGGACTTAGAATGTGTGGTAAACTACCCGATTATAAATAGTTTTTGCTTCCTATTTTCATATTTATAAAATAATAAAAGTATTATTACTCAAACATACAACGGCGATCTGCGGACTTAAAATGTGTGGTAAAGTTTCCGAATATAAAAAATTTTTGATACGTATAAAAAATTGTCACAAGTCGAAGAAATAACTCATACTTTATCCCGCTTTTGGCAAATAATTTGGATAATGGTTGATATTTAAAAGTATGGGCGTTTTACTAGGATGATTTTGTGTTGCGCGATTATTCAAATTCATCACCGATACCACTATACTGCAAAATATATACTGCAATAATCTGCAAATATGAAATGCCTGGTAATATAACTATGTTGTAACTTGTAGATAGCAGTTATTCCATTGCTTATTGTATGGAAATTCCTACATACATTTAGATAAGCTTCAATTAGTGAATTTTATTTTCGAAGTATTCGAAATTTCATATTCGAAAAAAATAATTTCGAATGTATTCGAAATAGTGAACTATTCGGTATTGGCCATCCCTGGTAGCGCACTTCACTAAGGGAGCATTGCTGGTTAAAGATCTTGAATTCACCCACCATCACCTTACCCTATTTCTAAAAATGATGTTTATCTCCTCATGTATCTGTTGTTGCATGTCCAGAGCCTTGTTATGAGTAAAAATATGTAATAACTCCTTAACGATAATAATAACTAATAATAATCAAACGAGAATATCGGTTAGAGACCGAAGACTTATCGATCGAAAGTTAGGGGATCCCCCAAAACAGCGCTCTTACTCCATAGTGACACCTTGTGTCCCATCACTAATTAATTAATAACTATGTAATTATACGACATAATTCATCCAAAATCAATAGGCTTTTGGTCCGACATATGATGAATGCACATGCAAAATCTGGAGTAGATTTAATCTTGCTTTTGCGAGCATCTAAACAGACATACAGACAGACAAATACCTATCAACATACTTACCGATTAAAATCGATAAGTAATAATGTGAGATTATGAGAACCCATTATTTGTCAAAAATGAGGTACCGGTACTACTGGACTTGCAATAAGTAAATACAATCCTACTGAACTAATACAAAAACAAAAAAATACAAAACGGACCTTTTTATGTCAGCTTTCAATGCTTCCCAATCCCATAAATCAGTGGGTGTTACTCCCCACAAGTCATATTGCAATTGCTGTAACGAAACAGAAAAATTTATGTACTAAATCATTAAATACTCACAAATGTTGGAAGGATAAAATGAATTTTGAATCTGTGGGATAAATCAAGTCAGTACTTGATAATTGCATTTTGTGGACAATAATCTATCCTTGATAAATTAATCATGTATTTGTTAACAATACTGATTATCAAGTAATTAGATGTTATATTATGTGATCAATATGTATCAATTTGTTACTAACCCCTTTGCTTATAGGTGATCCTTCATATGTTTCATAATGACCCAATTCTTTAGCAATTTCACATGATGCAGTCAATGCACCATAATATATTGTCTCAAATATTTGTATATTCAATTTCATTGCCTGAAATATAAAAATGAAATGAAAAGAACACAAATAGATATATAAATTTACAATTATTCCAAGCTCAGTGATATAGAATAGAAGAAAAATTCAGATACACAAGAGTAAATTTGCATAAAATAGTCTCCATAATTTATACTATACAGTGTCAGTGACACTGACACCCTCCTGATACTGACCCCATTTTATGACTCGCAACCTTCCATTCATACGACCTGCGAAAGAGACCCCTCGAGTCAAATCCTCCTAAATTTTGTCGCATTTGTCTTAACCCTAATTATAAACCTGCATCACAGATAACAAAAATTAAAAAAATGCACTCAAGCACTCTAGACGAGACTTCAATATTTTTTCAAACTAAAAAAAAATTGTGCTATCGATTGGGTTTCTACAAGACCAACTACTTTTCCGTTTTCTATGCTTTTGCGTCGGTGGATCCGTATGCATATAATGCAAGGATGCTGTAGCAAGAGTGAAGATAACTATCCTGAGTAATTCAATAAATAGTCTTGCTGCACACTAACACAAATATATTTCTGTAACGTTTCGTCTGACCACGGTCAAACTTCCTCAGACATACATATTTCAACTAAAGCAAGAACAGCAATTGCAAGCATATTTATACAATGGGTGCCATGGCAACAAAACAATATCATAACAATGTGAGTTAACGAACTCATGTAGGTGGTGATTGAAAATTTAATTAACAACACTAAGTTTAAATATTTAAAATTTTTAAATGTGCAGAGCATTTTTCGAAGTTCCACATATAAAATCGTTTTATATTAAAGTCAACTTGAAATTCCTCATAATGCGATATTCATATTTCTTTCATCTCAAGTTTTTCAAATCAAATTAAAATAATGACAAAACGATTTAACGGCTTTTCGTACCAATTTATTTATCTTTCAAATCCATTGTTGTGATTTGTTATGTTGCCATGACACCCATTTTATGAATGTGCATGAAACTTTCATGTGTTTTTTAATTTTAAATATTTAAACTTAGTGTTGTTAATTAAATTTTCAATCACCACCTACATGAGTTCGTTAACTCACATTGTTATGATATTGTTTTGTTGCCATGGCACCCATTGTATAAATATGCTTGCAATTGCTGTTCTTGCTTTAGTTGAAATATGTATGTCTGAGGAAGTTTGACCGTGGTCAGACGAAACGTTACAGAAATATATTTGTGTTAGTGTGCAGCAAGACTATTTATTGAATTACTCAGGATAAAAAAAAATTATTTGACATTATTATTTGGAACTCTTGACCTTACAAAAGAAAAATTCAAAGTGCCATAGATGAAAATTCATGTTCAGCCGAGAAACAGGAAAAACCTTAACTCAATCCAAGTCGATCACTTACCTCTTCACTGTCAAATGGAAATCTCATCTTAATGAAAGCATCAGCAAGACCTTGAACACCAATACCAATTGGACGATGCCTCATGTTCGAGTTTCTAGCCTGGATGTTCAAAACAATAAAATCATTTGAAGATTGCAATATAAAAAATAATCTTAAACTTCAACATTATCAGTTCCTTCGTATTGGACATGAAGGGTACCTATCGATTGATAAATTGTTGTTTTTGAAATTGTAAAAAAAATAAATTTTCTCAAAATGGTTTCAATTTTTCAGCGTTTAGCCATTTACTATTTTTCCGGCAAGGTCCGATATTTCGCTCCAAATTTTGCTGGTTTCACAGGCAACTCTATATTACATTCCGTAAAATTGTTTGAAACTGTTTATGTGAAATTCAGTACAGACATTGTAGTGGCCATATTATTCATTCGACCATCATGTTCGTATTTCAAATAGTTGAACATTTCTCTCTTGTTTCTACGATCATTGAACTTTTAACTTTCAAATTAATAAACACAAAATCGTATCCAGCAATTCTAGCTGCATGCCTGCACTCAACATATCACAAGGTTAAGTTAGCCAAAATGTATTTGATTGAGTTGTACCATGAAGACATCATTACTCTGGATAGAAATTTATACTTCAAAATCAATAAATTTTTTCCCTCCATCAAATCACAAGAAATTTTATAAAATATCAATCACTAATTCTTTTTAACAAATAGTATTGCTTACCTCAGGAACAGGATAGTAATTGATGTCGATTATCTTGTTTAGATTTTTTGTGATCACTTTTGTAACTTCGAACAACTTCTTGAAATCAAAAGTTTTATCTGGTGTGACGTACATTGGAAGTGCAATAGAAGCAAGATTACAGACAGCAACCTGCAAATGAATGAGAATGTCAGAATGGAACCCTATCTGTGTGAAATGAGCGTTATTAATCAAATGGCTTATGCTGAGGAATAAAGAAAAGATTATAGTAAACTTTGGGTAAGTGGAGATTGCAATGTCATAGCCAGTGTTGGGATTCAGGGGACCCGCGAACTAATTTTTGGAATGTCATAATAATCAGCAAACCATCTCATCGAGTTTATTGTTTTAGATGTTAGATTAGATGATTTGAGCCAATGGGCAACTTGCACGATAACTGACGACTGCAATTGTATTTGATGTTTTGAAAATTATATATAGCCGCAAAAAACGGCCCCCAAAAAACGGAACCCAGGCCATCCTGTTGTAAGTGACCTAATGAGTTCAATACAAGAGGACAAGTTCATAAAATTTTGAATCCCATCATTGATCATAGTCATTTTCATGATCGGACTTGCATAAACTGCTTCAAGTTTCTCAACACTGGCGATAACGTACCACCATAAGTCTATATGGTAGCTCGCTGGGAAGTTATCTCTCAGACAAGTCTCTTTTAGTTCTGACCTAGTGTGCTTTGAGCCATTTCCCTTCCAAAAAATCTAAACTTAATCTAGGTTAGAGGCTGTAAAAAGCCACGTTGAGAAACTCAGTTCATGAATAGAGTTAAATAATAAAATGTCCAATTTTAACATTTCAGATTTGCTATATTTAGTGTATAAAGTCAAGAGTAACATATTTGAAAGTTCTGTCTCACATTCCTTTTTCGCTGGCTATAATTCCTTGATGAAAAACCGTTCTAATTTGGATTTTTTCCAAATATTCATTAATAACAATGCTTTATTTTTATTCAAACTTGAGGCACTAGGGTTGTTTATATCAATTTTTATGCAGTCAGTTCTCAATATATTTTAATATATCCTTGTTTATTTCATTTTATTATATTTCATTACTGGTAACACACCTTTAGGGGCCAAGAAATGGTATAATAGATTTTGAATTTCTAAAATTTTTAAAGACTTCATGAATTCCCAAACAAATATCCTTGATAAAATGCTAATTCTTCATTCTCAATTATAGTTTTTAAAACCAAGTTGCGCATACCTCATCTGCACTTGTGTATTCCACGATTTCTGTACATAAATTAGAACTTTTGATTGTCCCAAGATTTTGCTGGTTTGATTTTCTATTGCATGCATCTTTGTACAGCATGTATGGTGTACCAGTTTCAATCTGTGACTCAATGATGGCATACCAAAGTGCTTGAGCTTTGATTGTACGTCGTGCTCGCCCTTCTTTTTCATACCTTCAAAAAAAAAATTTCATTTTTTGGATCATCATATATTTTCCATGTTATTGGAAAGAATTTGATTAAAATTCTCTGATTAAAAATTTTATTTTCCATCATTCTCATTTCTATTTCTTGGTTTGGCGGGGTTATGACAAAAGCAGTTAACTTACTTTTCATATAATTCATCAAATTTTTCTCCCCAAACGTCTGCCAATCCTTGTGCTTCATTCGGACAAAACAAAGTCCAATCTCCATCACTTTCCACACGTTTCATAAACAAATCAGGAATCCACATTGCATAAAATAAATCTCTGGCACGAGATTCATCTTTACCTGGTCGTCATAAAACAAAAAAGTTGTCAAAACTCCTGTCTTGAATCCCAAATATAGTATTGTAATCACAATCCAGCAGGGCTTCCGGAACTGGGGTTTGCGACCCCGCAGAGTGGTGCGCAATGAATTTTAGGGGCATCAAAGAGTACACTATTTACACAAAAGTACTAAATCTATTGTGCTTTTTTCTTTTGATTCGAAACACAACTACTAAAACTAGTGCAAAACTTAAATCTCACGATTTCGAGACAATACACAAGATCAGAGAAGCAACGTGCCGACTTAACAGGGGCAGAGGGAAAAATATTATAAGGGGGCGCGACTCGCGAGCTTAAAACCATATCCAATCTCCAACCAGTCAAATGGGGTCAAGTGTTTCATACAGACCAATCAACCATCCATTTGCAGTCAGTAATGGAACTGGGCTGGGTCAGGCAAAGAACACACCAATTCTTTCAAAAACTATAACAAAATAGTAAACCTGTATTTTTCTTTGCATCCAAAAACTCAAATACATCAGCATGCCAAGGTTCAAGATATATTGCAAATGCACCAGGCCTCTGCAACAGAAAACAATATAATAAAAAAGTGTACATTATTGGCGATACCGCACATCCTTTTAAGAGAATGTTTTAATTAGTCAAAAAAAATAATCAGGAATAAATATTATCAATGTATTTTTTCATTATTTTGCATTGAACATGTTAATAAACTGTCAAACCTTGTTTCCACCTTGATCAACATATCTAGCTGTATTATTGTAGACTCTGAGCATGGGTAACAAACCATTGGAGTTTCCATTAGTCTGTGATTGAAAGAATATAAATCAAAAAATGTAGTATTTATCATAGTGTAATTTTTCACAAGATCAATCAATGCCACATATCTCTTAATTAACAGTCCTTCTTTACACCAAGATTCAAGACGACTTTGATTTTCAAGAAAAGTTTTGCTAAAAGTGAAATCATGCACAATCAATCAGAAAATATACTGACAGATCTCGAAGTCACGAGCAAAGAAAAAATAGCGAACGTCTATATAAGGGGTGGGCAATTACTTTCCTGAGTAGCCAAGTTAAAGATAATATATAATACTCGGTTACTGGGCCAGAGGCTCAATATGAAACACTGAATGAAATATAGGTACAAACAGCCAGTCTACCAATGGCACAAATATTAATAGGACTGACATAGCCCACTGGATGAGTCCAAACGCTTGTTTAAACCAGGCTCGAAGCCGCTTGTGCTAATACCTCAACCACTTGGAAGGTTTGAATTTGCTTTGCCTTAGTTATTCCCAATACTTCGGAATACTACCTAATTCGGATGGGTGAGTGTGACGTATATGTGGCTTGTTTTGCACATTGTATTCAAAGTGTGGGAAATTATGGTATTTATTTTAGCCGATGATTCGTTATTTTTAACAAAAATTTTATATCCATGAAAACTATAGTCGTAGTTTCATCAGATAATTGGGCCGGATGAAAAACTTTAGTGGTCCAGATCCAGCCTGCGAGCCGCAATTTTCCCACCCCTGGTCTATTTTAAAACTATATCAAATTTTGTGATGCATTATGTCGGTACCAGAAATTGACACTTAATTGACAACAAAATTACAGTTAACATGTGCAAGACCGCAAAAAAGTTCATGCTATGAATCACTGCTGGTATTACAGTCACAATTCGGAGACTGCTTATCAGCCAGTAGAAACATGTCTCGTGAAGTTCTTACAATATTTTTTCTATGACAGAATAAAACCAGCAAATTCATTTCTTTGAATGACTGGGGAACGCTGTCAACGCTGCTACAAATTGTGAAAGATACCTCCATAACGAAAAAAAAACAAAATATATAATTTGCTTTATTGATATGTTTACAAAAATTCTCAAACACTCAATGTCAATCACGTCATATGACGCTTATTCTTGTCTTTCTCTCCGAACAACTCTCTGTACAACCGGGCACTGATATCTAACGACATGTAAAGGGCTACCATATTTTTGAAAGGACAAAAAACAAATTCTGAATTCAATTGCCTACCCAATTTATTACACCCTAGATGATGGGCACAGGATTTGAACCCAAGATATCATATTTATGAAAAAACAAGAATCTTCTGGTTCTGAATCGCCTACACAATTTATAACACCCTGGATGAGGTGTTGGGCACGAGATTTGAATCCAATATGTGCGTTATGTAACTTCAACACAGTTCGAGTCTTAACAATTTACCAGCAATAAATTGATAAATCCTGGATCAAAAACTAGCTTCGAACCTCCAACACTTATTGTAAACAGTTATTGTGCAAAGTAAACCACACTTACCCCGGCTATGTAACTTCCAGAGGCTCGAATATTAGAAACACTCAGACCAATTCCACCAGCAGTTTTTGATATAAGTGCACACTGTTTCAAGGTTTCATAAATACCATCAATACTGTCATCTCTCATTGTAAGAAGAAAGCAACTGAAATATGGAAAAATTGATTATATTATCAAATTATTTTCATACTAGTTGCGCAATAAGTGATAAAAAAATAGATAGAAATTGAGATATGTTAGAGGGCAAATTTTTATGAATGAAATCTATGGTTATACATTGAAATTGTAAGCTTTTATCAAAGAATCGTTTGAAAGCAGATAACACAATTAAGATGTGTGTAATGTCAAATTAAACTTTCGATAATCCGGTATAGGTTCACAATCGTAAGTTTGAATCCTGTGAGGGATAATTATTAGGGAGGATAGCCGGACCCATTTTCACTGTAGGCTGTTTCATATAACCTCTTGTCGGTTACCGATTTTTCCATAAACTAAATCAATGTGTCTGATAAATACCTGATTCTGAATAAGCTGTGGTTCGTCATATGTTTGAGCTGCCTTATTGATTTTCATCTCTTTATGGATAAATACAAAAACTATACCCTATTAATAAAATATTTAATTCTTAAATATAAACAAAATTTTACACTAACCTAGAAAGTTGTGGTTTATTGGTTCCAGCATTGAACAGTGTAGGTGAAGCATGTGTGAACCATTTCTCTGACAGAAGATTATACGTCTAAAAAATAGACTAATTATAAACCTGGGAATGTATTGAAGAAAAGTTTAAAAAATAAGATCAGTCATAATCAGGGTATTATCTGTTTTATACAGTTTGTAGTAGTCTGTATTCTCACTTGGCACAAAATAATATGATATTGAATTTAGGTGGGAAAAATATTTTAATTACTTCAAAAAGTTTAATTTTTATTTGTGTTTCAAGCATGAATGGTACCTAACAGCACAAAATAATCTAATTCATATCATAAACAAGATTAGTATAACAGGAAAAAAAATAGACAAAGCATAGATAGACAATATTCGACTAAACGGTGCACGTTATAAAAAAACTCTAACATTTCCATTATACTAGAGTGCTATATTACAGTAATAGTTCAATATTTACTATATAGGCCTACCTCCAAAACTGCATCAATATCCCTCTTATGAATACCAATAGCAACTCTCATTAACATTTGTTGTGGCCGTTCGGCGATTTTTCCATTCAATTTCAACAAATATGATCGTTCCAAGGTCTGAAATAGATTTTAAATTGCATCAGCTATTTCCAATACCCATCCATATTAAATTTGGAAAACACAGTAAGTTGAGGCTTAGAGTTAAAACAATTACTAAGATATTCATGTAAATTTTACTGATCTTTTGATTAAAAATAAAAGTTTCTGAAGTAAGAAGTGAACACGAAGGAACTTTTTAATCATTACACAAACACAATATCCCAGACCCAGTACCCACAAATCTAAAATAAATAAACAAAAAATATATAAAATATATAAGATACCTTAAAACCGAAGAAGTTGTATGAAAAGTCACGATCATATATGATAGCAGAATTCAGTCGCTGTAAATAAAAATCAAAATTACAATAAACTGAAAAATATACAAAAAATATTTGCTTTTATTACTACTCATTACTTAAAAAATTTTGACTCAAGGACCACAACAGATTATTTATGCTTACATCAGCATTTTCCATTATGATGTCATGGGTTTCCTTAGAGATCAGTGGAGAATGACAATCATTTCGAGGGTTGACGTATTCAAACAAGTCAGTCATCACAGCTGAAAATAAAACGTTCATCATAAGCATAATATTTTTGTATGTATATGCATAGTTCAAACATATATTATCGAAATATCAAATATCAAGAATATAATATGACTAATATTTAATATTTGTATTATATAACAGGTTTACATAATTTCTCAAAATATTTTAAATTTTTTCCTAGAAACAGAAAAATAAATGACTCGTCTAGTTTTATGCAAATGAGTTAAAAAAAAAATTGTAATACAATCAAATCACCACTAAAAAGCTTCTTTGTCTCTTTATGAAGATTAGATACAGCAAGCCGAGCAGCGAGAAGTGCATAATCTGGATGTAAAGTTGTCAGCGTCGCAGCAGTTTCTGCAGCCAACGTATCTAATTCAACAGTGGTTACACCTTCATAGATTCCATTAATGACTTTCATGGTGATTTTAGCCTGTGAAAAATAAGTTAAATTTGAGACGTGTACATTTAAAATACTGCCCCTGCGATATATCAGTATGGCACTGGTCTGCGATTCCAAGAATATTACCCTATATTTAAAGACATCATTTATAACAATGAATTCATAGCTCTTCTTTACAGGACAGTCTGGCAGTGTTTGACCCCCATATCGACACAAAAGTGGCAAATCCTGAAATCAGCATTGCCCAATAAAATAAAAGGAAGTGAAATCTAAAAATGTCACCCTTGGATTTCTCATGAAAAATAATTCAATTTACCAAAGGAATAAAGCATAGCATTTATTGTAGCATTTGTTCTGTAAAAATTAGTGAACGGAACAAAATTTTATTCTGTCACGATTGATTTATATCAGTATTTCGATCTCATGCATCTGCTATTGCGCCAGACACCCTTGTTTCTGAGACAAATGGAGTGTTTGTTTCATAAATCAGTAGATCTAAATATTGAGAAAAACAACTGCAAAACTGTGTCTTGAACTTAAAAAATCAAAACTGAGAAATAACCAAGCAAACGATCAAACATACAGGATCAACAAAATCCATGTTCAGTCCATAACATAACTTTGAAACTCTTGACGTGATTTTATCGAACATAACTTTCTCACGTCTTCCATCTGAAACAAAATCATATGTTGTAATACTGTCAAAAAAACATAATTCAATGATTTAGAAATTAATATTAACCAGCTTACCTCGTTTTAGAACATACATCGTGCAGTGTGAGAGTGTTGAAACAATTTACACAAACAAAATTTTCTTTATGAAAGCAAATAGTCAGTGGATAACCAAATGGAAAAAATGAATTGAATTTATTTTTATTCCAAATCAAGTGAAAATAACTCAAACCCAGAATCCTGTGAAATGGAATGTATATGCATGAATATTAGAGTCAGACAGTATTACAGTGTTAACCATCAACCTGTTAAAATACAGCAGTACAGACATAACTCTGTAACCAGGTAACTGCGTAATGTTATACTGTTATACAAAGATTATAAGATGCAGTTCTATCTGACTGCAGGACTGTATACGTACAGACGTACATGATTGTACTGTTCAGACAGTTATATGTCTGTACCGGTACGTGTATACCAGTGGTTCTCAAACATTAAGGCGCGCCCCACAAGGGGAAGTGGACAATTTTTTGAAGAAACGTTAAACTGTAATTAAAAATATTTGTTAGATTTCATCCTCACCACAATATTTCAGTATTTTGGATATTTACATTTCTGCATTTCTTTATTCAGTTATTTCAGTATTTTGGATATTTCAATATTTACTGATTTACACTCCATCCATGCATTTTCAACGTGTTTTTTAAATAAAACATAGGCTACTTCAGTACTTTCGCCTTACAGCCTTACCGTACCATCTCTGCATCTGCAGATCTGCTATTTGTAGCAGCTCATTACAGTATCGCACTATTTATTAGCTAGTTACTTTTTAGGTGTGGGCACGAGACTCTTGCTGTCTTGAGACTTGACAAATTCAGAAATTCTAAATACAGAAATAGGGGGCGTTACCTGTGGATTTACACATTTCAGTAATACTGAAATGCCTGAATGTTGTACAGTATTCTGGTACCGGTATAATTAGACTAAATCAGGAATTATTGCATCATCATATTACAATACTGTCAGACTGTGCCTATGTTCTGATATCGCAGTACCGTATTAAAGGATCGCACAGTCGGACTAAAACATCGAGATTGGAGGTTCTGAAAATACTGTTATAATTTGCCCCACCTAGTCTACCTACCTCTCTTTTTCGTTACTCATAAATTTGGAAAGTATTAAAGTGCCAAACAAAGAACGACGGTTGTTTTGATATTTTGGCGCTACAAATTTGAAGCTGCCCGCCAAACTTACGACAGAATTGCGCGCAGGCATTTAATTTCTCACGTGACTTGGAAAAAATGATCTCTCGTCGCTCCGCCTGAGGCTTCCAAAAAAGGAGGCACTTCAACAGGATATATTTCAATGCAAAGAGTGCTTGACTGCTAATGACGGAGAAATTTTATACCCAATCATCACGGCTATATACATGCAGAATGTTACATGAACCAAATTTATTTTTGAGGACAACATAATTCATAGCAGTACTGGTACTCTTATAAATAAGTTATAACAACGCGTACGTTTGTATGATTACCCCCCCCCCCCCCCCACCCAATTTTAAAATTTTACTCATCGTTGCCTTTGTTATCATTACAAATTTCAAGTTATTGTTTGCATCATTTTGCTTCTAATTGTTCAAGTATTGCTCATTTGAAGCACTTATAATGGTTTTCATCTACTGACATTTACATATCCATCGATGCTCACTTTATTCTGCCAAAACAAAATTAAAAACTGTTTTCAGTCGGTATTGAAGACGTTTACAATTGATAATCACTCTTTATGTTGGGTTTATGCTTAAATTCATTCACGGGACAAATTGACGGTAAGATTTCATTTTTTATTGTAAAGTATACACTATTCTCAACCCCTTTCCATTTCCATTTGTGACCCGCAAAGATCCGCAAGATGGTGCGTTCGAAAAGCGCCATATATTTAGAGCCATGTAAATCTTATAATCAATTTATGAACCGATTGTAGCATTGAGGTAAGACTTTGAAAAAAATACCGACTCGATGAAACTTCAAAAAGCCAGCAACTATGACAACTACTGCAGATCCTCAACATTTACTTTGTCGTTTGAATTTCGCAATATCCCCAAATGATAAACAAACATAATCATTCCTTAATTTGTTTTGTATTGCAGAGATTTTTGGGTACTCCCGTAGTATGTGAACCAAGATGGCGGACACCGGAACGTAGTATGTGTACCAGGAACGTTAGGCCATAATTTTAGGTACAAATACTACGGGAGTCACTTGGCTAGGTTTTGTTCATAAAAACAATATCGATCACAAATATCATTATTGATTTGTTTTCTCGCATGTCACTTCGTCGCGAAGAGCCATTTTTTAGGGGTATCTACAAAGTGTATTTTCATTCTGGTGGTAAATAAATTACTAATTAGTAGCCTACTTACTGTTAACATGTTAAATATTAAGAATTTCATTGAATTGTCTCGTTTGCAATCACATCGGCTGTTACAGAGATCGCCCCATTCATTAGGAAAACACTATTACGGTGGGAAGCTTGTCAAAAATTATCTGAGGCATAAAATCCATGGGTTGTCCCATTTGAATACGTACGCCAAAATAGTAGCATTGTGCTATTGACTTTTTTTTAAAATTCATTTTTCACAAACATTTGATAATTTTGCTGTATTTTTGCCTATTTAGCCCGGAGGAATTATAGTAAGCCCTCGGGGATATTGAGCAGATCGTTCAATATGTCAATTTTAAATTATTACGACGGACAAATTGAGATGTGAATAGGTTTGGAAGAGACATCGGAATCATGGATCAAATGCAGAAATGATGTATTCATAAGAGAAAAAATACGATATTTAATTTTCCGAGATTTCCACCAAACAACGAGAGATAATTAGCCTTTCGTTTTTCCGTGTGGAAAATTGTGCGACATTTTGAATCAAAACATAAAAAGTATCTTATTACTGTAAATTATTTTATAAGTTACGCTGTTACTTTAGACATTTTTAAAATATGGAAGAAAACGATAGAAAAAATAATCGAGCAGATAGGAAAACGAATAACGAAGATGCAGGAAGGAATCTTTCAAAAACAATTTCTCTGATGACATCGCAACAGCGCAATTACCTTAGCGACAAAGAACATTTAAATGAACAAATGAAATCTTTCCAACTGAAAATAAATGCTACTGGATGTCTTTCTCTGGATGATAACACCTTGAGAACAATTGAAGATAGAAGAGAAGCGCTATCATCAAGTACGCTCCTCAAAAGCAGTCCTCCACGGCGAAAACAAAAGATGATCAACACACAACCGGTCAAAAAACGTCGCCAATATTTCGAACGTTCCACTTCTGAAAGTGAGGGATTGATGATAAACAATAACGTGTGTGTACCTAACGACATTCCGTTAAAAAAATCTCAGAAGACGATAGTTACAAACAACTTGCCAAGAGACATATTCGTCCGACGTTCACCCCCGAAGCACCAACCTGTAGTGAAAATGATGGTTTCTGAACAAGCAAAACGCACAAAGAGTAGTGAAAATCTTTCTTTAATATCGCAGATATCGAATACACCTCAAAAGTGAGTGTAAAAATGTATATATATATATGTATTTTTATGAATTTCGACCCTGACGTGTTTTGTTAAAGTCGAATTAGTCCATCTTAATCACCTCCTACCAAATGAAATTGGTGCTTGAACTGCGATTTAACCCAGTAATCTTTCTCGCGTTATCACTTCCGTACAAATTGTTTCTGTTTCACCTAACTCACTTCTGAGTTAAATAGTCGGAGTATAGGCCTACATACAAAAATTATTGCAATATCTGAATTCATAAAGCAACAAATAATTTCGATGCTTTGAAATAAAATAACTTAATGCCGTAAAACAAATGAGTTAAATATACGTTTGTCGTTATGTCCCCGTTTGTATGTATTGAAAAATAAATACCACTCAAAACGCATAAAATATTATCTAAGTGTATGGAAATATCAAAAAATATTTTACATAATACGTGAAATTTACTATTTGTTAAATTTCCTTATTTGAATTTTTTGTTCGATTTCACGATGATGTCAGATTTATGCACGTTAAATTTTGAGCATTTACCGGAAAGAGAAAAGCCTCGGGTCATTGCACTGGAAATTAATCGCTCAAGATGAGCCCGCGGGGAAAGAGCTCGATTCGCGACGGTTATCTTGTTCGGAATTGATCCTACGGCTATGAGAATCAAAGCTAAAATAATATGTTATACTAAGTAATAATATGATACAAAATTTTGCTAAAAAGCACGAAAGTTACACTCCTAACGAGGCCTGCTATTACAATAGTTTTTTTTTAAATCCCGATGGGGATTATTGAATATTATTTCGATAAATGTGACCATTATTGGGTACAATCTGGGGATAGACATATCTCAAATCGCAAATATGGAAATATTCAAAAGATAAAGAAGTTTTTATAGCAAAAGAAAGACAATCTCCTATAAGCCAACTGAAATTCAATTTTTCATTTCAGCTCAACAGTCCGAGTAAGCGGGATACCAACACCTGCAATACCAAATCGTTACACGGCACCCGTCCACATCGATGTCGGAGGTCACATCTACACTTCATCCTTAGAGACGCTCACAAAATATCCCGACTCAAAGTTGGGAAAGCTTTTCAATGGAGCCGAGGTTAATATTTATTTATCCGTAGTTATACTCGTGTATTCATTGAATATTCAAATTCCGTGAAATCTATAATAGGAGTTTGGCGTAATTGGGTTTAAACACGGTTTGCATTTTTATTTATGAATTTCCGGGCTCGCAGTATATTTTATTCTCCCTAAGAATGACATACATGCTATAAATTTCCAAATGAAATAAAATATGATAATACCATACGTGGATGCAATTTCACTACAAAAGTGCCGTCACATGGCGTAACAATTTTAGTGGCAGAAATATTTGACCCTGGAGTAGAGGTGTGTATCATTTCTCGAATTTCGTTGTTCATGTTGTGGGTAAAATAATGGCCGTGTCTCCTAAAACGCTATTACATATATCGTCACGCTAATAACCGAATTGCGTAAGTCATTTTTAGCAGTTTTGAGAAAAACGTAAAAAACTTCCTAATGATATTGTTATGCCATTGGGAGTCAATAATTTACCATGGTTCAATTTTTTGATCGTAGCCGGATTTAAGTTAATTTGTATGACGCAGCTAAGTGACGTCATAATGGCACACTGTGACTTAGGCAGAAATGTGTCTATGACTTGGGGACATATGCAAATTTGCAACTTTACTATATGCACCAGTCCTGAAAACTAAACATTCCAAAAACGAATGTAATTCTCATTATCTACAATGTCTAATCCCCAAAATAGCTAATCAGTTTCAATTAAATTATTTTTTATGTTTAAAAATATATATTTCATCAATATAACACGTTCTGCACACCCACCGAAATGAGACTAAGATTAAATATAAAGAATAAAACAGCAATGCACCCAATATAAAAGTCAACCAAGGTGAATTGGACTCGGACAGTAAATATCAAAAGTGCACGTCTTCCTATACTGTAGTATAAATTCAAATTAAGACGCACTAAGCTAGAATCCGAGATGCAAAAACTCAAAAATACTTAGCCGAGGTTATTTTGCCTTTGTGACGTCACAATAGTACTGCAGTAACAATGATAATTCATTATGACGAAACAATTGCACAAATGTGCATGTCATACTAAATCTCCATTTTTATGGGTTTCAGAATTCTTAAAATAAAATCCGAGGTAACAGACAGGTGCGCAGCATTACATAAATACCTATTTTATAAAAAACTCAAAATCGCCAAAAATGACTTACGCAATTCGGTTATTAGCGTGGCGATATTTTTCCGACTGCTTGTGGCTGTTAAAGAGTAGAAACAAGTGTGAAAACGCCGAACTCACACAGAAAAACAGTGATGGAATGTTACCATTATGTTACCGCGTTCTAATTATTAAAATATGTATTTCACTCACATAGCCTATTGTGTTGGATGCTTTGAAGCAGCACTACTTTCTTGATCGAGATGGAAACATGTTCAGATACATTCTCAATTTCCTAAGAACTTCAACGCTTGATTTACCGCAAGATTTCCAAGAACTTGATCTCCTGATGCAAGAAGCTCAATTTTTCGAACTTGACCTCATGCTAAAATTACTCACGAAGTTTAAACAAAAAAGAGAAGCGAAGAAGAGACAGGTATAAAACATATGCCGTGTAAAATAAAATAAAAAAGTCTATTTTTCATTAAATCTAAAATCTCATGTACCGGTATATCAATAACAACATATTAGAGTACTTTTGTTCAATTACAGGAATTTTTGATCTGTCGAACAATACAGGAATCGGAACAAATAACATTGAGTGGTAGTGCAGTTTTAGTAAACGAAATCTTACACACACCAGATCGAAAAAGCGAACATTCGAAAGAAATTTATTCAAAAATATCTTGTGACTTGGAATCCGTTGAGGTCAGTTGCCCTTTATATTATAATTTAAATTAGATCTAGAAATTTTCCAGATTTTATATTTATTAACTGCCAATCGACTGTTTTGAAGATTTAACTTTTATTTCAGATACTACAAAGAGCACTTGATTCCGGATGCTCTATGCTGAATTCCGTGACAGGAAAAAGCTTCAATGAAAACTTCGTGGATTGGATTTTCTCTCGAGATGCTCAGGAACCCACTATGAACGGACAATACGTGACAAATCACAAAATTATCCAACAATGATCGAATCCGGATAGCATTGTTTCTTCTGAGTGACACAAACTTTGACACGTAGCCTGGAAGACATACAATAAGTGTCTAAACTTTTATTTACAAAATATACCTCTCCCGAACATCAAAATAGATAGAACCAACCCCAGCGATGACACCGTTCATCGATAGACCACACTTGTGGATAAAAAAAAATATTATTTGAGAAAAAGTTCGTTTTAATTTCCAATCAATGTGTGATTACTGACGATTCAAGTTCCGACTAAATCTTAACAAGACTTTTTAAACGCAGTTTATTAATCACACTGATGGGGTGTGCCGTTATGTCTCGATTAATTTTTGTTTCACGCTAGGCTTAAAATCATATCTCAAGCGGGAAAATGAAATAAGGTGTAATATTTATATTCAACATGTATTTTTAATTTTTTTTCTATCGCAAGAACAGTCGTGGATATTAATTTCATATAACTGTAATCAACTTTTTGTAGATTTCAACGTTTTAAAACCTTTTTTGAAACAATCATATTAACATAAAATAACAGAGTATATAGGTACGTTATTGAGATCTAACTGACTGAGTTATAACCAATCCTGATAATGTCGTAGCATCTGGTTGCATCGCATTTTTTCGGGCGTCTTAAAAATGGGATACGACATTTTTGAGATACATCTTTGATTATTATCTACGTCTTTCTATTTCCGTCATTTTTTAAATTGTATTACATCACATATACAATATTTTTCTCTTTATTCATGAGCCACACAAATGGCAAAGAAAAATATCTAATGTTAGAAAAAAAGCCGAAACACACAAAACCACGAAAGAGAGTCGTCAGTCAGTGGATTTTCAAACCTACATCAAATCAGAGTACATCAGAGTACTTTTCGCGTTTTATGCAGCATTGATGCAAGAATTAGCAAGTTCTTAATTGTACTTCTATGAAAAAAAGTGTTCAAAGCTATCTTCTTGATTGGCATAATGATTAAAAAACTGTAATATAAATCCGAATCCATTGAAAATTGCTAATAGTATCACATGGATAAAAGGCATATGAGCGATACGGTAAGTCAGTGGTTCCCAAACTTTTTGGTTCACGGAATGGTAACCGGACGAGAGGCCGTGGTTCGCCATATGGATAAGCCGTCTTATCGGCTTTCCTCTCCCCCGGGTTAAATATGTAAATCCTATCCTATCCTATCCAGTTCAGACAACAAACGGTCGATTGGAGTCATATTACCTTCACATTCACGTGTCCAGTGAACATTGGCCCACAATTTGAAAATATTTGAACGCGTATGACGATGCTCCGAAAAAACGGTAAACCCTAAGTTGTGCGAATTGTGCGAAAACCACGACGTAGTAATCACTGAGATTCGGAATATTAACAGGACGCTGAGTTCTTTGGAATATAGACAGACTTGATAAAGCGTAGTAGGTTGTGAGGAAGCATACAATTGTTTGGAAAATAGTAAGATTGTTTTAAAATATGAATTTATTTAAAATCTTATTCTGTAGTTCAACATTGTTTTTTGTTTAGTTCAATGTTAAAATATTGAAGATTGCTTCATGATTAATTTGAAAGCAAAACATAAAATTGAAGTAAAATAGGTGAAAACGTGTAGCCCACGTGGTCTTCTCTTGTTGAGAGTCTTTTATTTTGCTTGATTTGTTGTCGTTTTGTTTCTGACTGCGTGAGGCGCTTCGAAATTATGTATGAAATACAACACGCTCCATACTTTTGTTTTTTGTTTTAGGAATATTATTCAGATGATTAAATTTGAAATTCTTAAATTTACGGATACGAAAGTCAAATGTCAAAGTATCACCAGTAGCATATGAGGCTTACACTGAAACCATTATCTGACCATTCGAAAATTCAAATTAGGTCCCAGCGCCATAGGCTCCAACTCATATAGGCAAAAACAACACCACATCGAGGCAATGAGCATTGAGAGTCGACTTTGTCGGAAAGGAGTCACGTTGGTCTGACGTTATGTCGCAATAGTAAAAATAGCAAAATTTAGGATGAAATATCAAGCCTCACATGGCTCCGATGAATATTCTAATTGCTCGCATGGATAGAAGAGAGAGAGAGAGAGAGAATGTTTATTATTTCGTTAACCAGAAAACACATAATATAAAATACAAGAGAGCTACGCCCAAATGTATGGACACGTCTGTTCGCAGTACTGTACGGTTTACCATACCGCCAGATCACAGTCTAAAAATATATTCACACCAAGCGAAGCAGTACAGTCGGACACAAAATTGCGTCCGATATCCGAAGAACATTCAGTGACGTCATAGAAAACAAAAACAAATCTCACAGAGCTAACAGAAATATTTGAAATAAATAAAAGTGATAGCCTTTTGGAGAAAAATTTCATCTTTAACCACTAAAAATTTTAAAGCAATTGGTCCAGTGATCAAAGAGAAAAGTGTTTTTTTCATATTTCCACTAGGTGTCCAAAAAGTGTCAAAGAACAACATAACGATCGTTATGCCCACTAAATGTGTCCAATAATGATAACAAAATAAGTGAAACAAAAGTTTTCGGTATGACTGGGAGGTTACGATACGACCATTTACCGTCATCTGAGTCAGTTACCATCCAATGCAACAAATGGATGCAACACAGGTTCTTTTTTTTTAACTCTCAGTTTATAGAAAACTATTTACACTATTTACAAAATGTAATATGATTAGAACGAGGATAAATTTTGGATTGGTCTGATCAGGGTTGGGAATTTATTCTAAAAATGACATATTTATAACAGTAACATAGTTTAGATTTATTTTTTTTTAAATTAATTTGATGGTAGAAAAAGAGGAGTGCCTTTCCGAAACAGATACTTAATTCTGACTGAGCCTTTAAATGAGATTCAATCGATACATCATTTTAACACTATAAAAAAAACAAAAGAGGAATGCTCAAATATATGGACACGCAGAACAATTCCCCAAAAATTATATGCGGTGACTTACCAGTACCTGAATCGGGGTACCGTGACGGTATAGGGACTGTCATAGATATTTTAGGTCCTGTGACCATGATCCATTCTTCTTGATTATATTGAAACATTAGTTGAAATATCTCGTGATATGAGTCAATTATGTACCGTATTATCGGATCAGGTACCGAACCACAGTCAAACATTTCACATAAAAACGTTACTAAATACAATGCGTCAACTCAACACTACCCGAATCGGGGCACAAATTTCGGTACAGTGACTGTCATAGCCGTTTAGGGCTGATGGACAATTCGACTACACGGACAACTCACCAGGACTAGGGCGGTGTAGCCAGTATGCGGACGCTTTCATTCAAACCGCTATAAAACAAAAACCAATATTTCTAACCCGTTAACCCGTTCTAATTTTTTCGTCGTGGGTGCATTGGCATTTATTCTTAACGCTAAACCTTGAAATAATTTTCTACGACCAAGGGTTAAACAAACCACCAAAGTACGACACTCGGAAGACGTATTTGCGGCCGTGTGCGACCACGGATTTCAAGCCTTGAACATCGTATCTGCTGCGTCGAGACTAGCCATACAACAATCAAACAGACAAAAACACAGTGGTCGCAAATTGGTTGACAAAGATATTATCGACGTGTTAGGATAGGATTCACATATTTATCCCGGGGAAGAAAAGAAACTTTCAAAGATGGTTAAAAGAAACACAACTCTACCCACCTGCCAAGTTTCATCTTTTTGGACACGTAGTGGACATAACTATCGTTTCAATATTATGTTGTTCTTGTTGTTGGACACGTAGTGGACATAACGATCGTTTCAATATTATGTTGGTCTTGTTGTTGTTCTTTGACACTTTTTGGACATCTAGTGGAAAATCTAAAAAACCGCTTTTCTCTTTCATTTCTGGACCGATTGCTCCGAAAATTTTTACTGGTTAAAGATGAAATTTTTCTTCAGAAGGCTATTACATTTATTTATTTCAAATATTTCTGTTAGCTCTGTGAGATTTGTTTGCTATGACGTCACCGAACGTTCTGCGGACGCATAGCCGACACTCCTCTTCTTTTTGATCACGTGCAATCGAACGTCGATGGTTCGTAACGAAGTCCTTACGGTACTTTGCTACGATTTTTCCTTACGCTGATCGACGGTACGGTAAACCGTACTGTACTGCGAACAGACGTGTCCATATATTTGGGCGTATATCTCTCTTGTTGTTGTTGTTTGACACAGAATTGACACCTAGTGGAAATATTAAAAAACCGCTTTTCTCTTCGAATACTGGACCAATTGCTTTGAAATTTTCAGTGGTTAAAGATAAAATTTTTCCCCAGAAGGCTATTACTTTTATTTATCTTAAATATTTCTGTTAGCTCTGTGAGATTTATTTTTGTTTGTTATGACGTCATTAAACGTTCTGCGGATATCGGACGCCATTTTGTGTCCTACTGTACTGCTTCGCTTGGTGTGAATATATTTGTGGACTGTGAACTGACGGTACGGTAAACCGTACTGTACTGCGAACAGACGTGTCCATATATTTGGGCGTAGCTCTCTTGTATCTCTTATATTTGTATGGATTTTCAAGCTTTTGACAGCTACGAGTTAGTTCAGTGTCACCGCGCTGTGTTACGGTACCAGAACTTCTCTATCTTTAGAAGTTCCTGTCTTGTGACAGCGGGAAAACATTGGGATTCTTATTGCATTTCTGGCCGTCATATATTTTGAGAACACAGTTATTTCGAACGAAACTCGTCAAATTATAAACAAAGCACCACATCACAGCAATCAAACGGTAGTAGTATATATTTACGATCAAACAGACAAAAAGACGGTGTTCGCAAATTGGTTGACAACGAGGGTCTCATGTAGTTTCGTACCTAACATACTTCTAGTCAGGTGGGGGTTAGGATTGATACGTAAAAAATTGTCATGCTACGCCCACCAGAAGTATGTTAGGTAAGAAACTACATGAGACCCGACAAAGATATTATCAACGTATCGGAAAATGCGCACCCCCCTATTCCCCCTCCTTTAAATGTAGAAACGCGAAACCTTCAAATATGGTTAAAAGAAACACAACTCTACCCACCTGCCAAGTTTCATTTTTTATCTGTCATATTTGGGGGCTCCCGAAGTATGCGAACCAAGATGGCGGACATCGGAATGTAATATGTGTACTAGGTTAGGGTTAGGCCATAATTTTAGGTATAAATACTACGGGAGGCTCTTGGCTAGTCTTCGAACTGATAATAGGACTAAAATAAGGAAAATTGAAAAAAAATTATCGCCTAACCCTAACCTGTTAACCATGTTACGTTCCGATGTCCGCCATCTTGGTTCGCATACTTCGGGAGCACCCATATTTGTATGGATTTTCAAGCTTTTGACAGCTACGAGTTAGTTCAGTGTCACCGGTACCAGAACTTCTCTATCTTTAGAAGTTCCTGTCTTGTGACAGCGTGAATTGAAATTGCAAGATGGTCCGTTGGACCAATGACATTAAACAACATGATAGGCAACTCTGACGTCACTCCATAAGACTGCAGGCGAAAGATTATATTTCATGATACGCTCCAATGCACGTATTTCTCGTCGTCTTTCGCGACCGTTTTTCGCTCGCTTTTGCTACTCGGCGTCTTTTTTGGGTGTAGTACCTGCCTTTTTGCGCCTGTAACGAAAAATATAATCACTATATCTAAGAAGTTTTGCTCACTTGGTAAGCTGGAATGGCAGACAAGCTGTAGAGTGTAA